GCAGAGAGGAACCTCTTTGTCTTACGCCAAAAAGGATCCGCTTCCTCCTATATCTCAGAGTTTCAGCGTCACTCTACCCTCACCAACTGGGATGATCATGCACTAGCTGCACAATTCTATCGAGGACTCAAGGAGGGAATCAAAGACGAGATTGCAAGAGTTGGGCGCCCCCATGCATTGAAGGAAATGATGGATACCGCTCTTAGGATTGACAACCGTCTCTATGAGAGGACCTTGGAACGTGGTAGCGGCAACTCTCAGTACACTACCAGCACCACCACTTCCACTCGATCCTTTGGTTATAACAATCAATATAACGGGAACCGCACTCCCTTCAGCAACCGCTTCAACTCCACATCGTCCACTCCTCAGTCCACCACAACTCAAACTACTTTCACACGCCAGTCCTTCCCATCAAGGAATGACCGCACCACTTCCTTGCCACTGAACAATAAGGGCAAACTTACCGCTGAAGAACATCAGAGAAGGAAAGACAAGAACCTATGTCTCTACTGTGGATCTTCTGATCACACAGTTGCCAAGTGCCCTGTGGCTAAGCCTGGTTCAACCAATGGTAACAGTGCGAGGACAGACATTCCTTCCCAGCAGGCAAAAGCCTAGGCGCTCAGCAGCAAGAATCAAAGCGCCTAGCGCTGGGTCGCCAAAACGCTAGGACTATACAGGAATCGGTTTCACTATCATCTTCGGCCTCCTCTCTGGACTATGCGGACAAGAACTATCTTGGTGTACCAGTAACTTTCCCAAACTCAAGACACACAAAAACAGCTCTGGACGCTCTTGTGGACTCTGGCGCTTCTGCCAACTTCATCGATTACAAGTTCGCTCAACTTCTGGGAATTCCTTTCGAAAAGAAACCTGTACCTTCAACTCTCAGAATGATTGACGGGACTATCACCAAATACGGAAAAATAACTCATCAATCCACCACTCAAATCAACGTACCTAATTTCAAGACGGCAACAGCCACATTTGAAATTGTACGCCTTGGATCATTTGCTATGATCTTAGGATTCCCATGGCTGCGTGCCAACAACCCTGCCATCAATTGGGAGACGGGATCCATCAAGGTTCCCATTGTGCCTGCTGCCAAATTCACCGACAGTGATGAAGACATTTTCCATATGGAGATGTCACCGGAGCAAGACACCCCACTTCATGCCATGGAAGCCACGCCACTTAAGGACACGGAGATAGTCCCAGTGGAATACCATGATTACTTGGATGTGTTTGACAAAGCAAATGCAGACACTTTACCACCCCATCGGCCTTTTGATCACCATATTCCTCTCGAAGAAGGCAAACAACCTCCCTGGGGACCAGTCTATTCCCTATCTGAGAAAGAACTAGGGTCACTGCGGGAATACTTGGATGAAAACCTAGCCAAAGGATTCATCAGACCTTCTGAATCTCCGGCGGGAGCACCCATCCTCTTTGTCAAGAAAAAGGATGGATCTCTCCGTCTCTGTGTGGACTACCGAGGTATCAACAAGATAACCATCAAGAATCGGTACCCACTTCCGCTCATCTCAGAGCATCTGGATCGCTTGCGCCAGGCCAAGTACTTCACCAAGATCGACCTCAGGGGAGCCTACAACCTCCTCCGGATCGCTGAAGGTGAAGAATGGAAGACAGCATTCAGGACGCGCTATGGCCTCTTCGAATACCTTGTCATGCCATTTGGTCTCACCAACGCGCCAGCATCATTCCAACACCTGATGAACCACAACTTCAGGACAATGCTGGATCACTATGTCATCTGTTACCTGGACGACATTCTCATTTACTCGGACACACTGGAGGAACACTATCAGCATGTTACCTCTGTCCTTGAGACACTTCGCAAAGCAGGACTATTCGCCAAAGCCGAGAAATGCGAGTTCCACCAACACAGCGTGGAATTCCTTGGCTTCATTGTGGGAAGGGATGGGATTACCATGGACGTCAAGAAGGTGCAAAGCATCTTGGACTGGCCTACGCCGACCAACCTGTTCGAAGTCAGATCCTTCCTTGGATTCTGCAACTTCTACAGACGCTTCATCGCATCATACTCAATCCTTGCCCATCCATTGACACAACTCACTCGCAAAGATACACCTTTTGTGTGGAGCAACATCCACAGTGAATCATTCAACAAGATGAAGAATGCTTTCACATCTGCAACCTTGTTGGCTCATTTCGATCCAACCAAGCCTTTGGTCCTCGAGACGGATGCATCAGACTTTGCCATCGCAGGAATCTTATCACAGCATCAAGACGGAGATATCCTGAAGCCAATCGCTTTCTACTCTCGGAAAATGGTACCAGCAGAACTCAACTATGAGATTCACGACAAAGAAATGCTGGCCATCATCTCTTGCTTCAAGGAATGGCGTCAATACCTTGAAAGCACCTTCACGGAGGTTTTGACGGATCACCGTAGCCTCGAATATTTCACCACTACCAAGCAGCTCAACAGAAGACAAGCTCGCTGGTCTCAATTCCTCCAGGACTTCCACTTCACAATCAAATATCGTCCTGGAACACAAGGAACCAAGCCTGACGCACTTACACGTCGTCCGGATTTACATCCAGTCATGAAAGGATCTTCACTCTCAACTGAAGCTAATCCTGACAACTTCAAAGCTTTACTCAAGCCAGGACAGTTCCTCTTTGCCGCTGGGGTCTCTACAATTCTACCACAACTGCACGAGGAAATCAAATCTGTCCTGGAGACTGACACCTTGGCTCAAGAGATTATACCAACTATCGCTACTCACCCTGAGTATGAGTTGAAGGAAAACCTCTTGCTACGCAAAGGGAAAGTCTACCTTCCTAACGCCAAGGATCTACGAGTACGAATCACCAGGGAACACCACGACAATCTTCAACATGGACATCCCGGTCAACGCAAGACATTACAACTGGTACAGCGCCTCTACTGGTGGCCCAAGATGAAGGAATTCATCCATGCCTTTGTGGATTCATGTGACAACTGTCAACGGAACAAATCCAAGCGTCACAAACCTTATGGGGAACTCAAGTCATTACCAATTCCACCATACCCATGGTCTAACATTTCAATGGACCTTATTGAAGACTTACCTCGATCTGACGGATACAACTCAATCCTGGTCATTGTTGATCGACTCACCAAGATGGCACTATTTATCCCAACATCAACCAGCATTGATGCTCCAGAACTTGCCCAACTATATCTGGAACATGTCTTCAGCAAACATGGACTCCCTGAACGGATCGTCAAGCGATCGTGGCTCAGAGTTTACCTCACGCTTCTGGCGTGCTATTGGTACTTTGCTGGATATCAAGTTGGACTTCTCCACTGCCTACCATCCAGAGACAGATGGCCAGACAGAACGTACCAACCAGACATTGGAGCAATACATCAGGATGTATGCCAATTATCAACAGGACAATTGGCGCCAATTATTACCTCTGGCAGAATTTGCATACAACAATTCTGCAAGTGAAACCACCGGTGTTTCACCGTTCTTTGCCAACAAAGGCTATCATCCACGTTCCAATTTCAATCACCCAGCAGGACCCCATCTATCTCCAGAGGCAGAACATTTCACTGTCAACTTGAAGGACTTACACGATCTGCTCAAGAAGTGGGTCGAAAAGTCACAAGCCCAATCCCAAGCTCAATGGAGCCGGAAACATCTCCCCTCACCGGTCTACCAACCTGGTGACAAGGTCTGGCTTGATGCAGAAGACATCAAGACTACTCGTCCAAGCAAGAAGCTTAGCAACCGCTTCCTTGGTCCCTACAAGGTCCTCAAACAAATATCCTCCCACGCATATCGTTTGGAATTACCATCCCATTCAAAGATTCATGATGTATTCCACATCAGCAAACTGGAACCATTCAAGGAAAACACTATTGAAAATCGCAAACAAGATCCACCTGAGCCTGAAATCATTGAAGGCGAGGAGGAATTTGAAGTGGAAGAAATCCTTGACTCAAAGATCAACAGACGATACAAGGAACCTCTACGTTACCTTGTCAAATGGACTGGATACGGACCTGACGCAAACTCTTGGGCGCCACCTTCTTGGTTAGCCAATGCACCAGAAAAGCTGGCGGAATATCACGCCAAATATCCCCAGAAACCAGGTCCCTAACAACATCTTTGCTGATTACATGAATAACAAGAAATCGCTACAAACATTAAAATAAAAATCACCAAAAATCATTAATCAACCCCCTCTACACACTTACAAAATTTCATCAAGATTGATAAACTATTCTATATTTTATTGGGTCGTCTTGGAAATTCCAGGAAAACACCCTCTACCACATTTTATGGCAACACCACTTGTCACACTGGCACCTTCACCGATGACCACATTCCCTCTGTCATCAAGGATGACAGCTCGGTTCAAATCTCCGTCGACCACCACCTTTTTGCCCAGAATGGGCATGAGGGACATGCCATTGATTGGCATGTCCACCAGGGTCAATACCCCATGGGGGATTATTTTGGACAAGAAAATTTTCTTGTCCAAAATAATCCCCCGTGGGGGCAGCTGGCCAGAGGACAGAGGCATCCAGCGGGCAGTGCCAACACGTCAATCATAGGGTCACGTGACGGTTGGTCAACAACAAGCGAGCAGCGCGAGCCAAGCGAGTCGCGCGAGCCGAGCAGGGCAGCGCGTCGACGACGAGCGAGCGACGGCGACACCAGAGTCGACAAGCACCTCAATCGATCAACAAGCAGGGAACAAGATCAGCAAGCAAAACCGACATGCCAAAGATGGTAGCATCTATTGGCAGCAATGCACACAACATCATGCGCACAAGATTTTTTTCATATTTTCGGAACACAGTTTCCAAATCCTCGACACAGCGGATGCTGCTATTTTACCCGCTCGTCCTTCACTTCACATTCACGACACAAGTACTTCCAGACTATAAGTACATATTCAACTGGTCAGGGAGCATACGGCCTAGATCAACACTGGGTAGAAGAAGTTCCGGCTTATTCCGGCTTGTACACATGGTACCAGTCGTCCTCGTCGGACTGGTTGGTGTCAGAAGTAGCCTCCGACCCGGCAGCTTCGTAAGAAGGGTTACTGTTGCTGGGGCCTGCAACAGGTGCCTTGTCGTAAGGGTTGACCCAGGGTTGGGCAAAGAAGGCGTACTCGGTGATGGGTTCAGGGTGACTTGTCAGGAGACCAGGATGGACGGCGGCAGGCTGCATGACCGGTTCAGCGGGTTGAGGAATCTGGGCTGTAGCCTGAGCGAGTAACGCTTGGAAGGATGCAAAGGAACATGTCTATCGGACAACCATCAACACTCATTTCATTACAATACCACATCACCACATACCTTGCTCTGACGGACGCAGCAGTGACACTTAGTGCCAGGACCTGTGATCAGACATCGTGTGTCTCCGCTTATCTTGTCCTTGCAAGCGGAACACTTAGGATCAGCTGCGTAACCATTGGCCTCAACATAGTCAGCTCTCTCGTGACGAGCGAAGCGTCGCTGTTGAAGCTGTCGTACAACAACAAACATCAGTATCAGATAGAATACACGCAAATACCAACATTACTCACAGCCGCCTGGTGCGCACGGAACACTCGAAGCAACTGCTCTTGGTTGGGCTCATGTCCGCCTTGCCCGACACCGTTGTACCAAGCCGCCAAATTGTTGAAGTTGGACATTGTGTGATATGAGAGTGTGTCGGTGGTGAGGCAAGTTTTGAGATGCTCAAGAAGAGAAAGAGGGGCAGTTGTCGAGACATCAAAGCAGACATTTATATGCAAATTGCCGTGCCAATACGGGGAGTTGGTCATGTCAAATGACCAGACCAGAAGGACCATCACCTAGACGACCAACTTGGTGGTCCCATGGATATGCCAAAAGGGCAAGCGGGATGGACCCACCGGAGTATCCCAGGTCACGGGAGATCAACCGTGGGATTCTGGAAGCAAATCCTGGCAACAGCGCGCAGGAAGCAAATTTAAGGGCAACACAGGCTGCCGACATGCAACATTCCGCCAACCGACAAAAGAAAGGAAAAATACAGAAAACAAAAAAATAAAAATCTGCAGAACAGACGAGAAAATTGCAGTAGTCAAACCGCTCAAGGGACTTCGCGGCATAGCAGGGGGATGCTGTTACGGACCAGCCTAATTAGGTGAACCATGGCACTGCCATGGTCATACCAACTCGTTCTACTAATAGTCAAACCATGGTTACCCCATGGTCATACCGACTTGGCCATGCCATGGTTGCACTATGGTCATGCCATAGTACACCGAGCTAGACCCCCGACTCTATTCTGAATTAGTATATATAGCAGACCAAATCAGAGTGATTGTACTCTTCTAGTTTCATGTATTTCCTCTTCTTTCCCAAGAAGAATTATCATATGTTACATCCCTGATACTCTACACTACTCCTCACTATCAACACGCTCAACAACCTTGTGCTCTTGTCAAGCACTTCACGGATCAGCAACAGACTGTGATCCAAGCCCTGTCTCGGTCAGTACTGACTTACAGTGATCGTTGAGCTTACTTGCCTTTGCACAATTACCCTCGACATATCCACCTAGGCTACACCTTTGCTAGCGCTAGGCACGACCGTAACAAGATTCATCGCGTCGTCCTCCAGCTCCTCAGGCTCGGGGTAGGGCTCATAGACACCCCCCTTCCACTCGTTCATCTCCTTGCGGGCGGCCTCGAAGGGACTGAAGTTCTCCGCCTGCGCACCGGCGATGACAACGGCGGCGATCTTCTTCCGGAGCGCACCACGCTCGGCCTCGACGGAGAAACCGCTGTGGCGGTTCAAGGAAGGAACGACCTATATACACAAAACAAACACACAGCAATGTATCAGAGAGAGAGTTAGTAGGAGACCGTTTGAAGAGAAAGATACTGACGATTTGCTCGAAGAGCCTACTCGTCTCCCGGTAAAGATCCTCCCGGGTCCTGGCGCCCATCTTGTGGGTCTTCTGCACCTCCAATCCCGCGGAGATCCGGTGCTCGACGGGCTGGGCCCTGTCAAAGAGGACCTGAATCTTGTGGGAGATGGGGGTACACCCACCTTTCCCGCCGGAACAATACCAGCACGACTTCTGGAGGTTCCCACTCTGACCGGGACGGGGAACGACGTGGCGACAAAGCGCCATCCCTTGAAAGCGAACGTGGTCGAAGAAGACGGACTCGTAAGGATCCCAGGTGGTATAGTCGTCGGGGGTAACATCCTTGTGAGGGATGTCGTCGTAACAGTGTTGGCAGCACCACTGCCAGTTACCGGCGTAACGAGCCTGCGAGAGCAAGAAGGAGATTCAATCGGAGACCCTGACGGAGGTTGCGAAGGAGACCGTGACGGGGACGCGAAGAAGGATCGAAAACACAACTCACCAACATCCCGTTGAACTCGTCCACCTTCCCTCCCTTCCAAGCCGCCTCGAACTGCTGCGGGAGCCAGCCTTTCAACTTGTCCTTCTTCTTTTGGATCGCGTACACCTCGGCGATCTCGGGCCCGGTCCAATTGTCGACACGGATGTATCCCCACTTTGCATCGTGCTCGATGCCGGTCGCGGGCTTTCTCCCTGCCTTCTTCGACGGAGACCCGGAATCGTCGTCCTTCGAAGACCGAGTCTTGCGCTTGGTCGGGGTTTTGGGAGGGGGAGGAGCAGGAGGAGGGGGAGGAGAAGGCATAGTTGACGATAGACGTGAACGGGTAAAAGATACGAAAGGTAGTAAGCTATAGGTTTGCTAGAGGTGAAAGGATACGTACGTCGAAAAACATCAAGTTGACAAACCCCCTCGGGGGTCTTATACCTTTCACATTTCGAGAACAAGACAAAAGAAACCTAGGTAGCAACTACTAGGACAAAGCAAGAAGTCGTTACGTCGAACACGACAAAGAGAATACAGCGATACCGGTTAGAAAGGACGTCGATACATACGACATCACCTTTGTTTACATCAACGAACAATACCGCGGACAGGACCATGTTGCGATGTCCGCGGGGGAGACAATAGGAAATCGACGCGCGACGCGTCATCGTCGTCGGTTGGACGTTTCAGACGAGTCGACGACACCGATAGACAATAGGTTCTTCATTGCAGCACCCACGGGCGCCGAGCAGTGTTTCAGAGAGAACCAGTGTATCTAGACGTACAAATCGAAGGTTCTAGACGATCTCTTCGGGGACAATAGAGCGGAGACGTGAGGAGAGTCGCGAGGGTACAGACACTGGACGTTTTGAGGGGACAAAGGGCTTCAAGATGAAACGTCTAATCTAGCCTCGGACCACTCGACTACTTTGGGCAATCTGGAATCTCGCCCTAAGGGGGGGATCCTATTATAGGCATCCGCGGTACGCATGTCGTACACGCGCGGGATGTAGGTTTTCACCTCGTACGGAGGTCCGTTCGGAGACCCTCTCGGAGACCCTCTCGGAGACCTATTAGGAGATGTGTTCGAAGATGCCTAACTAGCACCTTGTAGTAGTTAGACATCCGTTATTACATTCATTACCCTACCCGTACCTTCTAGTCCCGTGTGTTACTATTCAGGTTTGCTGGCAAACCTTATAACTCCCGTCGGGGGTACTTTTCGGTATTGTTATGTTGATGTAGAACTAGTACCCTTGTAATAGCTCTACATCCGTTATTACATTTAGATGTCTACCCGTACCTTGCCTCATTCCTGCGTCCCGTCAGCCTGTCCAGGGGGACCCCCACCGGGGGTCGCTCCCGGGCCTTACAGAATAACGGATCATCAAAGGACCCCGAATGGGGGAGCACAAGGAGGTAGCCGGATCCCCTTGCAGTTGGGTGCAAGCGGAGTACCCAACGGTCCAGATAGCCATCTGACGTTGGTAGGAGTGTTCTACCCGGAAGGAGTGCCGGTCCAAGCACTCATGTTGTTGGATTCGGGAGCGACCGGGATGTTCATGGATCGGACATTCGCGTCGCTACATGGATTCGACGTAACGGACCTCGAGACGCCGCGGGTAGTAACGGTGATCGATGGTCGGGAGATCCAGGGAGGAAGGATCACCCAGAAGGCTCGTACGCTGGTACGTACGGGAGTGCACCTGGAGCTGACCGAGTTCCACCTCACCGATTTGAGTGGGTACCCGGTCGTACTAGGTATCCCTTGGCTGCGGAGACACAATCCGCATATCCAATGGGACTCCAACGCGGTGACGTTCGGGGATGTCTGCATCAGCACGGGATGTCTCAAGAGGCCCGAGACGGTGTATGCTCCGGACGAAGTAGAGGTGGAGACACGAGGGATCGACCCGTTCAAGAAGATGAAGGGGTCTATCATGGAGGATTTGGTCGTCGCACAAATGCAGATGACCCGGGAGGACGACGAGAGGGCGAGGCGCCCGGACCTGTGGGATTGGGACGTCAAACCTACAGATTCGTTCCAGGATGACCTGGATCCTCCCGAGTATATGGAGAAGCTAAGGGACATGGTACCGGAGAAGTATCATGAACATCTTGGAGCGTTCTCCAAGACGAAGGCAGATACACTGCCCCCGAAGCGATCGATCGACCATGCGATCGAACTCAAACCCGGTACGTCACCGACGTATCAAAAGCTCTATAACCACTCCCAGCGGGAGAGTGAGGAGCTAAAGAAGTGGTTGAAGGAGAATCTGGAGAAGGGGTTCATCAGGCCGTCGAAGTCGCCCTGCTCGAGCCCGGTACTGTTTGTACCGAAGAAAGGCGGCGAGATGCGTATGTGCATCGATTACCGTCGCCTTAACGACATTACGGTGAAGGATAGGACGCCCCTACCCCTCATCTCAGAGACGCTAGACAGGTTGAAGGGCGCGAAGGTCTACACGAAGATGGACCTCCGAGGCGCGTACAACCTGCTACGCGTAAAAGAAGAAGACATTTGGAAGACCGCGTTTACTACACGTTTTGGTCTGTTCGAATGTTTGGTCATGCCGTTCGGCTTGACCAACGCCCCCGCTACCTTTCAGCGGTGGATGAACGAGGTCTTCCAAGACCTTTTGGATGTGTGCGTCGTCGTTTACCTCGACGACATACTTATTTACTCCTCCGACCAGGAGACCCACGATGGTCAGGTCAAGGAGGTTATGAAGAGACTGCAGGCAAATGGCCTGTATGCGAAAGCGGAGAAGTGTGAGTTCGATACGGTGGCTACCGAATTCTTGGGGTACGATATTGCCCCGACGGGGGTTAGCATGAACCCCTCTAAGGTCAAGTCCGTTTTGGACTGGGCCCCCCCAAAGAACATTCGGGGACTGCAGTCCTTTTTAGGATTTGCAAACTATTATCGGAGGTTCATTCAGAACTACTCCAAGAAGATTCAGGGAATGACGGCCCTGACGAAGAAAGGGGTGAAGTACTCCTGGACGGCAGCCGCTGACGCTGCGTTCCGGGAATTGAAGGAGTCCTTCACCCAGGCGCCTATACTGGCGCACTACAACGAGGAGCGCCAAGTGGTGCTCGAGACCGACGCTTCCTCTGGAGCGATCGGCGCGGTAATGTCCCAGGTAGGGGACGATGGGAAGCTCCACCCGGTAGCGTTCATGTCGAAGAGCCTGACGCCCGCCGAGAGGAACTACGATGTGCACGACAGGGAACTGTTGGCCATCGTTTATTGCAGTCGGATATGGCGACATTATCTCGACAACAAGTACCCCGTTCGGATCCTCACGGATCACAAGAACTTGGAGTACTTCAAGAGGGACAAGGTATTGTCTCAACGGCAGGCGCGATGGTCGCAGCTGTTGAACCAGATCTCCTACACCCTGGAGTACAAACCGGGAACGGAGAACGGGAAGGCCGACGCGTTGAGTCGGCGAGAAGAGTTGATGGAGGAGACAGAACCGAAGCGAGCGGAGACTCTGCTCCGGCCTGTCGAAGACGCACCCTCTGAGGAGTGTAGTCCGGTTGAGCGACCGCCGTTGCGGTTGAATGGTACCATCCCCGCACTGGGTGATTGGATGGTGAAAGCGCTGATACCGGCGGCGCAGGACGACCCGGTGGCGAAAGAGCTCGTAGCGCAGCTCAAGGCGGGAACCTTGGCGAACGAGCGATACAGCTTGAGCCCCACTGGGGTTCTCTTGTACAATGGGTTGGTGTATGTCCCCAACGCGGGGAACATCAAGGTAGAGCTGATGAAGCGTCTACATGACGGGAAGGCCGCCGGCCATTGGGGGCGGGACAAGACCGTGGAGCTGACCAGTAGGGACTTCTACTGGCCTGGGATGGCGAAGTGGATCGGGGAGTACGTCGCTAGCTGCAGCATATGCCAGCGCAATCGGCGGCCCCGGATGAAGCCTGTCGGCGAATTAGCGCCGCTACCGGTACCGGCAGGACCATACGAATCGATCACTTGGGATCACATCACGGACCTGCCCGAGTCTATGGGGTCCAACTCGATCCTGGTGATCGTCGATCGATTCAGCAAGCGAGCGCACTTCGTCGCTTGTCGAAAGGATAACGACGCCACATTCTTGGCGCGGTTATTCCTTGACCGATGGGTGTGTTTGCATGGGTTCCCGAAGCAGATCATTTCGGATCGAGGTACGTTGTTCACCTCGCGCTTCTGGAAAGATCTGTGCCGCATGGCGAACGTGGAGAATAGTTACTCCACGGCGTTCCACCCGGAGACGGACGGTCAGACCGAGCGAAGTAACTCCACCTTGGAGCAATACTTGCGGTCGTACGTCAACTTTCTCCAAGACGACTGGGCGGAGTTACTCTCCATGGCGGAGTTCGCTTACAACAACGCGAAACACTCTGCCATCGGGATGTCGCCATTCATGGCGTCCAAGGGAAGGGAACACAGCTTCTCCCTACCGGTGCCCGGCACTAGGGAGGAGGCGGTAGAATCGGCGGGGGAGTATCGAGACCGACTCGATGGGATTTACAAGTCGGTGAAGGAGGCGCTGGAGCAGGCGCGACAAGACATGGCGAAGTACGCGAATCGGAAGCGTACCGCCGTCCCTGACGAGGGTTACAACGTAGGCGACTTGGTGATGTTATCCACCAAGAACTTGACATCGGTGCGCCCCAGCCAGAAGCTCTCGATGAAGACGCTGGGGCCTTTCCCAATCACGGAGATCATCGGCCAAAGCAAGATGGCGAGGAGGCTGGAACTCCCCGCGCAATTACGCCGGGTGCATCCCGTCTTCCATGTGTCGCTGCTCATCCCCTATCGGGCCAACGAACTGGAAGGAAGGGAGGTAGTTGAACCGCCTACCCCCGAAGTCCTCGACAACGGCGACTTAGGGTATGTGGTGTCCGAGATCGTACACTCGAAGGCGTTGCGATCCGGGAGGTCCGGGAAGAAGACCCAGTACCTAGTGCGATTCGAAGGGTACGGAGACGAGTCGAACGAGTGGGTCAGCCCCGCCGAGTTCGATCACGACGACAAGGTCGTCACGGCGTTCCACAAGCGCTACCCCCATCTACCGCAGCCCGGTCGACAGGAGTACGCCGACGCTTGATGCGTTCGGAGTCCGCATCTAGGAGGGGGATCCTGTTATAGCGGTCACGTGACGCATCGGACGCGCCGTACGCGACTCCCGTATGCGACTCCCGTCGGGGGTACTTTTCGGTATTGTTATGTTGATGTAGAACTAGTACCCTTGTAATAGCTCTACATCCGTTATTACATTTAGATGTCTACCCGTACCTTGCCTCATTCCTGCGTCCCGTCAGCCTGTCCAGGGGGACCCCCACCGGGGGTCGCTCCCGGGCCTTACAGAAAAGGCCCAGCAAGATCGAAGGTGATCAGCTGGAGTGGTTCTGTTGACCGTGATGAGCTGTCCGGGAATCGAGCTCTTGTCATTTTTCCCAGAATGCAGCTCTCACACTGGTGTGGGACAGACGTCTGGTCAAACCCATCCACCGAATCCTTAAGATTCCGTATCGAGTTCCCACCCAGATGTCCCAGCCGTTGATGCCAGATATTCCCCAGTCCTGAGATCGTTGCCGTGTTGGCTGAATTCATCTTAGGTAATGCCGGAGACTTTGCATTGACCTCGTACAGGTTAGTATCCAACATCTTGCCGATCAAGGTCATCTTGTTGTTCTTCCTCAAGATCGCCTTGCCTTCCGTGAACATGATGTCCGATCCGGCTTTGTCCAGCTGTGAGATCGAGATCAGGTTCGAACTGAGTTTGGGAACATACAGGCAGTTTGCAAGATGTAGCTCTGCCTTCTTTTCTCCAACCTCGATGGTCAAGAAGATGTCGCCCATCCCCTCAGCATAGATCACTTGTCCGTTTCCAACCATGACAGGTGCAGTCATTCTCTGATAGTTCGGGGATAGGTCAAGGAACCTCTTCATCCCGAACATGTGTCTTGAACAACCTGAATCGATCAGGGTTGTCATCTTCCTAGTTGCAAGTGAGTAAGCCTTCTCGGTGATGTTCAAGGCTTGATCGAGCTGACGTTGATAGAGGGTCATGGATTGCATAGCAGCATCAAAAGAAGATACAGCGGCAGCGGCCCTTTCACCACCTCTAAATCCCGGTCCCGATCCTCCTCCTCCGTGCCTCTGCCTGTAGGCAACCATGTCCGGGTGAGGGCAGGTGGGAGCCCGATGTCCCGCCTTGCCACAGGAGTGGCACCCATTAGGTTCGGCTTGAGGACACTCCCTGGCGATATGCCCCCTCTGCCCGCAACACCTGCAGGTCCTGGTGTCGGTCCCGGTCCCGGTCCCGGTCCCGAAGGTCCGCCTCCCAACACCACCGGTCCCAAATCCAACTCCGGTAGTCCCAATCTTGGCATAACCAAACTTGGCTGCCATTGCCTGGAAGGCCTTCTCCTCATCCTTCTCGGCAATCTCCTTGTTGGCAATGTCACGGTAGGCGGCCAGAATCATCCTCTCGACCGACTCCTTCTTGACATCGACCCCCATGGTGATGTTCGACTGAAGGAACTCTCCAGCCTTGAAGTAAGGGTGTCCCTCCAGGTAGGATTGGAGACACTTAGACCATTGGGCCATGATCTCCACATCCTCCCTTTGCAGCCCGTTGGCCTCCAGACCCTCAACCACCGTATCCAACCTCGCCATGTACCCCTCAAAGTCGTCTCCAATGGGCCGGAGGTTGGCGAACTCGTCGATCAGGATCTGGACATCGAACGAGGTGGTCTTGGAGTGGATCTCCTTGATCTTGTACATGGCCTTGGCCGGGTGATCAATCCCCTGGATCGATCGCTTGTTGACCCCAAGCGAAGGCCGGATGTAACCCAGAGCCTGGGCACATTTGAGGTCATAGTCTTCAGCGGCCTCCATCATCTTCTCGGTGATGTCCCCCTTTTCCGGAAGAACCGGTCTCTGCTTGACCGGTTCACCCTTGGCATCATACTTCACATAAGGGAGCAGGCGTTTGATAGCCAAGAGGTCCCGAATGGACTCCAGCCATTCGACATAGTTGACCCCGGCTCGGGCAAGGACAATGACCTTGGGTCCTTTGGTGGTGATCTCGTCATCGGACATGATGGTGAAGGACAGCGAGGTAATGGAGATGGTCGGTTTACTAATGTCTAGGGAAGGGAAAGTCTTCCTGTTATCCGGTGTAGTAGAAGATGTCTATCTGACTTGTCTATCTCAAGTTCTAGGTCGATCTGTTGACGTGGCTGATTAGAAGTTGACACGTAGAGAAGACGGGTCAACAGCTGGGCTCATAACCTGTTAGAACTCAAGATATTGCTTTATCAATGGCATGTGCTATCAGTCAATACAAAGGTACTGACCTGTTAGAACTCTCAAGATATTGCTTGAGATCTAACAGTCAAGTGGTGTATATTGATGATCTAGTTGTCCGAGATTTTCATCACCGGGGTGAGGTCCCAGCTTGGGTGATGCTGACTAAGCATCACCCCAGTCCCCAGTAATCCTAGGAAATAATCCCGGTAATCCTTGATTACTCGCGCGCGCGCGCACCTACTTTCTACACAAGATAGGTAGCAGCTGATATCCTGCTTCTCCTTCTGCGGGTTCAACGAACATGTCATGACATGGTCAGTATCTTCTGTTCAGGGTTGTCGGTTTCAGGCCGAAGGCTCGATCGCCCACCTTTTCGTCTCGTACACCTCCTTGAACCAAGTTTCAAAGACGATCATGCCGAAAGTGTTAGGCGTCGAGAAGGCTCCAGGGAAGACCGGCTCGATGTATACCTGCGAGGACATATCCGGGAGTAATGTAGAACGTAGGACTAGGGTATATAGATGTGATAACAGATGAAAGACTATATACTACAATGCTGATACAAAGTGGTACAATACGATATGCTCCTTGAACAACTCCGCCGGAGTTGGTACGACTCGAGTCCGGCGTACGCGCGCGTCGCTATAACAGAAAGCCGACGCCATGCCCTCAAAGGATTTGGGTTTCTGGCACCTTCTGGGCCCAGCTTGTGGAGTACGTAGTTTCACTGATTCAAGGCTGCGGGCGGTCTTGGGCCCTATCACGTTTGCTGTTCTATCCGATAACATTCGCATGCACACAAATTCATCGACTAATTAAGAAGAGTTTACTGTACGAGAGATGCAACAAGTCCTTGAGCTATATTGCCATGATTGGAATTTGTACCGATTCATTGCGCCCTGTCCCCCTCCATCCGTTGCGGTGTCACATGTCCTGCTTGTGCTTGGGCAGGAGCCGGGTACATCGCCCGTTTCCGATGCCAACGCTCACAGGTCGAACCATGCAACTCGAAGTGTCTTCGAAAGATCGACTGCCAGTCATCCGGTTGTTGGGCCTGCCGTTTGGATACTTCTTGAGCGATTCCGGTTCCTCAGAACTCTATGAATTCCGCTTCAGCCTGCTCGCTGCACTTGGAGCAGAATTCCCCGGGGCCTGCAACATCTCCGAATCTTGACGGCTGAGTCTGGAGAGTCACTGGTTGGCGATTCGATCCTAATCCATCTAGGTCCGAGGCGGTCAGATGCAAGTTTTCATCGTCGATATTCGGATCCAACATGCTGGCTGAGGACTTGGTGGGAAGTGAATGGGATCGAGCTCTGGCGGAAAAATCCGACCCGACATCATCAGTGGAGACTAGGTCTCGCGAGGTTCCACTTTGACTGTCCTCGTCCGGCATAATGATTTTCGATTGCTGAAGAGAATATGGGTATTGCCCTAATTATCGTCAGTAAGCCATCACCAGCGTTGAGCGACTCTTCAGTAGTATTTCATCTGGGAGGAATCGAGGCGAAACATGGTCCTACCCCTGGAGAAGCGGAAAGCGTAACAAAGGATATCACAGATCACAGATACGTCATACGTCATGTGACGCTAGGACTTTCGAAGTCCCTTTCGTAAATGCGCCACCACTACACCGTCCGTGGCGGACGCGGGCGATGTCCGAGCCTTCGGATGCACGGTTGACGGCGAGTCTCAGCTTCGAGTCGAGGTTGAATCATCCTCGACTCTTTGATCAATCGATCAACCTGTTGCCTGTTGCCTGTTGGCACTTGCCTACTTTGCTACCTACTCGTTTGATTACTACTCCCTTCGAAACTACGCATGAAGCCTTCCCATCGACTCGACAACGGTAATCTTCCCAGGTATCCCCCGGGAGAGAAGCCTCCTCTCCAAGACCGCGATCAGAACTTGGACAATAGCTCAAAGGCAGTCGACTTAGCATCTGAATCACGTCCTGTATCGCCCTTCTCCGGCTACCAACCTCCAACATCGCCTTCCTTAGACTCGCTCAATTACCCCAAATCCGATTCAGCATCGCAACTCGGAGACCCCCCCGAGATCTATCCGGAGGAATCAGCATCTCAAGTGGACAGTGATTACGACTCCGACGACGAGTTTGACGACGACTTTGGCGGCGACTTTGAGCCCAACGACAACGATTCCTATCTCTCTTCCGACCTTTTCAATCACATTTCCACCGGGATGGAGAACGACAGTGATAGTGCGATCTATGCTTCGTCCAAGCTTAGTGCGGGAAATAAAGGAAATCAAGCCTGGAAGATATTCCGCGAGCGCTTGCGCCGAGCCAAGGTGGTTTCGGTCAAGCAAGTCCTGTCCATGCATGAGGAAGCACTGAAGGGTCTCCAGAATCCCGAACCTTTAGACGATGACTTGGAAATCAAGCTCATTAGGGAGCTCGTCATACTCCGCGAGAGGCTGACGAAAGTGCCGTCGTACCAGGAGAGCTATCTGGAGGGATACATGAATTCAATCTTGGTGGTATGTAGTCAATTCATGTCGAGTATCCGTGCTCAGCAATGACTGACCGATCGAGAACACCATTTTATTCTACAGGAAGCGATCGGCGAATACGAGCTCGTCGAGATCCGTCATCACAACGTCAAGTGGAACCTCGTCCCGAACATCCTTTTCAAAAGGGCATTTGGGTTGTCTTGTCCAATGCCCGACGGTACTATCGCCTATCCCACGTTGGGGCGAAAGGGTGACACATTGTTCCCCACGCCCGATGGAGACCAACATCCGTTGGGTCGACAAGTGATCGAATACATCTTACGGAGCAAGAAATATGCCAAGGTGTTGCCCCTGAATCACACCAGCTTGTCTCAGACCACCGGCATCCACGATGTGATGATCCTCGAATACAAAGCGGACGATTCGGAAGAATCTCAAGAGGTCGGGCTCAACCAAGACGTCAACGTCGGGCTCTTCAAGGTCTGGCAGGACGTCGATCTAGCCTTGGCTCTTGGGGGCGCATGGAAGCAGAGGATCCTGCAGGATAGTCCCTTCTGTCTCGTCTGGCGGATTTGCGGAACGTACTGGGCGATCGAGTACGTTGCCGCCGTTCTCATCGATTTTAAAGATGGAGAGCTGCAACCGACGGTGAGTCTCGAGAACGCTTGAATTTGGATCTGCTGCATAGCTGACTCGTTTGCGAAACAGCGGCACTACACCATTGCCGAAGGCGATTGGGCCAACGATCCCCACACGTTCCTCCGCACGGCTAGAGAAGCCTACAGCATCTGCGCCAAACGCGTCAAGGACTTCAGAGGAGGAATGATGCAAGCTCTTTACGAGCGGGTTCAGCAAGATGAAATAGACGGGGGGGAGTTTTCGACCGAGCCAATCGACAAAATCGCTCAGCGCGTCTACCTGAAAAAACCCCCCACTGCCACTATGAGTCAGGTCGCGACCACCAACAACGCCAAGAAGGAGGATGCCGCTCGAAAGAACGCCGGTTCCGACACGCAGACCGCGGCTGGATCACAGACTGTCGTCCAAAAGCAGACTGCTGTTCAGAAGCAGACTGCTGTCGAAACGCAGACTGCTGTCGAAACGCAGACTGTTGTCCAAACGCAGACTGTTGTCCAAACGCAGATTGCTGTCCAAGCGCAGACTGCCGTTCCCGAGCAGACCGCTGCTCAGGAGAACAGTGACGCTGCCGACGACTTGGTACAGACCATGGAAAACGTGTCTTTGGACTCGGACTCCAAGACCGTCGTCAAAGGCGAATCGCAATAGCGAACATTCTGGTCCTTTCTTATGACAACAACAAACCTATCACGATCTTTCTGCTCCTTTCTTATGACGACATACCATCCACGACAGACTTTTTTTACGTTACTTCCTGTATATCAACTAGCTTCTTTCAGCTATGAGATACGTGATCTTCTTTGATCAATTCTCAAGGCTGCTCATGACCTGCGTCGCTACCGACGGCGCCTGCGGCGCCGTCGGTATATCTCGTTTGGACAGACTCCTAGGGGACTGTATGAGTACATGCGCAGCTTGTCTCCATACGACTTGTCTTTTCCCTCATCGATCAAACATGTAGTGCAAATAGATCTCTTTGTCTGATCCGCCTCCACCTGGTCAAAGTCATCATTCTATGCATGCCAAGGGGACGCTATCTTTCATTACATTCGGATCCGCGTGCTTACAGAATGACTTTGCCGCCAGCTCTTGACCGGATTTCCGTTCTTCACCATCACTGCCGTACTGCAGCAAATTGGAGAGTTCTGTCCAGCTGATCTGAGATTTCCCGTCAGACGAAACGGTTTAGGAGAAGATTTGTCAAATATTTGGTTTTACAGGATCCAGCCGATACCCGTGTGGGAATCTCCGTCCAAGTTGCTACCATGATTTTGCATTCGATTGTTGCACCGTGTTAAGCGGGATGTTGTCTCGATACACAGATTGGACTTTCCGACAGGTCTATACAATCGGACCCGCCGTACAGACCGTCTAGAGAGATCACGCCACTCAAGTACGAGCAATTGACCAGGATCGGCGACCGAGACGGGATTAACGATCCAAGGGCAATGTTCGGGTCATACAGGATGCCCGCCCCGATGATGCTGGTATTGAGGGGTTCCGGGGGCAAATACAACAGGTAGGCAGGTCTGCTTGTTATCTGATAATAATAATAAAGGACGGAAAAGACAAAGTGCACTTTATGACCAGTGTTCGATCCAGTCAGCGGGACTTTGTTTTTGCCCTGAAATATCAACGGCACCGCAGGTGTCGTCGGCAGACACAGGCAAAGTAGCGACACGGGTGAGAGCAGCAACACGGGTGACAGGGGTGACAGCAGCCACACTGACATCCCAGATCGCCTATCTCATAGGTGAAAGAAGCTAGTCTGATAATAACTACGGACATTCGGGCGGCGGAGTAGGTTTCAAAATGGGCGATTCGCGGAAGTAAAACCTTGACATCAGACTGCCCCGAAACATGGTCGACGCAAATAGCTACACGGGTCGCCCTTGTCGACTACCCGAGAAGAGAAACGTGCTGCGCACTCTATCGTCGGGACCGAGTATGGCATCCACACTCCGCTCCGTGAGCGTGTCTAGTTGGAGTGCCCACCGATCCACCGAAGCATCGCGTACATCAGGTACGAGCGGGCGACGGGCGCACTAGGTTCAAGGCAGGACGCAATTCGTGCACATAGCCCGGACGTCGTACATCTGGTTCGTGAGGCGCACTTGAAAATTCGGAGGTTTCCTAACTTTGAACCAGACACCGTGCAGGCCCCGCTCATATAAGACGCAAAGAACACAGGTTCAAGTTGTGGACATGCCGCTCATTAGGAACGACTTGCTGTCTGTCCCGACCAGCCTGAGGACACTGCCTCAAGATATATCACAACATGGTCGCCGGTTTCATATTCCCAATCATCCTGACACTTGTTTCCACAGTGACGGCCAAGCGAAGCGTTGCGGCACTCGGGGAGAGCCCATATTCTTGCGTGGAAGCTTGCAAAGATGCTCTCGGTCTCGTGACGTTCGGCGATACCAACCCGTTGGCAGGTTACTATGCCGCGCAGTGTACCTCGAAGTTGTTTGAGACATCGGTCGCTGCGTGTGCTAACGCATACTGCTCGGCGTCGAGGATCCGCTCGGGTTGGCAGTACTCGTCCGATCTATGCAAAGACGAGGGCGGAGTCGATCTGATATCCTACGAGTCGGCTTTGGCGGCGGTGCCTACCAATATCGCGACCGTCAGCACCCTCACATCCGACGTGCTCACCTACAACGAAACCATTCTAGTGGACAAGGAGGCGTGGGCAGCTGGGTTCCATACCGAGGTAAGAAGCACAATATTCCCACTTCGATCTTTTTTCTGACCGCTCGAGTTCCGTCCTTCAGGATGCCTGGACCTCTGAGATGGGCTATCATCACGGTGAGTGACGAAACATAATCATGATGACTTGGTTAAGCTGAGCTTCATTAACTTTTGCAGCTTTTGGGTGAGGCTAAAGACTTCCAAGAGATTTTCGACAACGACGCAGCGCTGATTTAGCGATCGTCAGTTGGGCGATGTACGTGCTCCTCGCTTTGATCGTGATTACTGGACTCGTCTTCCGCCTAGCCGGATTCGTTAGAGCTCGCACGCTACCACAGATGGTAGAGCAAAGCCCTGGCCTGTCGACACGGATCCATACACTGTGGCGTAAACACATCAGCTTGCCGCTGTTCCTTCACTACCGCAATCAATCCAAAATGGGCTGGTTTCAGGTTCCCAGACGACTTCCGGCGCTTCTAGTCATCGCATACATGCTCATCAATCTGGTGTTCGTGCTCATATGCTACGACCTATTCGATGACAACTTATATTGGCGCCATGAAATCGCCGTAGGTCTAAAGCGCGATGGTCTGTGAGATTTACGCGCTGACCGGGACGTTCTCGATGAAACACAGACTCAACGCTGGCGCTACGTCGCGGACCGAACCGGTATGTTCAGGGCGGCTGACTTTTCGAACCGATCACTGAAGGCGGACGTTTTGCTCGATACTGCACAGGTATCATGGCAATCTACAATCTCCCAATCCTCTGGCTGACCGCGAGCCGCAACGACCTGCTGTTATGGATCTGCGGATGGTCCTATTCCGACGTCCAAATGTTTCACCGTGCCATCGCATTTGTCGCCACTGTCTTAGCCATTATTCATTCGGGGTGGGTCGTGAACGATACTAACATCCACAAAGTCCGAGCCTAATACTACCCGCGACGATGGCAGCGCTTACACCTGGATCGAACGAGGCTATCTAAAAGCATCTTGGCAGGAAGAATACTGGTATTGCGGGGCCATCGTGAGTAATCTCACAAGATGTCGAGAACGTAATAGGCTTAGAGTGATCGATCGGTTACAGGCTACCATCTGTATGAGCCTGATGATCCCATTGTCGCTACGAAAGTTCCGTGGGATCGCGTACGAGGCGTTCCTCGTCATTCACATCTCGCTCGCCGTCATGACCTTGGTCGCCATGTTCTAGTCAGTCCAGGCGTTCCGTGCTCGGCCATAGTGCTCACTGACCCGTAGATCTCGCTTTTATAGTCACGTCAAGATTATGGAAGGCGAATACAACGCCTATCTCTGGATCTGCGTCGGATTATGGTCGGCAGAGCGGGTCATTCGGATCGTACGCATCCTCGTGTTTAGCTGGAAAGCCATGGTCGGACAGAATGTCAAGTTGACATTGGGAGATGGTGGAAACGGGATCGAGCTCCTACATCTCACGGTCCAGACCTCGTTGTCCTATCAACCGGCCCCTGGGACGTACTATTTCTTGTATCTGCCCACCAGCTGGACACCATGGGAAAACCACCCGTTTACGCTCGCCGGAGTCAGTACCGATCTTGAAACCAGGCGGACCTCACTGCACTTCCTGGCCAAGGTCCATCGAGGAGCGACAGGACGATTGGCTCGCCGAGTGCGCAAGGCTGGCGGTGAGATCATGACCAAGGTCTGGCTGGAAGGACCTTACGGACATTCGGCGCCATTGGAAAGATATCACAACGTATTGATGGTAAGTCCTGAACCATGTGATCCTGTTACACTCCGGAAGATCGGATTTGAGCCCTCATTGTTACCGACAGATCGCCGGAGGAAGCGGCATCACGACGACCCTACCTTATCTGCAAAGACTTCACGCTCTCAGTAGCAAAAACACCGGTTGTAACGTCCGCTCGATTCGCTTGATCTGGATCGTGAGAACTCGCGCCTTCGCCGATCAGGTCTTGGCCCAATATCCAGCATTCTTCCTACCGGAACACTCTGTGTTGTCTCTCGACATTCAAGTATACATCACAGAAGGAGGCGTCGACAGCGGTAGTGCACCTGAGCTACCCTTCATCGACCACAGACCGCCGGATGAGAACGAGCAATTCTTCACCGAAAAGAAGCAAGAGGGCACCGGATCGGGGGATGCTAAGAGGGATCCGGAACCCTCGAAGACATGGGGTGAAATCACGTTCTATCATGGACGCCGACCGCAGATGCAAAGCGTTCTTGACGAGACGCTCGGGCAGATTCTACACAATGGCGGCAGGTTAGGCGTGACTACATGCGGACCTAGAGAGATGATGGACGACATGAGGGCAGCTGTAGTCTTTAGATACGGCATCGGCAAACAAGACTTGTGGGGGAGTGAGGTCGACTTGTGGGAGGAGCAATTTACGTGGTAGTGAATCCAAAAAGTCGTTACGGATGATCAGGGATGCATGTGCCGAGAGAAGTGGACAGACTTTATCATTCATTCTTGAAATTCAACTTGACTTGTAAAGGGGCGCTGAACTAGCGTTCTGTGTCCCTGCGCTCTCGTCGAAATCATCCGTACGGACATCCCCTGACACGTTCGGTAGTTACAGATTGATGCGCTGTCCGTCTCGCAAATAAGCATCCGAAAAGCCGCAGAACCGTGCTTGGGAAGGTGATGTTGGTTGCAATTGCAAGCACCGGGACTCTACATGACATCCGCCAAACGTTATTGCGCGAGCGACGCCTCATGTGGTTGGTCCCCACTTTCTTTCCTACGTAAATTGCATACTGGGTATGATTCAAGCCGTCGCTGAGACGAGACCTGGAAGTGATTTGTCCCGACTGGGAGCGACGTACCCAATGTTGAGAAGCGACTGGCTCGCTCGGCATTTTGCACACGTTTTAACATAGACATGAATTTAGATTCGACAGACAGTTCTTGTTTTCGTTTCGTTCGTACAATTTCCAACGGTTCAAATCTTGCAACAGGTTTCGATTCAACAAGCTTGATAAGACACAATCTTGACAAGCGACTACCTCATAGGCCCCTAAGTACGAGGGTGTAGCGAAGGTGAGCTTTGAACTTATTAGGCAGACCGATCAAAGCGACTCACCAGCTAGGGGTAGATACCTAGAGGTTGACGTTGATGCCGGCCAACACACCTTTGAGGATGTCGATGACACTCCCGAGGGTCTCAGCGAGAGGAAGATTAACGTTGACGTCCTTCCTTCGGAGGTCGACATTGATGCCCTTCAAGAGTCCGTTAAGGGTGTCGACTACATCGCCCAGAATCTGAGCGAGAGGAAGATTGACGTTGACGTCCTTCTTTCGGAGGTTGATATTGATACCCTTCAAAAGTCCGTTGAGGAGATCTATCACTTCGCCCAAAGTCTGAGCAAGGGGAAGGTTGACATTGACGGTCTGCCTCTTTCGCAAATCGACATTGATGCCATCGACGAGTCCATCGATGGTTCCGAGCAGCCCGTCGACGGTACCAGCCAGGGGCAAGTCGACGTCGACGTCCTTCTTTCGAAGGTTGATGTTGACACCGTCGACTACTCCATCGACGGTACCCAGAAGTCCACCCACAGTGTCGGCCAGAGGAAGGTCGACCGAGACATCACGGTTCTCAACAAGGGGAGCGGCCTGGGTGGCGAGAGCCGAAAGGGTGGCGATAAGCACGAATTTGAGTGCGGCGACCATAGTGATTGAAGGGGAGCGCGGGAGAAGCTTTAGTTGGCGGGTTGTAGGGAATGAGGATCGGTGAAGGTGGATGATAGTGATGCTGAGATTTATCCTAACTAATTCGACTGAAAGCAGGCCTATCTTGTTCTGATTATATGCCATTCCATACCGAGAGGTAACGATGATAAGGAATGTCAAGGGTATTCGACCTAGCCGGGCGACGACGTCGAAGCGCGCGCTAGAACTGGAACGGCCGACCGGTTCGAACCTGCTCCACCACAACTGTTGGTCCGAAGTCGTATAAGCAGCTAAGCAGACGACGTTGTTCATCGGATCCGCTCGGTTAGATGGCAGGGCATACGTTACAGACCATCCGTAGCGCCTCTCGGGCGCAGTCGAAGCGGCGGCCTTTGACGTTTCGACATCCTAGCGCGTCGCTTCAAACCTTAATCCCCTGGGCGCGATACGACGAAACCCCAAAGGCATCTGATATCGCAGGTAGCGCTTCGGTACCAGTCTGATCGGGGACTTCAAAGGAACTGCTACATTTGTGGGTCTATTCTGAAGCTAGTGCTCCCAGCGCATTGACCTGTGATAAGCCCTATCACCGGCTTCCGATGGTCGAACCGACGAAGATGGCAAGATACAGGATTTTGACCGGAAGGAACGCAATCAATCATGAATCGGGACAGGTCTCTATCGCGAGCGAATCAATAGGTTGCGTGATGCTGTGGTACTTGCGATCCGGCTAGCTGCCAGGATCTCGACCGGATCGCACCTTGAGTCATCTGCAGATCGACGATAGATTCCACCGATCTGTCTGTATGTTTGCCTATCTGATCTTCCGGGCCGCCGAGAATGTCATACGATCCTAACCTTTGAAGCGAAAGGATCGAACAAGGCGATCAGCTAGCTCGCTGATAGGATGTATCCCCGTTTGTAGCTTCAAAGTCGACGGCCGGTATACACCGTGAATTATGCAATGCGACATGTCCCATAGCGAAACATCGATCACTGAGCCGCTTGCGCCGCCGTTTCCGCCTCTTTTTCCAGCTTCAACCGTTCTTCTTCCTCCCGTTCCTCCATCTCGACCACCTCGACGTCCAAGGGGTAGGTCAAGATCGCTGCCACGCCGGTGAGCAGGTTGAGTTCTGAGCGCAGCGTACAACGCGTTAGTTCCCGGTCAGCCTTCTTGCTATGTTTTGGTGTGAACGGGGTGGCACTTACGTTGACCAGATTCGTGCATGCTTGAAAAGATGAGCGACTCGCCTCCACGAGCTCGGACCGCTTCCACCATCTCGACGTATCGTCTTCGCTTCGCCGAGTCGGTCGACCTGCCACGAGTTGCTCGCGGGTCAGTAGAGTGTCCTCGATTGAAAGCAGGCGCATCGAAACTCACCTGAACAGCTCGTCCGAGATCAAGAGTGTCCCCACTGCACCCCTGTCGACAGCGAGAGCCACATGATCCGGTCCGTACCAAGCCCGCAACTCGTCCGACCCCAACATCTTGTGGAACCTGCAAGAAGTCGTGCGGAATCAGCACCCATGAGACCCCACGCAGTAACAGAACTGGACGTCTTCCGGGCCTACTTTTCCAACATCACCCCTTCCTTCGCAAACTTGGTCCCCTCCAACAGACCCTTGACCTCGGGTCCTCGTAGCGCATCGACGAGACCGTGTACGTGGCTCGTATTGCTATGCACCTTGACCCATTTCGTACGCGATTGCAGGAGCGGCTTGTTCCCCGTCAGGGTGGCTTGCTGGAAGATGTAGTCGTACATCTGAAAGGTCGAGGTTGGAAAAAGGGTCAGCTCCGGATACGCCTCGCTCGGAAAAAGTTTGGTTCGACTCACGCCTTCCCGAGTGAACCCTGGACTAGCGATCACGATAGCCCTGAGGGTCTGGAACGGCAAGTGCCGGAGGACAGCCGCATAAACTGCAGCGAAAAATTTGTCCATGGCCTGTCCGAAATCGAGTCGTCCGCATCAAGCGTAAAGAAGCGTAATGAGCTCTCCTCGTCGTCTTCGTATCTGTACTGAGGGTTTGTTTCGGAGGGCTCACCTTGTCGTGCCCCGAGATCCCTCCGGCTCGTTTTCTGGGTATCGACATATCGATCCGTTGTCTGATCACCGTCATGTGATCGGATAAAAGACAGACCGCTGCCGAACCTATCAAACGAGACAAGACACCCAGGTCATCCATCAGCCCTAAGATCCTCTCCAGCCCAAGCCAAACTTTCCTTGCGAGGAAGAAAAGCGCATCTTTTCTACACGGCCAAGACCCCCGAAACTCACCTTCCCCCAAGACGACGGCGCCCACATCGGCCCCCCGACCTTCTTTCGTAGCGTCCTCGATGACCTCGAGGGCGACGCTGTCCCACCCGCCTTCTTGCTTGTGAATGGAAAAGTTCCTATTGGCTACAGGACACACAAGCAGGAGAAGAAGAGCAAGGTGATCAGTCTTGGTTTTCCGTCTCGAGATGGTTCGTGGTGGGAAGGAAGAGAGAGACAGAGACGAGGTGTGTGGATGTAGATGGATATGGGGAATCATCCGATCTGCCTCCCCGCCCCAACTTGACGTTACAGCCTTCATAGTCTACCCCGACTCACCTTCCAGATCCAACGTATGATAAGCCCCCAACTTGACATAATCGTTCTCATTCGTGACCGTCCCATTGATCTGCAACGTCGCCGTAGAATTCCTCGGGTCTTGTGAAGTGGCGCTCGAGCCGGTCGCATTATTGCCTGAAGATGAAGATGAGGGGGCTGCCGAGGTGCTAAACGAGGTCTGTATGCAGAAGAACGTGGTGGAAGCTGATTAACTGTTGAGGGCATAATATGACAAGATTGTTGAGAGATTCGGCGAGGTGCGTGGAGGGACTCGCCTTCTTGACCTGGATCTGGAGGTTTAATCGGACTCGAAAGGAATCGGACGTCCCGGTCGACGAGGTCGTCTGGACTCGTCTATAAGCAAGGTGAGGGCAGAGATCAGCTCCCGTATTGCAGCTCGTCCGATGAAGATGGAAATGGAGGAGCTGTGGCAGATATTCACCTTACAGCAGGAGCCCTGACCTCGTCGCCCTGCGAAAGGTCGATTCGACATAGAGTTTTAGCCGATCGGCTGGCAAGAGCGGAAGACGCTACGATGATGCGATGTGCCGGCTTACTTCGGTGATCAGGTTGTAGACATGCCACATATCCTCATCATCCTCGGGACACAGGGTGACATAGCCCTGAGAACAAGATCACAAGCCGACTCTTGTTACTCTCGCCTCGTCGAGAATCGTTCAGGTGGGTATGTGTTCCAGGCTGAGCTCACCGAGAGGTCTCGTTCGACGTGTTTCTTGACGAGCTTCATATCGACTGGGGATTCCGGTCTTGACAGTTGCTCTGGTTATATCCTGTACAGTGGACTCTATGGGGTATTGAGGAGTCGGTTGGTTTGAAGCGATAACGAGGTCAATGTCAGGGAGTCGAGTATGACTTTTTCCCTTTTGCTGCCTGACCGACCCCGACTGACGTCACGCTCCAGGTCCAAAGATCGAAGCTCGATCCTCTGGATCGACAGTCACTCTACTCTACCCTACTCTACTGAGCTACTGCTGATAACCTCAAAGCATACTCGGCCACTATATATGACCCATCTTCTACTCGGGGAGCATCTTCCGTCATTGAGAGCCGCGACGATATCGATCGCCACCGAAACCAGCGTCCTGACGTATTCTTCTCCACATTCTCCTATATCAATCCTGTGAACCTGCCTCCCTGTACTGGACAGTAGTATCGTCGGAGCTTTTGACCATAGCTCTTCTGCGCTGCTCCGGGAGTATGCGGTTGCCGCGAGACTCAGAAGAGGTCCGCTTGGGGCAGAGGAAGTGATGGTGGTAGCCCAATCTCGAACTTCATCCAGTATGCGCATGTATAGAGCGCCCTTTGTAGCAACGCGTTTTCGTGAAGAATAACGCTTCCTCGACGCGAAGCATGGAGAATAATAAGCCATTGGAGGTAAAAACTGGGGAAAACTAAGTAGCTTTTGATACTGAGAACATCAAAAACAAAAATAATCTACCCTTGTACGGTCCCTACCCTGTCAGGCCTGTAAGCCTATGTAGCCTATGTACCCTGTACTATCGACTTTGAAGTCTATCTTGATAGCCTATCTGCATCTTATCGTCACTACGTTCCTCTACCGTCTTAGCATAGCAAAAATGAACCCCCTCGCCAACCTCGATGAAGCTACTCAGAAGCGATTGTTTGAACATATGGCAGGTTTCTTTCTTTCTCAACCGGCGACATCTGCACCTCCCCCAAACCCACCTCCTGCTCCTGCTCCTCCTCCATCGGCAACCATCGTCTCTATCCCACCACCCTATATTGCTCCGCCTGCTGCTGTATCTTCGTATTCGAGCCAACATGCATCCACGTCGTCCAGCAGCCAACCCTATTTGCAATCACCCGTGCAAGGTCCCCGTGACATTAGGGCAATGTTAGATGCTCAGCATGGGGTACCATATGGTCGGGAGAGTGTACCGAATCATTCTGGCGTTGGATCCATTCATCATCATGCAGGTGGGAGGATTCAAGTCAGGGGACATCCGTTGCAAAGACAGCAGAAGAAACCGAACAAGATCGGTAGGCCTGTTAGCATTGTCTCAACCGGCAAGGTAAGTTTAACCCCCGCAAGGCTCCCCCTGACCCCAGCTCCCCTACATAACACTGACGACAGCGATTCAGGTTGCTTACATCCCGTGTGGGTCTCTCATAAGGAACCAACTTGCTATCACCGCCCCGGGCAAGACACGATGGGCACCTTTGATCGAATTCCTGGAGATACAAGGCTATATGCGGACGTTTCAACTTGAAGACAACATGTCGACACAAGATATAGCGGCACATATCGAGAAGACGTTCCAACGTAGCCCAAGACTCCCCATCCCATTCCCAGCTGTATGGTCGTGGGCGAAACTCTCCGGCAGTTCACACATCTTTCATCCTCATTACGTCTGGAACCCATGGCAAACGAACCTCTCCAAGTTGAAGACGGAGTTTAAGGGTAGCAATATCGCCTTCGTATTTCCCCAAACATGGCCACTGGAGATCCACGACAACCAGCACTTCCGAGCCGATCTAGCCCTGGCGATACACCGTGACCCTCTCACCTGGGAACACATCTCCGATACCTCCAAGAAAGGCAAAGGAAAACAGCGGGCTGCATCGGTAGTGGAGTTGGAGGATGTAGCCGAGGATGTCGTTCAGGAAAGTGATGGTATGCAGGAATGCAAGCACTGTAACCTGGTGCTCCCTGCTGAGCGAATGGTTCCCCACTGGAACACTTGCCCGGGTTACCGGGATGAACATATGGTTGAAGAGGAAGAGACTCAAACGGCAGATGAAGCAGACGGTGAAGAAGAGGATCGGATGGACGGGATTGTTAACCAGCTGGAAGACAACTTTATCAACTGGAGTGGCACGGAGGATGAGCAGGTTGTTACGGTTCCCGAGATCGCTGGTGTAGTTGATCCTATCCTGCGTGAGTGTACTGCGTACAACTTTGAAGACTTCAATAGCTCAAGTCCACACACAGATACTGGCAGTACCCTCGTCAATCCCCCTCCGTCGCCGGTACCCCATCAGGTCACCCCCAGCAAATCCTCTATCCCCTCGTCGTCAGCAGATCTCAAACCCATCATGCCCGAGGACAAATTCATGGCGCTATGTCAGACCCAGCTGGAAGCATGGGGTGCTAGTCATTTCAGACGCATCATCGATGATGTATTCCAGACGAGACGGCGGTTAAGAAGATCCTCGTCGATGGTCGGAGATACATCGAACGACACGGTTGGTCCCCACGATTCTGCCAGTCAGGTCACTGCCCGCTCTAGCCCTCCCAGAAACAACCCAGACGCCATCAAGATCCCTGTCCCTCGAATTGTGTTCAGGGTGAAACGACCGGCCGAGCTCTCTGATCCCCTTGAGACTACCTTAACAGCACAAGAATCACCAGAGGCTGAGGGAGGGGTTGTACCTGCTGCGTCTGAGGAGAACAACGAACCTGGAAAACTTGACATCGGAGACGGACGACCTGTAAAGCGAGCTCGTAAGGCTAAGCCAGTATTCACAGGTCCGCCACGACGTACGACTAGAGTTGTTCAGGCTCCCAAACGTGTACCTTAGTCTAGCTTCATGACAACTCGTAAAATGATATGGTATTAAAAAGAAGATAACAAAATCGAATACAAACACCACATCTAACCAGCACCGGGACCGGGAGGACGCCCAAAGTTCCCCGCTCCAAAACCGTACGGGTTGTAGCCGTAAGGCCCAGGGGGGAACCCCCACCCTGCCCAGGGGTTGGGAGCGTTGGCAGCGGTGTTGCTGCTGGTCGAGTCTGGCGAGACCGGGGGCTCGGCGGGGGCGGTGGAGGCGGCGGCGGCTCGGGCCAGGTCGAGGTTGGTCGGCTTCTTCTCCTTGACCGACTTCGCATTTCCCGAGCTGAAAGGCTTCTGAGTGAAGCAGCACTCGCCATCTCTCCACCTCCAGATACACCTCACGCAATGTCCCGGCTGGTCGGGGACCACCACGCAGACGTTGTACCGCACGTCCATCTGCTTCCCGAGAGGGGTCGTCTGCTTCCCGGGCTTGGTCTTGCCAGTGCAGCAGTTGCACATGGCATCACCCATCAACTGGATGGAATCCTCCCTTATGAGGAGGGCCTCGGCATCCTGTTGTAGGCGTATACACAAACACAAAACGTAAGTAACCTGTCAAGGTGATATGGTTGAGGTAAATCCTATTCGACTTACCACCGCTCGCTGCCAGGTATCAGCCGTCATCCACGCCGGCTGGGTCTCCGGGAGTTCGAACACGTCCCCCCTCTTCACTCCCCGCATCGACCGACGCTTGGCGGGAGAGGTGAAACCCGTCCCGGTCACCTCAACCTCGTCCTCCTCCTCCTCCTCGACCGGCGCACGGGATCTCTTCTTCCCCTTGCCCGTACCACTTCCACTCGCCTCACCACTCCCACTTGCTCCTGCCGAAGCCTGCAAGGCTTTCATCATCGGGATGAAGCTTGCCATTTGAGCGGAGAGAGCCGCTATCTGCTCTATCTGGCCCTGAGCAGGGGTGGTGTCGACGGCAGGGGTCGGCTGAGGGGTGGGGGGGGTGGGGCAGGGGGGGACGGGTCGGCGAGGGTTCGCTGTAGGACATCATATCCGATCATCAGTATGTGCCAACCCCGAAGAACTCTGACAAGCTACTCACCTGCGTCGAACCTTTTGAGAGCCTCCCTGATCATCCCCCGGCTCTCAGGGTTTGCGATGAGGCTGTCAATCCTCTCCCGCTATCAAGAATATCGAACGTACGAGTGAGTATCCGAGAGTGAATAGGATAGCGAGGCTACATACCAGGATCGCCAACCTCTCATCCTCCTTCCTCTGGGCTTCTTCGGCCTCCTTCCGTAGCCTCTCCGCTTCCTTCGCCTGGTCCTGGGCGAAGACATCTGTTGTTATGATATATCAGTAAGTCATGATCGGGATATAATCATCTTGTCCGATGCAAAGACTTACTTCCCAGCCGCTGAAAGTACAGCAGCTTAGTTTCTTGTGGCTGCGTCAGCAACCAGGTTTCCAACGCTAGAAAGGAGAAAAACAGTTAGGACAATTTGATACTCAAAGGTACACAACTGCTTACGCATTCCCTCCGGGGGCATAGGAAGGCCCACCGGTTCCGGGGTGATACTCCGGGATGCTGGTTTCTCGCCGTTTGTCATGAGTGATGGGATATGATCGAAGTTGATAAAGGTAAGTAAATGAAGCTGAACGTGATTGCAAGTAAAGATGAAGGATTCGACGTTCTTGATCAACAACAACTATATACGGTAGCTGGCCTGCTGGCCTACGCTGCTAGCCTTCCTAGCCTACCAGGCCTACCAGGCCAGAGAGCGTCATCGAAGAACAAAGAACAAACAACAAACGACAACCTTCCTTTGGGTTCCTTGTTTGATCGGCCAATCAGCGCAGGCGAAGAATATGCTAGAACTATCGATATAGCAGTATACTACAACACATTCAGGGTGTACTAGGCAGAGCGAAGCCTGGGTTTGATCGAACAGAATCATACACCCACTGTCGAACAGCAAGGTAGCGTAAGGTGTCAAACAACCCATCTTCACCCTCATCAAGTTCGTGCGATGTTTGTATGGGAAACGCTTCCGCCAAGGCCTTTCGGAACCCCTCGTCCTGTAGTAGAGGGGGTAACATCTCGTGATATCGCTCAACTTGCACATAAGGGTCTGTATCTTGCGCCGGTCGGTTCTGGTCCTCCCGTTGTTGTTCCGAAGGCCAAGTTGTCACTTTCGTAGTGTGCCGACCTGGCTCTACGTCTTCTTCATCACCCGACAAACATTCGTCGATCACACCTTCGTCGTCAATGACTGCGTCGTTGGGGAAAAGGTCAAGGTCCATCCCCCTCGCTTGAGCTTTGAGATTCCCGTCCAGCCACTTCTTGTAGGGACTCCACCCTCGTTCACCCTTGGTTGTGCTGCCGTGGCTGTTGTGGGCAACGATATGGGTGGAGATTGTCCGGTTGATAAGAGGAAGGAAGCAATAGTGCAGGCAGAAGATATCGACTGGCTCGTCAACATCAAGATCGTGTTGTTCTTCCAGTTGTGCAAAGGTCCGGGCATACTTCTGGGTAAAGCGTTCGCCTATAGTCTTCCAGTGCCGCTCGATGGGGGTGTTACTCGTAGACTTTCCACGGATGAAGGGAGCCTTCACAGTATCTGTTACCTAGGGATCAGTATCATACGTTGCAAGGCTTGTATGTATACCACTTACGACGAATAGCGACCATTTGTTCCCAGATCCCGTTGTTCTCCTTTCCGTAATCCACCCTGACCCGTTGAGGCCATCCCCATCTCTCCGCTGCTTCAAGGAACGACCTCTCCACCGTCTCCGCCCTGTTGTTGTCGCTGGCAGCCATGAACACACAGACTCGGCTGTAGCCATCGATTCCACCGTGTATCACAAATTTCCAGCGAATGAGTTTATGTTGGCCGTCGATATGCCATAGCGAGTTGGGGAAGGGAACCTTGTAAACCCTTCGCTGACGAACTACCGCCCGACGTAGCCGGTGAGCACCGGGATCAAGCTCTTGGAGGAGTATCCGAACCTGCTTCCTGGTAACTGTTACACCCTGTCCTTGAAGCCAACCGAGAACGGTACGATAGCCCACCATGACCTGATCGTTCTGGCGGAGGTAGTAGCGGACCAGCTGCAACGGGCAACAACAACAGCAACACCCTTCAACCTTTGTATTCGGGTCGGTACGAACGATGTATATTGATCACTCACTTCTATCAAATCCTCTTCTGTGTAGCGATGCTTCTGTTGACGTTTCGGTTGTGAACCCAGGGCTGCCCGTCTTCGTCGAACGGTCCATCGCGAGCATCCTAGATGTTTCCCGATTTCAACATCGGTAAAACCGTTCTTGTCTAGGTGTTGTAGTAGGACGGTATTGACATCAAGCGACCAGCCTCGAGCGGAAGGGACGATCCGCCTTGCTTGGTGAGGAGTGTGGCCATGCAGCAGTGACTGGTGACATGCCGCTAACTGATCTCGGTATGATCTGGTACCCTGGAGGTGGTTGTTGTACTCCTGCATCGGCAACTTGCCCTTGATCTCCTGCGTAAGAAAGTATATAAGATCATCTAGACTGTGGAGGAGCAGCGGTATGTTGCTGGGGTCTCGTTGGTCGGCAGATTGATCAAGGAAAGCAGCGACGGGGGTGTGCAGGTCAGCAACGTAGCTTGCTATCGCTGCTTGAAGGAGTGTAAGGGCACGATCTTCTTCCATTGTGATTGCGAATAGTGTTATTGGATGTAGTGAATGATGCAATAGGCTTCTGAAGGGAGTACAGTGTACAAGTTGTCGACTTCTAGGGAACTTAGGGGTAACAGGGATAAAGGCTACAGACCGTACAAGGGTAGATTATCTTTATTTTTGATGTTCTCAGTATCAAAAGCTACTTAGTTTTCCCCAGTTTTTACCTCCAATGGCTCTTTATTCTCCGTGCTTCGGTCGAAGTTGTTATTGTGTCGCGCGCGCGAGCGATTTTGATTATTCTTCAGAAATCAACCGTTGCTACAAACGGCCCGGTATACGCATGTGTTTGGACACGAGTGTTTCCGCAAACTTGCGTGGCTGAGCAGCTGGATGGTTTGTAACGTCAATGCTGTCCTCATGGAATGATCCCACTGGGCTTACATCTTGAGATCGTCTCAGCTATACGTCGGAATCGTAAGGAAATCGCGATGACCGCCTGTTGGTTCATCAACGGTCAATCTCAGCACACGGAAGGCGACCTCTAGTCAACACTGCGTATCGACGACATCTTAGAATTACTTCCCGACAAAAGCTCCCTTCAATCAGACTTTGGTAGCCTTATCATGGCCGCCCCCGCCTCTCAACCGGTCAGGTCCACCCTGTTGGACGGCAACCACGCCTTTCCACCTCTCTACGCTTGTTACCTCTTACGGAGCAAGACCAGGCCGAACGTAACTTACATCGGATCGTCCCCAGACCCGCCTAGGAGGCTGAGGCAGCATAACGGGGAGATCACGCAGGGTGCGGTATCGACGATGAAGTATAGGCCTTGGGAGATGCAGATGATCGTCTATGGGTGAGTTTGGTCGAGTCGATCTGATGGTTCGATATACACCGATCAGGAGCTTTCCCGCTCATGTATCGTTTGATTGATTTGGTGAACATCGATTGCGGGACGTAGATTTCCGAGCAAGTTGACGGCCCTACAGGTAAGCTCTCCTCGATACTCTCGAAACCTCTCTATACAGTGTACTGACGCACTTTGGTCGTGCAGTTCGAATGGGCTTGGCAGAAACCCGACCTATCTCGACATCTTAAACAACCCGTCCCATCTCCCGCTACCACAATCACAACGACCACCACCAGCTCTACCTCTACCTCTAAAGACCCCTCCACGAACCTTCACACCCCAGGACCTTCCGAACCAACACCAGTAGAAGCCCTCAAACCCATCTTCCCGCGTAACGCCCTCAGAAACAGGGTAGAGACCAAGATGGCCGTCGCTCGGACGATGCTCACCCGATCGCCTTTCCGGAGATGGCCCTTGCACGTCAGGGTTTTCACTAGGGAAGCTTGGGAGATCTGGGGCGGGTTCAAGGTTGTCGGTCAGGAGGAGGAGGAGGAAGCTGAGGTTTATGAGGCGCAGGACAAGGGGAAAGGGAAAGGCAAGGGAAAGGCGGTCAGTGCCAAGGTGAAGAAACCCCCGGGCAAGAGAAAGACCTTAGCGGAGAAACGGACGTACGACCCTCTGCCCGAGGTAGCTACGGTCATGCTCGACCTTGGCGGGGTGGATGGACAAGCCCCGGGGAGGACGGAGGGGACGAAGGGGGTGACCAAGATCGACGGGCCGATCGATGTGGAGGATACCGAATTTAGGGGGATGGTTTGGGATAAATGGAAAGCTTTCAGAGAGGGAGCGGAGGGGAGCGGGGGGGAGTGTGCGGTTTGTGAGGAGGTGATCGAGGATGTTGATGTGAGTGGCACGTTTTGTCCGGCTAGCGTAATGTCGAGAGGAGTCGTCGAGATCTGACGTGTTGGCCTTCTTTACTAGGATCATCTGAACGTTGCATTCTGCATCTCGTTTGCAGGCTCAGATGCGGGAAGATCGATAGCCAAATGCTACTCTATCGCCCACCTCCCATGCTTAGCAAAACACTTCCTAGCGAACCCTGGTTCCGAGGAATCTGTTACAGGCAACCTTGCGAACCCGATCTTGCCCCATACCGGCCATTGCCCCCGGTGTAATACTCGCTCAGATTGGGGCGAGATCATCCGAGGTATCTACGCTCGCAGGGATGGAGAAAAGGAGAACGTCGAGTTGACGGAAAAGGCCCGGTTGAGGGATATGAAGGCGGCCGAACTGGCGGAAAAGTTGGCCGAGAGGAAACGCAAGGTGGACGAGGAGAAGGAGGTGAAACGGAGAAAGACGGAAGAGGCCAAAGAGGAGAGACGGCGGATGAAGGAGATGGAAAAGGCGGACAAGCCCAAGGTGAAACGGCGAGCCAAGTCCAAAGTCACCGATTCCAGCGAGAGCGAGTAGGTCGTCTCCGACTGTCAACTCAAACTCTTCCCGTACTGGACACTGCAATCTGCGGTCATGACGGATATGCCTGGAAGGGCTCGACTCGATCGCAACTCTGTCAGGCGCGATCGATAGCCTACGTTCAATCGGGCTTGTCAGGGCCAATTCGATATCGATTCTTGGCCGTCACCGAGTCGCATATGGTCGAATCGACGACCGACATCTGCATCGGGCTTCCGCGAGCATGATCCGCTTGCCAGGAGCGGCACCATTGTCCCGTGGGCACCATTGAAGACAGGTAGACATCATCATAAAGCGAAACAAGGCAGATCGCCGGCAAACAAGTCAAAATCGGCTGCGTACAGGTTGTGAATCGCTTGTCGTAGTCACGAATGTTGAACCATATTTCATATGGGTCTCATCCTTTCGAGCCCCGACTCCGCAGTCTCCCAGCTCCGATTTCATGTATAGCATGTATAGAGCACACTCTGTACATTCCTCGCCTGATGGCCATTTCCCAGAAAGCATATCACATCATCATAATGCGGGCGATGTACACCCTCGTACATCAACGGGAAAAGAGGCGATCGTAATGAAAATATCGTAAAGTAATCGTATATAGGTCAGTCAGAAGAACCGCTGGGGCCGGCTCAGAACTGGTCGGTGGCGAGAATCGATTTCCCGCCGTCGTCGGTGATCCGCCTCCTGGTCTTGGCGACGATATAGCCCCGACCCAGTTGACCCACTTGAGCTTGGGCGGGCACCTTGGCAGAGGCATGGGCGGGGGCGGGAACGGGATCCGGAATGTCCCAACCACTGGGGTCGACTCGAGGACTGCTTGAGGTCGCAGCGGGTTCGATATGGAGCTTCTCCGTCTGTTCGTCAAGTGCGTCGATCCCATCCGCAGCGAACTCGGCCGCCATCTGAGGTTTAGACCCATTCTTTTGAATGATGATATCGATATCATCCGATCCGATCGACCGGGTATCGTCTGCGCCACTGTTTCCCCACCCTTGACTATCCTTTTTAGTATCACCATCGGCAGGTGCGCCCCAAGTCCCGTCGCGACCGCCTTTGTCGGCATCGCCTTCTCCGCTGCCCCAGCCAGAATCTACGTTGGGCGAGGTGTCGTTCGTCGGACCCCAGCCCGAAACGGTAGGCGCTCCGTCACCATTGCCCATGGGATGCTCGTCTTCCTCGGGCGCCGTGACGAACAAGGCGGTAGGCGAGAAGATCAGGCATTCACCTCGCTATAGCATATGAGGGTTCGTTGATCAGTCAACCGGCACTTCAACATATAATATGCGATCAGTAGAATCTACTCACATCCAACATGACGACACGCTCGAACGCCTCGGCGTCCAATTCGCTCGAGACGTGTTTCGCCAGGTGCGTAAACCAGCCGGCGCTGAAGAAGCGATGACATACGATGAACGAGCAAAGGTCCAAGAGGCTCGATGGGACGACCGTAGGTTCTTGTGTAGAGATGATCACTCGCATGGCCAAGTGACGTTGTTGTCGGGTGAAACTGAGGAGTCTCTCGGTCAACCGTTTAGATCCTTCAGAAGCGACGGTACCTTCGGCACTGAGGTACTGTGCATATATCCTCCAGTCAGATCAGACATCCGGCTTCGTGTAAGAGGAATGGCTCACCTTGTGGGCTTCGTCCAAGACGACCACTTTGCTGCACCTAAGCTCGGCCTTGTTGTACAGCTTGAGCACGATTTCGAATAACGAACAAGCCGACGAAGGGCTGATGAAACTGCGTCCGCACGGAAACGTCAGTCTGCTTCAGGCATAGCCTTGGGATTCGAGCGGATGGACTCACGGATCAGTTAAGTCGACGATCGTCAACATGCCCTTCTTAAACCTCCCATCCCTAGGCTGCCTAACAACAGGTTGTTGACCGTTGATCCCTCTTTTCACACCCACGAGCTTCCCATCGTCCGTCTTCTTGCACAAGAATCCTTCGAGCAGGGACAAACGCTGGTCCAACATCCTCGCTTGGATAGGCTCCAGCATGAGGGATCCTAAACGCAACTTGAAGTTCGTGTAACTGTATGCCTCGCCCAGGTCGGAGAGGACCTGCATGACCATATGCATATACAGCGGCATCTGGCCGGATTCCGAGACTGCCATCAACGAGAGCAAGCTCGTAGCGTCAACATCTTCTTCCTGGAAATAGAGCGGGTAGACTTTGGCACCTCCTCCAAACTGGGCGTACGAATGCGAGACGTGCTTCAAGTTCGAGGGCGAACAGAAGACGACGACCTCGGGGCAGACGACCATGGGGTTGTCGCATAGACCTAGGAACGTCGCTTCGCACGGTTTGAGAGAGGTTCCGGATTCGCCAAAGTGCAAGACCAATCCGGATAGAGGCGAGGGGAGGAGGCCGAGGCGGTCGTCTTCGATCATCATGCTTTCGAGCAGTACGGAGACGGTGTGCGACTGTAGCGTGAGATAGTGCCGGCTGTTAGAGGGACATGCAGCTGGTACGGTGAACTCGAGGACTCACCTTTCCCGACCCCTGTACACCGCAGACTGAAACGGAGAGATTTTTTTCAGCCTCGATCTCGTCTCTGGAGGAACGACGTTGGGGGAACTTACCGACAGCGGTAAAGGGCGAGTTGATATTACAGTACAGCCTCTTGTCATCCGGCTTGCTCGGGAACCCTTTCGCACTGGAAGCCGAGCCATCAATCTCGCGTTACCTTTCAAGGTCGTTCGCTGGAGGAAGGGGGAAGGAGATAGCATGCATGTATGTGTGCGAAAGAACTCACTTGGTCTGAAGGACCTGACCAAACACGCCGTACTGAGGCAGAGATCCTTCTTCGGCTTCGATGGCAGCATCATGGCTGATGAGAGGAGCCGTGATCGCTTCTGTATCGACAAGCAGTCGAGTAAATCTTCAGTTGGATGGCCTTTCTTCAAGACTTCTCGGCGAGTAAAGAGCTCACCGACATCATCAGGCTTCTCATTCCCGTTGATATCCGTCTCCTCGTCGATATCGTCGAGCAGAGACAACCCCTCGTTCTTGATGAACGTCGTCTTTTTCGCATGAGAAGCCGAAGCAGACTTCTTTTTCCTGAACCCGGGGAAGTCGGGCTTTTTGAACATTTTGTTGTGAGGAGGGCTCGTGATTGCTTGTTGATGATGGATGTCAGGAGGAGTTTAGCTGCAGCTAATGGAGGTCGTCTGATGTGTCGTTCGTCAAAGGACTCGGGAGGAAGCTAGATGGTGGAGAACGTCATGTCCTTCATAAGGACTCCATCTCGAGTAAAGTGCAAGATGATTGAGAAGCAAGAAGCAAGAAGCAATAGTACCCGTCCAGGGGTACAAGGTGGATCGACCCTTTTGGCTTGTTCGTGTTGTTGTTGTTCCTCGAATGATGATCGTGACCCGGGGGGAAAGGAAGGACGACCCTTCTTTTCTGTCGTCAACGACCGGGATTGTCGGGAGGACCGAGAAGCAGGTTCTATATGAGCGATAGTATCTTTCCTGTTGCCCTGTTGCCCTGTAGGCTATTGCTAGATCGTTATTCGTGTCGGCTAAGCCTCGTCAAACGACACTTTCAACGTTGTCGCCGTTGAAGAAGACTTGAGCTCATCACCCGAGAAAAGCTTCCGGTCTACCGACTTTTTGTTTCCGATCCGCTCCCAAACCTAATTTCAGGCACGCGACGACATGCGCACGACCTTTGCCACGTGCGACTGTACAGTACTTGATCGACGGGCGACTGGGTGCCACGTCTCGAATAGAGTAAGGCCTGAGATTACCATGAACGGCTGGTATATCGTGCCGGCATCTTCCCATTATGGAGTCGAGTCGAGTTGAGCGCCACGACTTTCGATACGATTGCTTTGGGGCCGAAAAATGTGCATTCTTACGCTCTCGGCCTCATGTTAATATGCGTCTTACAGATCTTACATGAACCGCATCGTGTATCTTCAAGCAAAACAATAATATCGATGTCGCGCACGATAGTGTGATACTATGTTGAATTTCCTCGATCGAGTCTGCTAGTCGTTTTGCGCTAGCTCACTTCCGCCCGCTTAAAATCTACACACAAACATATACCGACGGCCGCCCTTGGGTCGATAAGGTATTCTCTCAAGGGATCTAAGCGATGACGAAACGAGGAATCTCTTCAACCCTAGATGAAGCTCAAGACGTCCACTAGCCCTTGGAAGCCTGGTGGAACGTGGACCTAGATGGGGAAGAAGGTTTCGAGCAACTTAGCTCCACTGCGTTGAGGCTTATTGGCCCTCAAGACCTAGGCGACGCCGCATGAGTTTGAGTCTCAACAGTTATACAGTCTCGCCAATTCAGATCGAGATGAGACCGCAGAATCACTCCTCTGCCAGCGGGAGGGAAAAAAACCTTGTCCGATTACAATTCAGAATCAATCCAGTATCCTCCTGGATGCAATGCTGCCTAGACACACTCCCCCTGTCCTTGACATCCTTTGCTATATTGTGAAACAACAGATGCGACTTCCGATGGTGTTGAACGGATATTGTAGGTACGTCCGCGCTCGGACAGGCCTCTTCGATCGGTACTCAAGCTCTGTATAGACTGATACCAGCGCCGGCACTACCCGTGTTGAAGCGCCTTTTCGAGGTCTGGCATGGTAGCCGGACCTGATCGAGTACGACCGCTGATTGCGACGTCGCACGACCGTCTCGTCTGTTATAGGTAGGCTGATGCTGCGGTCGATCTCGGAACCAGGCTTGACACTACGATTTCCAACCTATCGATCTGTGATCTGTGGCCGCTGTAGACCGGGGCGAGCCGCAATCCATCTCACGATGCATTTACTGAATCACTGGAGTTGCGATCCGGGCCACGAAAGAAGTGGTTCCCACCGAAGGGATAGCGACAACTGCCTGACAAAGGGATTGCGCCGCAAGCATGAACCGGAACTCGATCGCGCTCCTGTAATATCGTTTCATCATCGCCTTTCAAGATCCATCTAGTCGATACAGTAACAAATCCTCATCCTTACGCGTGTGCGAGTTTATCTACCTGTCTATTTGGCTCTATCTGTACCTAGTTGACTTCCTTCTCGATGGCGAGGAACCTATCGACGGTGTCCTTGACGCAGTCCTCGAAGGAGATGTCTGTCGAGAGGCACCCGTACTCGTCAGCCAGCCATCCGGCCCGCATCTACAATCATAATCCCCAAGACGCTCGCAGGACTTACACCTCAACCCGAGCTCCTTCTCGGCCTTGCTAGCGTCCAATGTGAACACCTTGCCATCCGGCTTCTCGCCCCTCTTTCCCTCGGCCAACCTGTCCTTCAAGTCCGGGTATCGGTCCCGGATAGAGTCGACGATGGTCTGGTTGGTAAAGGTTCCGTTGCAGACAAGGTACCGCTCGTTCTTGCCCTCGATCGAGGACTTGAAGTGGGCCTCGGCGACGTTTCGAACATCAGCGAACTGTCGGGATGCCCGTAGGAATCGAGAGGTCGGAGAAGCGTATAAGCCGACGTCGGACTTTCGCACAGGATCTGCAGCGCCGACTCACAGCGGGGAAAGCGGTGTCGGGGACCTCCTTGCTCGAACTCCCATCCTTCTTCATCAACCCATAAACCGCGCCGCTAGACGTGTTGAGCGCGTCCAAGCTGTCGACGTTGTGCAAGGGAGGGCCAAAGACCATGGGCGGGCAGATGGTCGAGAGGGTAAAGTTGGACTGTTCGGCGATCTCCCAGGCGGTCTTTTCCGCAAACTTTTTCGAGGCGCAGTACCACAGGCTGGCGGCCATGGGGCTGTCGACGAGACGCACCCAGGGGGGCGGGTGCGAGTCAGTCTCCGTTTCCTATTGCGATCATGTTGCTATAGTAGAAGCGAGGCTGAGAACTCACTTGTCGCTCTTCAACCCCTCACACTCCTTCTCCGTGATCGGGTTCCAATCCTTTTCAGTATAAACCTTGCCAGCCTGTTCAGTCGCCGGCTTGCTAAAGTCTCCGACGGCTGCGAGGGCGACGCAGTAGTCCCAGTTCGAGTTCGAGGAAGAAAAAAAAACAGAGTCAGTCAGGACTGTGAGATGCCGGCACGGCAGGCGCGAGGGACCTGAACTCACAGGCAAACGAAGAAGTGACGACGACGTGCTTGACACCTATAATATATCATCCAACCCGACAACAGGACCAACATTAATATCGAGGACAACAAACAAAGGAAAGAATAAAAAGAACACACTACTCACTAGACTCCTTCGCAGCGGCCTCCAAACAGTTCCTCGTACCCCTCACAGCCGGGTCCCTATAGTCTTTCTCCCAAGACGAGCCGGACATGTGGAAGGGCGAGGCGGTGTGGGCGATGATGCTTACGTCCTTGACTGCGAGATGGACGGGTTGGCGAGATAGATAAAGAAAACAGGGAGAATGGTGTCGATGTGGGGTGAATTGGGAATTAGGGGGAAAGGGGGAAGTGTGATATCAGTAAGATGGCCATAGAGTACGCTGGATGGATGGAAATCCCGGACGAAGAAACCAAGAAAGAGATTCGAGACTCACCCGCCTCGCTGAAATCCCCCGTAACAAGATCCTCTACGACGACAAAACTCAACTGCTCCAAATAAGGCTGGAAACAAGGCGTCTTCTTGACGACCTCTCCCTTCTCTTGGGACCTGACGGTCCCCCGGACGGGGTGGCCGTTCTTGAGGTATTCGAGGGCGACGTGGGTGGCTACGAAGCCGGAGATGCCGGTTACGAGGACGAGCTGGTTGGACATCGTATCGTATTATTCTTTGTATGAATAATGTGGTGTGGGTATGGGTAATACGAGGTGGTATAGGTTGGGTATGGGTGTGTAGGGGAAAAATCGTTATGGCTCGCTCCGCCTTTCAGCCCTTTCGAGACGACGGACCGTAGGATATATATACTTTTCTCCAAGTTATCCAAGCGGCGATGACCCCCCCGAAGTAGGAGACGAGAGGTCATGACGACGACGACGACCTTTGATGCCCTCGGTAGCAATTAGCAATCGACGAGGAGTACTTGCCGGCGGGAGAGGAAGGGGAGTGGAGGCCATTCGGGAGAGGTGGAGGTCGGGTGCCACGTCATCGACCGAAAGGGAATCCGCCGCATCGCTCGACGTTTCATCGTTCTCTCGCCGAGGCGACGTGTATACAGAGCAGTGCACATGCCGTACACGCCACCGATCTGGCGCCTCGGCCGAATATGCTTCCGATACCCACAGGCTTTCCCCCCACGTCCGGAGGTAAATCCGCGGATGCAGAGCTCTCTCTCGGTCGCCGGTCGATCACACTTTACAACGTACAACTCTCTCTGATTGCTGCTTGCGATTGACGACCTACAGTCGATCTTGTTATACAGCCCGACATTCCTCTTGCGATTGCCATAAACACAATCGCACCACCATCTCACAGCAGCGAAGCAGGCGGGTGACCTCGCTGCTCGCTGACAGGCCAGGATCGTCAACCATGCAGCCAGACACAGGGTCGTCAGAACGCGAAGACGAGGCGGTCTCACCCGCGACCATTATCGTTCGTCTCCAACTCTTCCTCTATCTGAAATCTATTTCCCATGGCAAAGACCTGGTACTAAACCTCACGTCTCGACCCGTTTCACCCATTCTAGAACCCCGCCCCCGCCCGACGTTCCCTAGACTGCCAGACCCTGCTGCAAGAGATAGACTGGTCACAAACCTCGCTCGGACCGCGGGAAGGATGGTCTCCCTCGATAGAGACGATGATACGGACCGTGATGGCGTCCAAGACTCAGGATGCGCTGTGGTTGGGGGAAGAATGTATCATGGTCTAGTGAGTCCGATACGACTCGTTCTTTCCCCCACAATCACAATCGTCTGGGTCTGCATATGGCAACAACCATACTATACCCCGCTCCTTCTGTCATGCACAAGCTTACTGTATTCGATTCGGTCGTCTGTGATATATCGCAGTAATCAAAACTACGCCGATATCGTGCCCCATCCTCAAGTATACGGCCGGTCAGCCAACATCCCCGAAGCATGGGGTCCGGTCTGGCACGGCGTACACCACCTCATCCGAGCGTGTATAGACCTCGGTCGAGCCCATTTCGTAGAAAACGACCTCTTGCTCTACCGTCGTGGCCCAAGGGGGCACTATGTGGAGAAATACCACACTTGGAGTTTTATACCGATTTTCAACCCTGATGGGAGCGTACCGGGGATATATAACCCTACTCAAGATACCACGGCGGCCGTCTTAGCGCAGAGGAGACAGCGGACGACGAAACGGTTCTCGGAAAAGGTCTCTGTGGCCAGGACCAAAGAGGAGTTTTGGCAGGGCATCGCGGGAGCTGTGGAGGATGACCCTAAGGACGTGCCGTTCTTGATGTGTTATAGCGTCGAGGAGGACGAGGGGAAGCAGGAGGGTGGGATGGACTCGAGGACGCTGAGGCTGTCGTTGGAGAGCAGCGTAGGGGTTCCCGAAGAAGGACACCCCTCCGTGGCTGCTAGCATGACCATCGAGCTCCCTCCTGTGCGGGAACAGGCTCGAGCGTCTTCTACCGGCTCGACGGAACCCCTGAAGAGCCTCGACAAGCACGCCTGGCCGATCGCCAAGGCGTTACGTACCCGTCAATGCGTGGTCGTGGACGACTGTTCGAAGCTCATCCGAGGTTTCCCTTTACGTCAATGGGATCAATTGCCGGATTCCGCCATCGTCATACCCATCTGTAGCGAAATGTCGACAGAGACCCCGAGGGGGGTGTTGGTCATGGGTCTCAACCTGCTCTGTCCGTTGGACGACGAGTATTACGATTGGATCCAGGTAACCCGGTCGCAGTTGACCTCGGCGCTGGCGTCCGTCCACGCGTTGGCGGCGGAACAACAGAGGCTGGTCGATAAAGAACGGTTGGAGCGGGCCAAGACGGCTTGGTTCCAGGGGGCCGCTCATGATCTGCGTTCACCGCTGACGCTGGTCTCCGGCCCTCTCGGGGACGTGCTCGACTCGAAAGACCTCGCTCCTTCTCACCGGGAATCGCTCTTGCTCGCCCAACGCAACGTCCTGAGGATCCAACGGCTCGTCAACTCGTTGCTCGACTTTTCACGTATCGAAGCGGGTAGACTCGCAGGGAGGTTCGTACCGATCGACCTGAGTCGGTTCGTAGACGAGCTCGGCGGGCTGTTTCGTCCGGCGATCGAACGGAGGGGGATCGAATATCGCAGCGAGATCGAACCGCGGGACGCGTTGACGTTCATCGACCCGACTTTGTTGGAGACGGTCATCACCAACCTGCTCAGTAACAGCTTGAAGTATACCGAACGAGGGTCGATCACGCTACGTCTGAGGTATACGGCGACGCACGCCGAGATGGCCGTGGTGGATACCGGATTCGGGATCCCTCAGGCGGAACTCGAAGCGGTGACCGACAGGTTTCATCGAGCTACGACGGCCTTGTCCAGAGGGACCGAAGGGACCGGGATCGGGTTGGCGCTCGCCAAAGAGATCGTCAGGTTACACGGTGGGGACCTGCACATCGAGAGCTGGACGGCCGAGGAGAGCGTCGATGGGTCTCACGGGTCGACGTTTACGGCCAGGATTCCTCTCGTCGAACGAGAGATGAACGAGGATATCGATCTCATGAACGGGCAGGGGAGTTCGACTGCCAATTTCGGAGCGTACGGCAAACAAGTGGCTGCGGAGGCCATGCACGAGTCGGCCTCTGGAGGTCTAGATCATGCGGTCTCGGACGCCGGGACGGAGAATGTTAGCGTGAGCGATTCGTCCCGACCGGAGGGTCTCATGTTTGAAAGCACCGACGTCATACTCCTAGCCGACGATAATGCCGACATTCGACGATACTTGCGCCGACTGTTTGCCCCGTTCTGTACCGTGGTCGAAGCTTGCGATGGAGGGGAAGCGCTGGCCATGGCTCGTCAGTCTCCACCCGACTTGATCCTCTCTGACCTGATGATGCCGAGGATGAACGGACAAGAGTTGTTACAAGCCATCCGTCGCGATCCGAGAACACGGCTGGTCCCCATGGTCTTGCTCTCTGCGGCGACGGATGACGAGCTGAGGGTCTCGGCGTTGACGACCGGGGTGGACGACTTTTTGATGAAGCCGTTCAAACCCAAAGAGCTGCTGGCACGGGTCAACTTGCACATGCAACTGGGGAAACGGCGGATCGAACTGGAAAACCTGTTTGCGCAGCGAGAACAGGAGATCACGTTGTTGTCCGACTATTGCCCTTCGGGGATCATACGGCAGAGCGCCGACGGATCGATGATCTATGGGAATGCGGCCTGGCAGCGATACACCGGGATGCAAGATTCGGACAAGCTGGACAATTGGTTGACACGGGTCTATCCGTCAGCCGCGCAACCGTTGTCGGACAGGCTTCAAGACTTTTATGCGGGGGATGAACGCGAGATGCAACAGACTTGGAAGTGGCTGAACGGACGGGTCGTCACAGGAACCTTTATTCGGCTGGACAAGGTGATACCGGGCATGTCGGGCGTCTTGGGGTGCATGAACGACATTACCGACCAGGAGGAACGGCTACACGAGGCGGAAAGACGTCGGATCGAGGCAGAAGAGTCAAAGAGGCAGCAGGAATTGCTGGTCGACTTTACCTCGCACGAAATCCGGACGCCCGTGTCGGCGATCCTGCAATGCTCCTCGCTGGTCAAGGAGAACTTGCAGGCGCTTAAGGAACAATTACAACAGGCCATGGCGTTTGACAATCGAACAGGCTTCGTCCCCACCCCGGAACTGCTGGCCAATTTAGATGAAGACGTCGAGGCGCTCGAGAGTGAGTTTTCACGTCTAGCGAATCCATGCTGCTCTGCTCTAATGTCAGCGGGTGGTGTGCGACTAGGTGTCTATCAATGCGGTCTGATGCAGGAACGTATAGCCAATGACGTCCTATCTTTGGCGAGAATTCAGCTCGATACGCTCAGTCTCCACAACGTCGAAGTCGATCTTAGGAAAGAAGGTCAAAAGGTGATTGCTGTTCAGAGTCTTTGACCCTAGACGATACTGATCGAAGTCGCGATAGCTCGTCACGGTCTTTGCGCTGGAAGCCAAGATGAACCAGATCGAGCTGGTGCTCGAAATGGGACAGTGGATAGGAGACGCTACCGTGACAAACGTTCGGACTGACCACGTCCGTGTAGGCCAGGTCATCACCAACCTGATCGCCAATGCAATCGTAAGTCTGGGCGTGTCACTTTGTCATTACTTTGCCACAACTCTAAATCTCCAATTCTCCAGAAATTCACCGCCAAGAGCGAGGTTCGTCGGATCACCGTCAAGTTTGACCTGAGCTTCTCACCACCTTCATCCGGTACTTGCGTACCGCCGCCATCCGGAGCCGATCATCCCACAACGAGGGAGATCCGAAAAGACACCCCTGTCTGGCTGTTTGTCAGTGTCGAGGATACCGGTCCCGGACTGTCGCCCTCGGAACGGGCCGTCTTATTCCAACGTTTCTCGCGTGAGTAGCACGGGCTTTGCACGCCGTGAACCCTGAAATGACGGTCTACGCATGTGATCATCAGAGGGAAGTAAAATGATACACACGCGCTACGGGGGCTCCGGTCTGGGTCTATTCATTTGCAAGAGTAAGTCGTGGAGGGAGCTATACACACCATCCCCGTCCCCAGGCTGATCCGCTCGTGCCATCGATAGAGATTACCGAGATGCTTGGAGGGCGGATAGAAGTCCAGAGCGAGTTGGGCAGAGGTAGTGGTAAGTTAATGGCCGAAGCTTGTAGCAACAGAATATGCGGCGCTTATTATCGATGCGATTTTCCTCTCGCAACCACAGCATTCCGGTTCTTTATCGAATGCCGTACTGTCGATGACGTCGCACTACGGTCAGCTCATGCCAACGGGAAAACACCACCGGCTCAGCTGCAGGTCCCTTATTCTCCTCGGCCGAAAAGCGTTTCGACGATTTCACCGATCAAAGCGGTCAAGAAGCCTTCGCCGACCAGACCCGCCTCCTCATCCGCGGTCGCATCAAAAGCCCCCAAACTCAAGTCAAAAGACCCGTTACACGTCTTGATCGTCGAGGATAATATCATCAACCAGACCGTGCTGAAACGCCAGATGATCAAATCCGGGTTCACGTGCGATGGTGAGTACCTCGATTACCGATAGACCGCGAAATCGATCCGAAGTCCGTCGACGGCTCACCTGTTGGATCTATACTATTACAGTGGCGGACAACGGACAAGAAGCGCTTGATCTGCTACATCGCGTTCATCTTCCGATCGTCGGGCAGACCGTACGGCCGTACGACGTCGTATTTTGCGATCTCGAGATGCCGGTCATGGACGGCTTGACGGCGATCAAGACGATCAGGGAGGAAGAAAGCACCGGGGAACTGAGCCGTCGGCAGTTAGTCATCGCTCTGACAGGGAACGCAAGGCCTGCTCAGATTGAGTCTGCTTTGTCCGCCGGTATGGACGATGGTGAGCACACGGGGGCCTACGTTCTGCGTCTTCTTCTTTCGCTGACCCGCTGGTATTGTTTGGCTCGTGAATGCATAGTCGTAATCAAACCATACCGCTTACCGGACCTGATCGAAAAGGCTCGCAAGGCGTTGTTCAAGGCGAAGGGGGAGGTTTCTGCTTCATAGATCTCGGTTGTATCAGATGTGTTGGGTTTGGGTCTTGGGTTTAGGGTGTTACTACACTGTATCGAGGATCTCTACGTGCGTTCAATGGGTAACGCGATGTCATCTCAGGGATACCTTTCTCATGGGGTTTGGCGTTATTATGAAGCAAGTGTCTAACGCGCTCGCACGGATCCTGGGGGAAAGTTCAGGAAATTTGATCTCATTGAAACAGAGGGAATTGGGTAAGGGTGGATGGTATGGCATTCCACTTAAGATGGGCCGCCGTCTGTTCTTACGAGTTAGGGTGGCCCGGGTTGCCCCTTGGCTTCCGGCAGATTCACAGTTAGCGCTACGAGGTCATTGTGATCCGCTATGGGTCAGGCGGATCCACGACGCTTGAGGGGCATTCGAATGGTCGTACTGCTCGTTGAAACCTTCCACGTCCTTCGAGCACGTCACTCGAGTCAGCTAATTTATTGCTGTACCATATGCTGTCGATTGCGCTTACTACCGCTTCATCCGCTTCACGTCAATCTAGACCTGACGCCCTGCAGATCGCCCAACCTCGAGACAGTCCCACGTTCGCGCTTGATGGAACCTCAACGCTACATGGTTCCTCTTTTCTCGCTTAAGGAAAGGCGATTTGGGTGTGAATATGCAATCAATCCTAATCCACTTGATTTGACTTTACTTGCTCAGACTCACACTTGCGCTCCCAAATGGAGAACGGGTTGCTCTAAACATATTACATGACCCTGCGAGCGAAACAATACATAGCCACACCCAACTCTGCCACCATCATCTTCCAAAGAGGAGTTCACTGCGCACAGATTGCAGTCCATCAAGTCGATCGCCACAGATCAGTGAGGGCAGATGGATGCGGTGTGTGACCACCCTTTCCTTATCAACACATCCAGAGAATCGCCGGTCTCGACATCCTTCCAACCGACTTGCATTCCTCCTTGGTGATGGTCGGGACGAGCCTGAATGAGAGTGTGGACCATCAGCTTCACCTTGCTACGAGACGGATGGATAGGGCATACGTGACATTGATTATTCCATCTCTATTGAATCAAAAGAAGAGGTCTGTACATAGGGAGTATGGCTGGTTGGACAGGAAGAAGGGCAAAATCTTGAATTTGGTATGTATAGTGAGCCGCTCGTTCGCGATTCGATCGATATCCAAGGAAATCACGCGGACCTGGTATAGGTATGGTGATGAGCCTATGCCGAATCGAGGATCGGCCATTTCACTGCTCTTTGCGGAGGCGATCGAGATGCGGCGGAATTGATGTGTCCTCTGTGGCTCAACATCAAGGATCGTCTCGGCAAGCACATCCCGGATCTCTCTGCGGGATGGATTTTCATGTTGGAAACCTACGTGACGTTGCTAGGGGGTATGGCTCCAGTGTTCAAGGTCAGTCGTCGCGTCGGCGAGCGTGAGTCAAAGTCCAGAGATCGCCAACACACAATCTTCACGGAGAGAACTGTGGCGTTATAATTGCCAGGGTGAGTTGTCACTAGATCAGCTGGCACGCCAAGGGAATTTTAAAACAGACCGAGCCGTATACCCTTCGATCTCTATCCCGCATTCGAGAAATGATGAAAAGAATGAATGAGCCGTGAATGGAAACACATAGGCGACCCCACCTGATATAAAGCACTTCCCTTTTACAATCTAGTAGAGCTAACTGTATACGGCGACAGGAGGCTGAAAGAACAAACTTTCACAAGTCTTCGCTCTGTCACTCCTCTTCGCAGATGCCTGGAGATGAGACGGTGAGACTCGCATACCTACGTGATCATGACGATGAGTCGCCCGGGTCGAGGAGCAACATCATGCATCGAGCCGTACTTGCTATCGCCTGCGTACGACTCGATCTCCGATCGCTCAGGCGGAGCGGACGCCTCTCAAACTCTCAACGACGCCCTGTATACTGTAGTGTGTTAAGTGGTAGCCCCTGCATGACACTCCGCCTTACCACGATTTGGTATACAATCGTCAAATCCCGTAGAGCTTCAGCCCCTCTATCGGTCCGGTTCGAGAAGGGAAAAGAGTTCCCTATCTGAAAGTCAGCAATCAACTGAGAGAATTCGAGCTCAGAGGTTGGATTGACAGGCGTCTCGAATTTCTCAACCATAACACTTTGCCCACAAAAGATCCATCGACCATCAAACTGCCGACGATGAGGCCCGCCACCACCGACGCTGTCAGTTCTCTGTATAGCATCCGAGTGGGAGCTGGAGAGTACCCCTGATCCGAATTTCGAGTAGGAGATGCGACGGCATGATATCCTCTTGATGGAAGAGGTGGGCTCGCGCTCCGCCCCCTCTTCGCCTAGCTCGCCTAAAGAGCGCCACCCACAAGGTCTGCGAGAATTTGCTTCCGATCGGTCGAAACCGTACCACTCTCGGTTAATAAAAAGTCTGGAGTTCAGATCAGAAACCTGCTCTTTCCTCCTCTTAGCCCGCAGTCGAATAACAATTACACTATCCCCAAACCTCAAGCTCATCCAAGACGACAAGATGGTCAACGCTCCCGCCGCAACTCCCTCTGCGACTTACCGGATAGAAACCCTCCTCCCCGACTCATCGCGAGTGAGGGACGCCGCCCAAATCCAATTAGCCGCTTTCGACCCGTTCGTCGAGTACCAGTCCGTCATCGAACCCTTACCTCGGGCTCCTATGGACGTACGGCTGGACAGGTTGGAGTTCCGGATCAATGAGAAACTACGAGCCAAATCCAACATCAAATCCATATCCATATCCGGAGAGGGCGAGAACGGGGGTGGTAGTAGTCATCTAGGCTACGTAGCCATCAACGAACAAACGGGGGAGACGGTGGGCATGTCATACTGGATGAGACCTGGCCGATCGCACAAGTTACCCAACAAGGATCTTTCTGCTGGGAAGATGACTGAGGAGCAAAAGGACGCTTGGGAAGGCTGGGATGCGGAGAGGTATGGGAAGCTATACGAAGCTTTTCAGGGGAAGATGAGTGCGGTCCTGAGCGAACGTGGGGAGGAAGAGGGGTGTTGGTGAGTATAGTGCCCGATCGGCCGTCCCTCTAGTCGGAGGAACATCGTATCGTGGACTGAACCTGATGACACCAATCGAATCTTCCCTCTTCGCAGGTACTTGGAGATCCTCGCCATCCACCCTTCTTACCAAGGTCTCCGTCTAGGCCCTAAACTGCTCGACCACCACCTCGCCCAGATCGACCACCCGGATAACATCGACGTCCAGAACGCACCGGCTTATCTGGAATCCTCCCCGCCTGCAAAGAGGCTGTATACCAGTCGAGGGTTCGAGGATGTCGGGGATGTCACCGCGGAAGGGTGGGAGGACGCTTTTCCCGCCATGTTCAGGCCGAGGCAGACGATGGGTTAGGTCGAGGTCGATATTGTCGAAGTTGACGTTTCAGGGGTATGAAGTGAGCCTGTGAAGGAACTCTCGAGGGGTTTGGGCAATATTACCAGAAGAGAGGCTATCGACGTGAAAATGTTTCGTATCGAGCCTGACATGGGACATCCTCATACCAGACGTGTCTTGGCGTTTACGAGCCAAACGTTGCTCGATCTCTCCACGATGTACGGTCGTGCAACTGGAACGATCTCCAGACCGGCCAGACTAGTCATGTTCCAATACGACTGTGTGCTTTGCCTACATTTCGAAGTCGAGATCGCTTCGAGCGGCACTGCGGGAGACCAGCCAATATAGACTCGATCATATACGGCACATTCAAGTTATATGGTCCGTGAATACTATCAATATGAGATTGGCGTTTCATATTAGGTGTATATGAGGTGTATATTTTTGCCGAATTTTCATATTAGTCTCATACAGGGTGTACGTATATGAGATTAGTCCCGTCAGCCTCATACACGGCTCATATCGTCTTCCAAGTAATATGGACCGTGTATTGACCGTATATGACCCCCCGTCTATACGCTTCACCGACATCGTCACCATTACGTACATCTCAGGGGCCTTAGAGGCCAGGACGTCAGCACCGAGGTCTAGTGAACAAACGACTAAGTCCCAAAGCCGACCCAGTCTAGAGTCCCAACGATGTCAGCAAGCCAGAACTTAACGATGAACTGTAGTACCGTACCTCCGTCCTAGACCCTGGACCCCAACTTCTGCCTCCAACGGACCAGCGACCAGCACGGACGGCGGCAGGCTGTGTGACGGGATTGGCACGCATGCCTAGGTGCAAGAGAGGGGCTAGATGGGAGTTCAAGAAGTCGCTGGAGCAGGATGAGTGCTGCACCGAGAAGGCGCAACCCCCGTCCTCAAGTGAGTCTGGATCCCTGTCGCATCACGTCTCTGCCAGAACTGACCTCGGACCGCATGATGCTATCAGCGATCATGCTTCTGCCCCAAGTGCAGCAAGGGTGGTCGGGGATACCAGTCCGTAACGGATACCACTTTCTTTCGACACAACCCGCCAGGTAGACCTCCATATCCACCCCGTTTGGTCGGGATTGCTGCAACGCCTCCCGTACTCCTCCCTTCGTCTCCACTCGCACCTCGAAGACCTCTCAGTCAGCAGCCGGAGGCTCCGCCAATACCAGAGTCGCCAGCCGAAGAATGGCAAGACGATTACAGCTCGGTGGGAGGATGGTCGCCTGTAGCGATGGATGTGGAACCATCTGGACAGCACGATCTTGACGATGAAATGGAGCTAGGTGATGCAGAGCCTCTGTCGGACGAGGACGAGGACCTGGACTATCGGCGTGGATATTCGGACGACGAAGATGAGCACGATCCGTACAACGAAGAGGGTGCTGCCCAGGACAATCCTGCCCTGCCAGATGACGAGGTTCCCGCGATGGAAGACGACTACATGGATGCCGCTGGTGTAGACGTGGAAGAACCGATCGGCGGGACGCCTGTCATCGTGCTGAAGAACATAAACAAGCACCACGACCTGGACGCTCTGATACGCCATCTCTACACGCTTATGACCTTCGGCAAAGCCAAAGGGCTCAGTAACGCGACTTCCAACACATCCCTCGAGCAAATGACGGTGGGGTTGGGGCTGGCCAGTGGGGAAGCTCCTGCGGACGATAAGACTGGGAACATTCGGACGGCGATGTCTCGTCTCGGAGTTCTACCTGACGACTACATGCGCCAGTGCATCGTATGTCCAAACCTGGCCTGTTGGAAACTTACTCCAGTCCGTCAGCTCTACCTACTCGACACTCCCATTTGCGGGTCTCCGATCCCCAACACTCGCCAGATCTGTCAAGAGCCGATCTACCTCGTAGAAGGAGGACGAGTGCGAAAGCCCGTGAAGGTCATGCCGTTCTGCAATCTTTCAACGTGGCTCGCCATGTTCATGCAAGACGATGAAGTTCGCACCCAGCTCAACTCCTGGCGGCAGACTCCTGACGAGTGCCCACTCGACCATCAATCCGCCGCGGACAGTCCGCCTTTGTCGCGAGACCATCCTTATTACGATGAAGATACTCCGCTTCAAGGATTATCAGACGGTTCAGCGTGGCGATCGGGCTGGGCAAATGCAAGAAGGCGGGTATACCAAGACAATTCGGTCAAAGACGAGCTGGACCCGGGGCTATTCGAGCCTGGCGAGACAGCCAGCCGACACAGCCATCTCACGTTCGGACTCAAGATTGTCATCAACCTCGACTGGTAAGTAACCGGACCTGAGCGATATACCCTGGTCAAGCTGACCTGTTGACCGCCCAATTGTTACAGGTTCGCTGTGAAGGGGGTCATGGGCTCTTCTGTCGGCGTGTTATACGCTGCGATTGGCAATCTGCCCCGGGACATGTGCTTCAAACGACGCTATACTGCGCTCTTGGCTGTGATCCCGGGTCCCAAGGAGCCGTCACGTACCTGCCTCAGTCGCATCTTGGAGCCGGTGATCGACGATATACAGCTATGCGAGAGAGGGTTTCGGGTCGAGGTCGGATCCCACGACGTAGCGACCTCACGACAAGTCTACGTCCAGGCCAGGGTCCTCTTGAACGCGTCCGACTTGCCCGCGACTCGGAAGCTGGCTGAGACCGTAGGACACAGCCACAAACGTCGTCCCTGTCATCACTGTGGGATCTCCAAAGAGATGATCAATGATCCTGCCGCCTATCACCCTCGCGAGCTGGTCGACAACGATGCCCAGGCACAACTCAGGGCCACATTCGAGTACGAAGTGGCAGATGATGAACGCCGTGCCGTGATCGAAGATAGGCACGGCGTCAGGTTCTCCCCAATCGCTCGGCTCGTCGGTTTCGAACATTCTGCAACAAACCCCCCGGACCCCCTGCACAACTCGTTTCTGGGCATCTCGAAGCGATTCGTGAACCTCTTAACCGAGATGGGGCTGTTCGAGGACGATGACGAGTCCATCGTCGCATTTAGAGGCGTTTTCGAGACAAGTAATTATCCTGGACATCTAGGTCGCTTGCCCAACCGGATTACGAAACAGTTCGCCACTGTGAAGGGCAAGAAGGCAGCCGGGGGAGGACTGAAAGCTGACCAGTGGAAGCGAGTGATCCAACTCTTACCGGTTGCGCTTTACGCAGCTTGGCGAGAAGCGGATAGCGACCAAATATTGAGCCAGCCGTTGGAAGATGAAGACGGGGAGATACCCCCGGCCGACAGAGCGGATGCCGCGCCTACACGACAATCTTGGTTCAACGCCGCTATATCCCTTTGTGCCGGGATCCGAATACTACACGCACATGAGCTGAGTCTGAACGCTGCGTATGCTGCAATCGATGACATCGCAGACTCGGCCCGCGCCATCCTCGCCCTAGGTGGACGTCTTACCATTAATTGGCATCTCGCCATGCATTTGTAAGGCCCGGGAGCGGCCCCCAATGGGGGTCCCCCTGGACAGGCTGACGGGACGCAGGAATGAGGCAAGGTATGGGTAGACATCTAGATGTAATAACGGATGTAGAGCTATTACAGAGGTACTAGTTCTACATCCAAACAACAACACCGAAAAGTACCCCCGGCGGGAGTCGCATACGGGAGTCGCGTACGGCGCGTCCGACGCGTCACGTGACCGCTATAACAGGATCCCCCCCCTAGATGCGGTCTCCGAACGCATCAAGCGTCGGCGTACTCTTGTCGACCAGGCTGCGGTAGATGAGGGTAGCGCTTGTGAAACGCTGCGACGACCTTGTCGTCGTGATCGAATTCGGCGGGGCTAACCCACTCGTTCGATTCATCCCCGTACCCTTCAAATCGCACTAGGTACTGGGTCTTCTTCCCGGACCTCCCGGATCGCAACGCTTTCGAGTGTACGATCTCGGACACGACATACCCCAAGTCGCCGTTGTCGAGGACTTTGGGGGTAGGCGGTTCAACCACCTCTCTTCCTTCCAGCTCGTTGGCCCGATAGGGGATGAGCAACGACACGTGGAAGACGGGATGCACCCGGCGTAACTGCGCGGGGAGTTCCAGCCTCCTCGCCATCTTGCTCTGGCCGATGACTTCCGTGATTCGGAAGGGCCCCAGCGTCTTCATCGAGAGCTTCTGGCTGGGGCGCACCGACGTCAAGTTCTTGGTAGATAACATTACCAGGTCCCCTACGTTGTAACCCTCGTCAGGGACGGCGGTACGCTTCCGATTTGCGTACTTCGCCATGTCTTTCCGCGCCTGTTCCAGCGCCTCCTTCACCGACTTGTAGATCCCGTCGAGTCGGTCTCGGTACTCTCCCGCCGATTCCACCGCCTCTTCCCTAGTGCCGGGCACTGGCAGGGAGAAGGTATGTTCCCTTCCCTCGGACGCCATGAATGGCGACATCCCGATGGCAGAGTGCTTCGCGTTGTTGTACGCGAACTCCGCCATGGAGAGTAACTCCGCCCAATCGTCCTGGAGGAAGTTGACGTATGACCGCAAGTACTGCTCCAAGGTGGAGTTACTTCGCTCGGTCTGTCCGTCCGTCTCCGGGTGGAACGCCGTGGAGTAACTATTCTCCACGTTCGCCATGCGGCACAGATCTTTCCAGAAGCGCGAGGTGAACAACGTACCTCGATCCGAAATGATCTGCTTCGGGAACCCATGCAAACACACCCATCGGTCAAGGAATAACCGCGCCAAGAATGTGGCGTCGTTATCCTTTCGACAAGCGACGAAGTGCGCTCGCTTGCTGAACCGATCGACGATCACCAGGATCGAATTGGACCCCATAGACTCGGGCAGGTCCGTGATGTGATCCCAAGTGATCGATTCGTATGGTCCCGCCGGTACCGGCAGCGGCGCTAGTTCGCCGACAGGCTTCATTCGGGGTCGCCGATTGCGCTGACATATGCTGCAGCTAGCGACGTACTCCCCGATCCACTTCGCCATCCCAGGCCAGTAGAAGTCCCTACTGGTTAGCTCCACGGTCTTGTCCCGCCCCCAATGGCCGGCGGCCTTCCCGTCATGTAGGCGCTTCATCAGCTCTACCTTGATGTTCCCCGCGTTAGGAACATACACCAACCCGTTGTACAGGAGAACCCCAGTGGGGCTCAAGCTGTATCGCTCATTCGCCAAGGTCCCCGCCTTGAGCTGCGCTACGAGCTCTTTCGCCACCGGGTCGTCCTGCGCCGCCGGTATCAGCGCTTTCACCATCCAATCGCCCAGTGCGGGGATGGTGCCATTCAACCGCAAAGGCGGTCGTTCAACCGGACTACACCCTTCAGGGGGTGCGTCTTCGACAGGCCGGAGCAGAGTCTCCGCTCGCTTCGGTTCTGTCTCCTCCATCAACTCTTCCCGACGACTCAACGCGTCGGCCTTCCCGTTCTCCGTCCCCGGTTTGTACTCCAGGGTGTAGGAGATCTGGTTCAACAGCTGCGACCATCGCGCCTGCCGTTGAGACAATACCTTGTCTCTCTTGAAGTACTCCAAGTTCTTGTGATCCGTGAGGATCCGAACGGGGTACTTGTTGTCGAGATAATGTCGCCATATCCGACTGCAATAGACGATGGCCAACAGTTCCCTGTCGTGCACATCGTAGTTCCTCTCGGCGGGCGTCAGACTCTTTGACATGAACGCTACCGGGTGGAGCTTCCCATCGTCCCCTACCTGGGACATCACCGCGCCGATCGCTCCAGAGGAAGCGTCGGTCTCGAGCACCACTTGGCGCTCCTCGTTGTAGTGCGCCAATATAGGCGCCTGGGTGAAGGACTCCTTCAATTCCCGGAACGCAGCGTCAGCGGCTGCCGTCCAGGAGTACTTCACCCCTTTCTTCGTCAGGGCCGTCATTCCCTGAATCTTCTTGGAGTAGTTCTGGATGAACCTCCGATAATAGTTTGCAAATCCTAAAAAGGACTGCAGTCCCCGAATGTTCTTCGGGGGGGCCCAGTCCAAAACGGACTTGACCTTGGAGGGGTTCATGCTGACCCCCGTCGGGGCAATATCGTACCCCAAGAATTCGGTAGCCACCGTATCGAACTCACACTTCTCCGCCTTCGCATACAGGCCATTTGCCTGCAGCCTCTTCATAACCTCCTTGACCTGACCGTCATGGGTCTCCTGGTCGGAGGAGTAAATAAGTATGTCGTCGAGGTAAACGACGACGCACACATCCAAAAGGTCCTGGAAAACCTCGTTCATCCACCGCTGAAAGGTAGCGGGGGCGTTGGTCAAGCCGAACGGCATGACCAAACATTCGAACAGACCAAAACGTGTAGTAAACGCGGTCTTCCAAATGTCTTCTTCTTTTACGCGTAGCAGGTTGTACGCGCCTCGGAGGTCCATCTTCGTGTAGACCTTCGCGCCCTTCAACCTGTCTAGCGTCTCTGAGATGAGGGGTAGGGGCGTCCTATCCTTCACCGTAATGTCGTTAAGGCGACGGTAATCGATGCACATACGCATCTCGCCGCCTTTCTTCGGTACGAACAGTACCGGGCTCGAACAGGGCGACTTCGACGGCCTGATGAACCCCTTCTCCAAATTTTCTTTCAACCACTTCTTTAGCTCCTCGCTTTCCCGCTGGGAGTGGTTATAGAGCTTCTGGTACGTCGGCGACGTACCGGGCTTGAGTTCGATCGCATGGTCGATCGATCGCGTCGGGGGCAGTGTATCTGCCTTCGTCTTGGAGAACGCTCCAAGATGTTCATGATACTTCTCCGGTACCATGTCCCTCAGCTTCTCCATATACTCAGGAGGATCCAGATCGTCCTGGAACGAGTCCGTGGGTTTGACGTCCCAATCCCACAGGTCCGGGCGCCTCGCCCGCTCGTCGTCCTCTCGGGTCATCTGCATCTGCGCGACGACCAAATCCTCCGTGATAGACCCCTTCATCTTCTTGAACGGGTCGATCCCTCGTGTCTCCACTTCTACTTCGTCCGGAGCATACACCGTCTCGGGCCTCTTGAGGCATCCCGTGCTGATGCAGACATCCCCGAACGTCACCGCGTTGGAGTCCCATTGGATATGCGGGTTGTGTCTCCGCAGCCAAGGGATACCTAGTACCACCGGGTACCCACTCAAATCGGTGAGGTGGAACTCGGTCAGTTCCAGGTGCACTCCCGTACGTACCAGCGTACGAGCCTTCTGGGTGATCCTTCCTCCCTGGATCTCCCGACCATCGATCACCGTCACTACCCGCGGTGTCTCGAGGTCCGTTACGTCGAATCCATGTAGCGACGCGAATGTCCGATCCATGAACATCCCGGTCGCTCCCGAATCCAACAACATGAGTGCTTGGACCGGCACTCCTTCCGGGTAGAACACTCCTACCAACGTCAGATGGCTATCTGGACCGTTGGGTACTCCGCTTGCACCCAGCTGCAAGGGGATCCGGCTACCTCCTCGTGCTCCCCCATTCGGGGTCCTTTGATGATCCGTTATTCTGTAAGGCCCGGGAGCGGCCCCCGATGGGGGTCCCCCTGGACAGGCTGACGGGACGCAGGAATGAGGCAAGGTATGGGTAGACATCTAGATGTAATAACGGATGTAGAGCTATTACAGAGGTACTAGTTCTACATCCAAACAACAACACCGAAAAGTACCCCCGACGGGAGTCGCATACGGGAGTTGCGTACGGCGTGTCCGACGCGTCACGTGACCGCTATAACACATTACCCGAAATTCGTGATGATGTACGGCCCGCTTTCAGGCTTTGGCACATATCCGTTCGAGCGAAACAACGGTGCCCTGGCCAATATCAACCACAATGGACAGGAACGAGACGTCCCCTCTACATGCTTGAGAGGTTGGTTACTGGAATCGGGGATAGCCAGGATAGTAAACACGCCGGCGCCTGATGCGACAGAAGCGGAGAAGGAGGCGTTGAGGGCTCTCATGGCCGACAAATCGGCCGTCCAAGGGACATTGATGTTGGACGAAGCTCGCGGGAACGCAGCGAATAAGAAGATACGCCTCCCCACGCCCTTCGAGAACGGTCATGTTGTGGATCTATCTCGATATCTCGCATACCAGCCACTGCTACGCTACGTTCAGGAACATCACCCGGAATATCGTCTGGTCGACGCAGCTTATATGCTGGGAGAGGACCCCTGCCTGCCAGCACGTTCAACTTCATACCGCGTCTACACACACGCCATTTACACGGGGTTCAAGTCAGTTCGCTTTGTCTTCAGTGTTACCGGGCGAGGCTTCTGACTCAGCATGTCTCGAGCACTATAGGTTCTGTTCTTTACTATATACCCGGACTAGGAGGGATCAGTTTGCTTTAGTATCTCCGGCTGTAGGAAACCCCGACGGTCCCCGCGAGCTCTGCAGACTGAGGCTGTTCCTGAGCGTCAAGCTTCGGGTTCCACACCTGGATCGACCCTTGCAACTTACGCTAGGGCTCGTTGAGTTTCTGGAGCCTGCGGGTGGGCAATATCCATGGCAATATCGGTTCGTAGCAGCCATACCGCGGTGCAATCCGTATTCCCCGACGCTGAAGCACTGATCCACCCTGCGTGATCACAGGTCAATTGACCTCGGTCTGAGGATATATCGCAAGCGATACCAGGCACCGGTATTCATTCCTTTGGAGAACATGAAAGCGTCGACGATCGTTACAGAGATAGAGACTCGTTCGGACGGGATCTGCCTGGTCTCCACCTCGTGCGAGAAAGATGGCGAAGAGCCGGAATACTGGCTCAATAGCGATGAGTTACCGGGTCAGAACCAGGATGACGGCGATGAAGATGAGGGCTTCTAATCTTTACTGGTGAGGCACACGTGATGTATGTCGGACATGATGCTCAGGCGGTCACGGACGTCAGGTACAAAGGACCGCGCAGGCCGAAAGCTAACAAACGAGCTCTTTCGATACAGATTTGACGGTGTACATAGGACATTTTGATGTAGACGATGTGAGTCTATCGCTGTCGGCTCGCTGTGACGCAGGCAGAAGAACGGGTGAGCTGACCTGCCCTCTCTCATTACGTTAGGCTATTGATGACCCACAATCGCCGGGTTTGTCAGTGTCACAGATCAGGAAAACATGATCGATTCGGTCGGGAAGGTTGCAGGTAACGTGTCGCCGCCCGGCTGGGTCTCGTCGTCGGGTTGAGTCTTGTCGTTGTCTTGAGTTCCGAGACCTCCCACCCCAAAGGCACCCCAATCGACCCCGGGGAACATCGTGTCGAAGTCCAGTTCTTGGGGCCCAGAAACCACATCAGTGCCTAGGTAAGTGTCGTCTTGTGTCTCGTTCGGACGCTGGCTGTTCAAGTTTGGAAAGTAGTCGTTGTTGTTGCTGACTTGGTCGTCTTGTAGATCCCATCGAACGGATCGGTTGTTGGTGAGTGGCTGGGAGTCCCGATCGTATGGGTTTCTCGAGTCCGAGGGCTGACGGGATGGACCGGCTCGAGGAGTCACAGACAGCCCAGGGACATCCGCCCTGCCAGGGTTTTGAGAAGAGGGGGCACGGGGGAATTCGATATCGTCCTCCAAGTGAGCACCGGACTCGTTGCCTTCTTCAACATGAGGCAGACCAGGCGGAATGCCAACCTTGCGTCGCTTTGCTGGATTTTCTGGATTGGATGGACGCCCACGCTCGTGCTCGGAGTCGCTGATGGCTTGGTCACGAGGGGTAGATGCGGATGTGGAGGGAACGGTTGACTGTGAGCGAGCCCTGTCTCCACCTGCCTGCGTGTTCTTCTTCCCGCCCGGTTTGCTGATTGACCATGCGTGCGTCTTATACCACATCGAAGTCTTGACCTGTTCCGGATCGGTAGGGACGTCGCAGGGTACGATCGGCAAATCGGGATGATCATCCAGCCATTCGTCCGTAAACATCCATCGCTGGGGCGCCTCCCAAAGGAATTCGTAGTCGGCGGGAAGGTATGGCATAGCGTCGGGAGGTGTGAAGTTAGGCGCCTCGCTGAGTGGATGAATCGCGGTCCCGGAGATCTTGCTTCCACCGCTGTTCTTGCAGTTGTATATCTTGAAGAAGGCGGTCAGGAACTGGACCAGGCAATAAGCAGCGAGTGAGTTCATCGTCATCGGGGCATAGGAGTCGAATCGGAAGACTGACCTCTTGCGAGTAGACTGTATCTTGCATCGGCCAGTGCCAAAGCTTCTTCCCCTCTCCATCTGGGGTACTCGATACTGGAGGAATCAACGCGTAGATGGTCTCCATGCAAGCCCATTCCTCCCCTTGAAACTCGGGTATCAAGGCTCGCTTCGCCTTGACCCACTTTTGCATCTGGAGGTGATCGAGCCGTAAGTACCCACACGGATCGCGGCCATAGCGCTCGGGGCTTACCACTGTCAACTTTGATCGCACTCCGGTCTTGCTGTAACCCGCACTACTCCTTTCCGGCTTTCCTACACGTTCCAAACTCTTGAGCTGGGCTTTCTTCTCGCTGAGGGTTCGCAGCACTTCGGGGGGTCCTTGTGAGTCTCGGTCCTCCAACGCCTTGATCTCCTCTTCTAAAGCTGCCCTCTGCTCGACATCAACCGATGGTGCACGCCGCTTGAGCTTCTTTCGCTTCCAAGCTTGTTGGAGGAGTTTGAAGCGGGCAGATATGGCGGACGAGTAGATGTTCTTGTTGTCTTTGAAGGCGGGTAGCGTCTCGCGGACCATGTCGGCAGTGATTGGCAGTGAGTCGAGATGGTATTCGAGGATGGTCTGCAGTTTCGAGGTCTGGATCTCGTTTCGTTCAGAGCTCAAAGGCTGATCGAAATCCCATCGCATAGCTTCGTGACCATCATCCGCCCCAGACGCCATTCTCAATCTCGGCCACGGCTCCGTATCCGTTGGGTATCCGACCGGAGGAGTACATCCGTACGCCACCACGACTGCCAACGTGACAACCTTGCGAACGTCCTTCGACAGATCACTTTCCTCTTCCCGGTCTTCCATCCCGCCCCGCCGCACCTGGGCCTCCAATTCCGTCAACCGTAAGTTCTGGCGCTCCAGCTGCTGCATGGCGTCTTGCAATAACCCGTTCTGCTTTTGTATAGTAGCCTCTTTCGCCGCTCCCGATTGCGTGAGTCTCCTGATCTCTTGCTCCATGTTGGCGACCTGAGTGACCAGCTTGTTTTGCGTGGTCTGTAGACTCGTGAACAACTGTCCGAATTGTCGCTGCATTTGGCCTGCAGGCTGGACACGGGTCGGAGGTCGGGGAGTGACAGAATCATCTTGTTGGCGTTGAGAGGTCGAGGAAGAAGTTGCTTGGTGAGTTGGTCTGACGGCAGGCTGCTTGTAGGGAACGGTGAAATTGTGGTTGGTACTGAGTGTCTTCCTCCCGTTGGTCCCTACAAATCCTTCGGCTACTTGAAACCCCGTACGTGCCATTCCGCTACCCGTTCCGAAAACCTCATCCGTACCCGATGTTGACCCCTCTCGGCCTGACGTCGATCCCTCTCGACTACTCCGATCCGACCTATACCCTTCGCCATCGCTTCGGTCACCGTATCTGAGGGTCTCGACGGTCCGAGGAGCTGCCGGAAAGGACTTTGATTGTACGGGTGTGGTTTCTTGGCTCGACCTAGATAGAGGAGTTCGATGAGGGTGAGGTTGGGGGGTATGTTGACAGGGTGAGTCCAGTCCTCCTCTGTTCGCTCTGGGTGTGATTGAGGTTCCGATCGGAGCACGGGGAGTTGGGGTACCGTTCAGGTCCCCTCTAGCGGGGGCCGGCATCACGGTCGTTTGTTCGGGCTTGTCGATCGTTTGTTGATGATGTCGCTGTTCGACAGGGACGACGAGTCGGGGAGCCTGCCAAGCTCTGGACCAGGAAGATATCAAAGGTGAGCACAAAGTGTATTGGTATTGGGAGATGCGGCGAGGACAGGAGGAGAGGCGACCAGGATGGAGTTGTTCGTCGTTTTCCGGGCGGTCCTACATCTTATATCTAATCGTCTAGCTCTAGGAGTCGGGGTAGTATTCCGGCAGCAGATCGGAGGCAGATTGCGATGATTATGGTATTATGTACGGATCCGGTATCGATGTAGCTCAAGGTGTATGAGAATATATGAATCGAAAACACGTCGAGAATGTTGTTCATATGAGCTGTGTTTACACCGTGTATGAGGGGTCGTATGAACCGTGAATGAGCCGCGTCATATGCTTAGGTAATATGAGCTATCACATATTGGGTATAAATGCCGACAATAAGGCGTGTATATGACGTGTCATTTTAGGTAGTAAGTTAGGTCCATATTAGGCTCATTTTCGGTGTTTTGTCCGTGAATGAGACGACCTATTGTCGGTTGGATCCCGGAGTGCGAGCGGACATTGAGAGGTTTCTGTATCTGTGGTCGTATTTACACGCATGGGTGTCCGCGCGCGCGAAACCCTGCTTAGGTAATCAGAGCGACGAGGGCAAAAGGCAGCTAGCACGCCGGATCAGATGATCACTTATGGCTACCGTGCAGTTCAAGGCCATCTTGCCAGCATCGGCATGAAAGTCACCCGTGAACAAGTACGAGCTCTTCTTCGGGAAATCAACCCAGCCTCTGCAGCCCTAAGAAGAGCCGTTGTACGCAATCGACGGGTCTACAAGGTTCCCTTCCCTAATTCGCTATGGCATATCGATGGCCAGCACAAGCTCATCCGATGGAAGTTTGTTATACATGGGGGTGTAGATGGGTACAGCCGAGTGTGCGTCTTCATGAAAGCTAGCGACAACAACAGGGCCGAAACTGTTGAGCAGCTGTTCTTGACTGGAACTGAGGAGTGGGGATGGCCGCAACGAGTAAGAGTGGATTACGGTGGGGAAAACATGGGCATATGGAAGCAGATGATTGCAATTAGAAGTTAGTCAAGCACCGGTAATATGTCTACCTTATCCTGACTCTTTTACTTCGTGCTTTAGATACTGTGAAGGCCCCTTTCATCCGAGGAAAGTCAACACATAACACTCCGATCGAGAGACACTGGAAGAGTGTGGGGGAAAAGTTTACACAAAAGTACTCCAGGACCTTTGCCGAACTTGAACGACTACATGACCTCGACGTCGATGATCCAGTAGACATCTTTTGCCTACATCATTGCTTCCTTCCCCTCGTAAACCTTACAATCGCCTCCCATGTGGCTGCACATAATCACCACCCTAGCGCTACGAAGGGTACAAGAGGCTGGTCACCCCTACGTACATGGATTCACGGGAACGTTGAAGCAGCGAAGCGGGGTATGGATCTTGATTTATACCCCACGGATGGTTTGGTAGATGGCAACGGCTTCATTGATGAAGTTCTAGAAGAGGAGGAGGAGGAGGACGAGGACGAAGAACAAGCCGAGGTCAACCAGATGCGAGCTGCAAACTGGCCTTCCGAACAAGAACGAGCCGATCAAGACCGACCAGTCGGGGATACAGACCCATACGTCCAAGTCGAGCGGTATCACGAGTTACTACCACCACTGCTGAAGGAAGAAGACTTTCGACAGACCCTTCGTCAACATTTCCCTCCTCCCACTCAGCACAGTGCCGACGATGTTGCCGATGACGCAGGGTTGTTCAGTACAGTGCAATACTTAGCCGTTAGAGCATGGGTACATGATTCCCTATTAGCCAGGCAAACGGACGAGACGTTGTAATCGATGACGTTGTGCAGATCCATCGTATCTTAGGCTAAGCATGACTTAACTAGCCTAGCCAATCAGACAAGCAGTTGAACAAAAGAATTTGATGGGGTTTCATCGTCGTCGTCATACGTTCGTCTAAGCGAACAACAAAACAACAAACAACAAGATTACTCGCCTTCGTAGCTTCGTATATACCTACGACCTTCTTGCCTTCGTACAACTTGTTTGCTCTAACTTTACCTATCGTTAGTCCCGCATAACTTTCTCTCAATCCTACTCCTACATTACACGTACGCAACCTCTAGCTTCAAAATGCCTACTGCCGAAGCCATTGCTGGTAAGCTTCTACGCATACGTGTTGTGAGGGGTTGACATACCTTTACCGACATGCCTTTACACTGATAGAATTGACGGAGAAGATGGCTACGGCCACTGCTACCGAGCTGGGGGCTCTCTCCCAGACTTTGATCGGTAAGTATACTTTAGCTATGCCTCTCATCTTGTTGCTAATGCTACGCATGTGTACGAACAGCCGAAGTCCAGAAGAGGTCGAAGCAGGAGGAGGAGGAACGGGAGAAGGAGAAGAGGGCCGAGGAGGAAAGGGAAGCGGTCAGGCTTGTTAGCGTGGTAAGTAATCGTGCTAGTCTATGACTAACTTATACAAAGCTCACGGTTGGTGTTTCACTTGCAGGCCGAGACGATCCGGGAGTGGCTTCCTCAACAAGGACCTCGAGGGTTGATGAGGGCGGCGTTGGCTCGGTGGGATGGTGAGTTATAGTATACCTGCTACACTAGACATCGACTGGACTATCGTTCTACTAGTTATACTTGGGCTAATCTCGATTGCACGTACGGTATCTTTTGCTTAGCGCAACATCCCGAAGACGCCACCACCACCACCACCACCGACAAGAAGGCCGAGAAGACGGTCGTTCCCCCCGTCCCCCAACCCCCTCCCGCCGCCGACTCCTCCTCCTCCGGCCCCAGTCGAGAACGCCGGGCCTCGACTCCCTTGAAGGACGTCTTAAAGGCCTTCGTCCTGGCCGCCACCCCACAGAAGAAGAGGAGGGTCGTGGTTGAGGAGGATGACTCGGATGACGTCGAGTACCTCAGGGAGGACGGGCCTTCGCCCAAAAAGGCGATCAAGTTCGCCGCGAGGAGGAACGCAAGGGCGGAGAAGGGGAAGGGGAGGGCCAGCCGAGTGGAAGAAGTGGAGGACGAGTTCGGGGAGGGCGACGACTTTGTCCTGCCTCTTACGAAGCCCAAGCATTGGAAAGATGAAGCGTGGAGACGGGCCAACGTAAGCAAAACTAAACCCAGTCAAGGCTAAGTTAGGCTAAGTTAGGCTAATAACCCTTGTACGAACGTCTTTGTAGAAGGCCTACGAGATCATGTCCAACCCGGACGCAGTAGTGGTCCCCGACGAATGCTACTGCAAGACATGCAATGGGCGAACGCGATCCGGTGCGTTTCCGAACGACAAGCTTCGGGTGGCTTGTGACAAGGCCTTCGACCATTGCGTGGTCATACCGGGGGAGAAGGAGGCCTGTGTAAGGTGTATCTGGAGGTACGGCGAGCCCTGCGACTTCGAGAAGAGACCATATGTGGTCAAAGAACGCAAGCCGATGATCGTCAGGATCACCAACCCCCTCCCCGCCACCCCCGTCACCCCCGTCACCCCCACTCCCGCCGGGCCCGCTAGTCAAGCTCTGGCCCAACTCCAGCCCGCCCTGATGGATCCGACCACGGGCAAGTTCTGGTTCCAGGCTGGAGGTTCTGGTAGTTAGGCTTTGTATCTTTTTTTTGGGTGGTACGGGTTCCTTTTTTTGTTTTTTAAAATACGATATATGCACAATCAGCCTGAATAAAGTACAAGTTAGGCTAAGTAGTCTTGGTAAGCCTAACAGGCCTATCCGAACGTCTAAGCGGCCCAACATAAGGCGATCTCTTCCTCTTTTTCCCAACTTTCGACGAGGACGCTGACGCAGCCGGAGTTTCAGCTGAATCATGTTGAACTACAGCAACGGGGTCGACAGGGATTGTGTTTTGCACCTATTCAGTGTTCAGTAATCAGTTGAATGCAAAGACGTTGTGGTGACAGGAATCTATCGGCCCCGACGGTCGCCTACTTCCTACATCCGCGGTTCGCTCTCGACTACCTCGACCTCGCCGCTGTTGGTCACGGTGGATTACTAGGCGGCAGCCGACGGTGGATTAGAAGGTTTCATCGGACGACGGGAGACGGGATACACGTGTATAGGTCGAGGCATACGGGCAGAGGAGAAGCGGAAGACGCACGGCCCGGAGTATAGACCGTTCCGGTACTTTACTCGGTCGCGCTGGCGTAAGCGTACGCTAGACACGTATAAAGGTCCCCACCTCGATATTCGATTCCCCTCTTTTCCATCGCCGTTTCACCGTTGTAGTAGTCAAGCAAGCAGTAGAGAGACCAGTAGTAGACGTTTATTCATAGCTTTTATCCCACATTTCACTTTCGGTAAACACCTACCGTTCGACCTCGCTGATTCGCCGCTTCGCGTTTCACGTTTACTTCCCATCACCCGCTTAAGACAACGGATCTATAGCTGGCTTCCGGACAAGGTTAAGTAGATCGGCGTCAGAGTACGGCCTTTGCTAGCTTGCCACCCCGAGAGGTTTCGAGTTATACGACTTCGACGTATCGCGTTTGATCGGAGATATCACCTTTTACCGTCGAACGTCACGTGACCTGAATCACGTGACGCTTACACGACTTTACCTGCCACCCACCCCCTATAGTCTACCGGGAACAGCACTTGCCTACCTGGACATCCATTACCACTCCTAGGCTTAGCAACCCTACCTACCTACCTACCTTACCGCCAACTCAGACGAGTTGTTGTTTGACGTCGTCATCGACGTTTGATCCCGAAGACCGGGATAGACCCCACAAAACTGGCGACACCAGTGTGATCGTTTAGCCCGAACTAGCCGAGGGTAGTATCACAGGGGGACATTCATCAAGACCGACACGTACGACGAGATTCGTATATCGACAAGCACGACGAGGATTCGTGTACCGACAAGCACGACGAGGATTCGTGTACCGACAGATTACCGTTGAGATATACCACATCGTACCCTTCAGTCATTAGATAAGGACTATCCAATATCATGCCTCCTAAACCTGAGACTCCCAATCCCGAGGGTTCCCCTCTTCCGGAGGGAAGGAGCAAGAGATCTATCCCCAGTGTCGGGAAGGATGGTGCTCCGTTCATGTTTTCGGGTACCGAAGTCGAAGACATCGAGGAGTGGATGGAAGACTTTGAGACGTTCGCCCAAGAGTACGAAATTTCGGAGAGTAACAGGTGCAATGAGGTGACTCGGTACACTTCCCATTCCGTTAAAGATGCTATTCGGGCGATGCCGGGGTATGCTGAGAAGGTTTGGGCAACGTTGAAAGATGAGATTATTGTGTCGTACCGTAACACAGTTTCCGGACTGGCGGCCACGATCGAGCAACTAGAATATCTCGCTAAGTCTACGGGAGAAAGGGGAATCAAGGCTCCGAAAGAATGGGAAGCTTACTTACGAGATTTCAGAGTTATTTCTAACAAGCTGAAGAAGAAGGGTCTCCTCGACGCAGACAGGGAAGCGTCTATCTTTCACAAGGGACTACCTAGTTCGGTTAGAGACCAACTCGAGAACAAGTATATGATGACGAGCAAGGTACGGGACACAAGCAAAGCTCCCCCCATCGCTGAACAGGTGCAGGTCGGCAGGGACCTATTCAACATGAACCGGTTCGACGCCAGGGAACGGTACGAGATTAGCGACGAGCAGATTGATGAAGAAAGGCGACGACAGGAAGGGTTTCACCAGTTGGTCGACGTAGTACGCGCCAAAGGCAGGAAGATCACTGGTACTACCGAAGGTATCGATCTGGGCGGAAAGCCGTCGTGGCTGGCACCGGGAATCGTTCCGGCCGAGCGATGGACGGACAGGCAAGGGGAGCGGACGATGAACCAGAACCGGATCCGTGACGCGCCACCTCATCAGCCAATTCGATCGGACACGGACAAAGATCTGGACTTGGTTATCGGGAAGCTTAAGCAGCTCAACGTGGGATCTGCTCAGTACTACAATGCCTACGTGACAGCCGTTCAAGAAGGATACGCGATTCAAGGACGGGTCCAACCCCCTATCTGGGCTTCGGAAAACGCTCCGCCTGCGGCGAGAGGAATGGGTCTACCTCGTGGAGTGGGCTTCCAGGGGATCTGCTTCTATTGCGGCAATGGAGGTCACAGAGTAAACGAGTGCGAGACCGCAGGTCTCCATATCAACAAAGGCTGGGTCCGCCGAGACAACGGAGGAAGAATCGTATGGCCTACTGGTGAATTTATCCATTGCCCGCCTGGGCAACGACGGTCGGTTCTAGTAGCGGATCGACAAGGACGGATGGGAGCAGGTGCGCCCAGGGCCGCTGGCGTTCACGCTTTGGAAGTGATGGAGGGATATTCCCGAAACGATCAGAGTTATGCTGGCCCCATCAGCGGTGCCTACGAGGAGACCTATTTGGTTAACGGGTACTACCCAACGACTTTTGAAGCGCGCCAGACCATGTATCCTTCGCACCCGGACTATAGCCACGCGGCTAATATCCGGAACAAGGTTCCCCAAGGCCGACCTGATGGTTTTCGACCTGGTCCCGCGGGAGGAAAGGACCAAAGTTTCCGAGACAAAACGACTCGATTCAACGCCCCGCCGGCAGGGCGAGGAACGTCCTCAAACCAGATTCCTCTTCCACGTGAGCAGCCGCGGTTTCCGACTATGAAACCTGAGGTCTACCCGCGACAGCCGGGAATGGAAGTCAGCGACCGGAAGTTTATCCCTGACCAAGACGTGGACATGAAGGATGGTCGAAAGCCGGCTACTAGAAACAAGCCGAGCGGAGATGAGCCCCGGCTCACGCGTACGACTGACTTTGCTAGGGAGCTGAATCCCGAACAGATTATACAGCGCCTGCTGAATCAAAGGCATACGATTGAGCTATCCACGAAAGAGCTGTTCGCTATTTCTGGAGTAGCGACCGGTATTGTCAACAAGGGGACCCGTTCTCATTTGGGACCTGCGGCGGGAAAGCAGGTGAGCTTCGGTGACGCTACCCACTATGTAGCCGAACATAGCTACGGTGAGGAAGACGCGGAAGAGGCCGAATGGTATGAGGTCAACAAATCCGACGAAACATACGCCCCAGAGAGGAAGCCGCCGCCTGGAAGAACTCGCGCCCTTATCAAGATTCCTGCCGTGCTCGGAGGAATCGGCGTCACGGCTATGCTAGACACCGGCAGCGAAATCGACATGTGTTCCCGGAGGTTATACGAAGCTATGGCTAATCCGCCGCCCTTGCGGACTGATTTGAGGCTGCTTATGTCTGGAGTCAACGGACCCCCGAAACACATCAACGGCATCATGCAACAGGTCGAATTGCGCATTGGAGATCTGAAGTTCCCGACGGACGTCCATGTCAATGAGGACGGGCCGGACTATATCATCTTAGGACAGCCTTTCCTGAACAGAGCTAGGTTCTCCCATGGCTGGGATGGCGACAGGCCGGTGGTCCGACTGTCTTCGGAGGACGGAGACCTGGAATTCTCTTACAAGACGGTCAAGAATGGAGAGCTGGCAAGCGCACCGACGACCGGGGCCGCTCCCAGACCGAGGCGAAGGTCTGACTCGGACCGCTTCGGACATGAAGACAAAGTCGGTCACGCCGGGAATGGAGGTTCTTGTACCTGTTCGACAGCGGATTTTTGAACGCAGGCGAGCGTGTATTCACAGCATACAAGCCCGTCGCAAAGAAGAAGAGAGCTGTGGGGGCGACTGTGCCGCCCGAATCATTGACTGTAGGACAATTTCGAAGACCGGAGGGGTTGCTGGACGACCTACCGGACCTACCTGTACAAGTATCGTGTTTCAGTTTCGGAGAACGATTGACTGAGGATCGCTGGAAATCTATGGTTGAGGAGAGTATCCTCAACGAAGAAGAAGCCAAGTTGGCCAACTGGGTCGTTATGACCAATGAGAAGACGTTTTCATGGACGGATGCCGAGAGAGGCCAGTTCAAACCGGAGTATATACCTCCATACAAGATACCGACTATTGCGCATACGCCATGGAGGGACAGGGCGATTCCGATACCCCCTGCCGCCATCGACGTTATCATGGGAAAGATACAGGAGAAGATTGACTCCGGAACCTACGAGCCATTGCAAGGTTCCTATTTGAGCTCGATTATTGTGGTTGCCAAGAAGGATGGAGGGTACAGGTTTGTGCACAATATGCAAACATTGAACTCGATTACGGTACGGGACAACGCAACACCGCCGTTGCTGGAGAACTTCGCCGACGAATTCGCCGGACTATCCTGTGTGGGGCTGTTTGACCTTTACGATGGATATGGACAGTACCCGCTCCATCCAGATAGCAGGGATTTGACGGCGTTCCAGACGCGTATGGGGCCGCTGAGACTGACGAGTTTGCCGCAAGGAGCGTCGAACTCTGTCGGGGTCTTTCAGCGGGCTGCCAACTTTATTACCGGTGACGAGAATCCACCGACGACTGTGGCTTATCTGGACGATTTTGGCGTGAAGGGACCTAGGACTAGATATGAAGATTCGAAAGGGCAGCCAGAAATGATACAAGGAAACCCGAAAGTTCGGCGCTATGTGTACGAGTATCTGCAGAACTTACATCGACTACTGTGGAAGATGGGAAAGTACGGAGGGACTTTCTCGGGGAAGAAGGTACGACTATGCGATGCTGAACTTAACATAGTGGGGTTCTCGTGCTCGTACTTCGGGAGGAAACCCACGGATACGTCGGTCAGGAAGATCACCGATTGGCCCCCTTGTCGAAATGTGAAGGAGGTGAGGGGATTCTTAGGCACGGTAGGACCGGCCAGGAATTGGATCAAGAACTATGCTGTCATCGCTCGCCCGTTGGTGCGACTCACGGCCGGCAAGATAGCCGACAAGGACTTCGTCTGGAGCAACGAAGCCGATCAAGCTTTCAGGGACATCAAGGCGGCCATAGCCAAGTGTGGATGGATGCGGCCGATTAACTACTCGTCCGACGGGGAGATATACCTGGCAGTGGATTCCAGCCATATAGCCGTAGGCTTCGAGATAGGACAAGACCATGAGGGAACCAAGAGACCCGCCAGGTTCGGTAGCATCACCTTTTCTGAACGGGAATCTCGATACTCGCAGGCGAAGCTAGAACTGTTCGGTGTATTCAAAGCGCTGAAGAAGTGTGCACAGTGGGTATACGGTCGAAGGATACGATTGGAGATAGACGCCAAATATCTCATAGAGATGATTGGCTCACCGGAATTACCTAACTCGGCGATGACGCGATGGCTGTGGTACATCCATAATTTCGACTTATACATCGTGCATGTGCCAGCAAACAAGCACATGGTGGCGGATGGACTGTCCCGCCGACGCCGAACGGACGAGGATACGGATGAAGAGGATGTCGAAGCTTGGCTAGACGCCGCATGTGGACTTGCTCGTGTCGAGCACGCGGAGCCGTTACCGACTCTGTGCAGCACGAATCTGATACAGGAGTACTATGATGACGAGTGGAAGCGATTGGGAGACTACCTGGAGACAGGGGAAATGGAAGAAGGGTTGAGTGCCAGTGCTGCAAACAAGTTGAGGGCCAAGGCCCGATCGTATTTCATACGGCACGGGAAGATCTACCGGCGGATTAACAATGAAATGCCACGCGAGGTACTGGGGACGCCAGCTAGACGGAAAGCCGTGCTGAAAGCAGCCCACGAAGAAGGAGGACATAAAGGATCACTCGCTCTCCGACATCGAGTTGGTCTCAGCTTCTTCTGGCCGGGTATGGCTAAGGACGCGGAAAACTTCGTGAAAGCCTGTGACCTATGCCAACGCCGAGATCCGAGACGGTTTGAGGAGGAAAACCGGTCCACTTATCCCGCCGATCTGGGTAGAGTGTGGGGTATTGATTTGGTGACCCTACCGCCATCGGGAGGATACCGCTATATCGTTATAGCTCGGGAGGATGTATCGAAGTGGGTTGAAGCAAAGGCCATACGAAAGAAGGAAGCGTCGACAGTCGCCAAGTTCATCATGGAGAAGATAGTTACCCGATACGGAAGCATATCGCGACTGAAGAGCGACCAAGGATCCGAGTTCATGGGCGAAGTGTTGGTTGAGATGGCCAAGTTCAAGATCACCCACATACGGACTAGTCCTTATCACCCACAAGCCAACGGGATGACGGAACGAGGGAATGGACCGTTCAAGGAAGCGTTGTACCGAGTTGCAAGGGATGTGAAGCAGCCTTGGCACAAGCTGATCGACTTCGCTTGTTGGGCCGAAAGGACTACCTATTCACGGACTACAGGGTACACGCCATATCGGTTGATGCTCGGACAAGATTGCGTATTACCATTCGACTTGGAGGAAGCCACGTTCTTAGTGAGAGGGTACGAGGACGGGTGCAGTAGCGGGGATCTACTGCATCATAGGATACGGCAACTGCTGCGACGAGAGGAGGACATCGAGTTAGCGCGGGAGAGGCTAGCTATATCTCGGGAGATCTCTGTGAACGATCACAACTTACGACACGATCGAAGGATGAACGAACCTTATTCGCCGGGCGATTGGGTTCTGTTGCGAGATTCTGCAAGAGACGTCACATATCAAACCAAGGACGCAGATAGATGGTTCGGACCTTATGTTGTGGTGGAACAGACCAGAGGTAGAGCTTACCGGATCCGAGAGCTAGATGGAGCGCTGCGCCAAGAATTGATGGCGCATACACGTTTACGCCCGTACTACCGACTCGACATCCTTCAAGGCTTACCGGAAGTGACCTTACCCGAAGACGGGGAAGTAGAAGATTCCACGGATGACGAAGAGGAGGAAGACCGGAATGAAGAAGAAGATATCGAGCGACAGTGGGGATGGATGCGAGACCTGGACGAGCCAAGACCTACCGGACCTTGGGTGCCCACGACTCGCGACACCATACGTATCTGATAGGGAGGCTAGGACGGGGAGCCTAGTCGGAAAGAGGGAAGGATACGAGGATAGAAAGGCAAAAGGTAGAAGAGAGAACGAGAGAAAGGAATGCGAGAAGAGAAAAACATTATATAGACATAAAAAGAAGGAAAACCGCACAAGGAATCACACTAGCGGGAGCTGGGTCATGCGGGATATGATGAGGATATCCCTAGGGGACAGCACCGACCGCCATCGCAAAAACTCGGCATACCGAGCATCAGTCTCCTCCTTGAGAACGGTATGGAACAGAGGGGTTCTGTTCAAACGAAAAAAAAAAAAAATATGGAAGAGAGTCAGAGGCGGGATATCTAGTATGCGGATGAAGACGAACCTTAGCAGCTCCGTGCCTTCGGACGATGGCCGCGGGAGAGAGTAGAGATGGTTCCTCCCATACTCCAGCATCCAACCCAACGACAGTTCGATCTCTGCCTCGGGAACCTTCGCCCACCCTGCCACGCTCGTCAAGAGAAGCGTGAAGGAGAAGAGCCACGCCTCCTTGCGCCAGGGATCCTGGCTCCTCGCAACCTGAAACAGGATGCGATCGAAGAGACTGTAGACGTCCCCCGGGAAACCCAAGACCGCGCCGGTACCGGGAAAGGGAATATAGAATCCGAATATATCCCGGAGGATCGTTCGGACGGCGAGGAATAGTTCGAATAGAAAGCGCTGTGATGAAAGTTAGATTGCGATGAATGGAAGGCCTAGGAAGGATAGCGAGAGGACCTACTTGTTTCCATTCCGGTAGAGGGAAGCAGCGGTTTCCCTCACGACTCCTCACCCTCCATTCATCGTTCATCAACGCCCAGGCATCCGCGTTGGTCCACACGGGAGCAGTGATATCCGGGCGGGATTCGACATTGTGGAAGGAAGAGTTCATTGTGGGGAACGTTTTACTATTCTAGGGTGGAGTGCGAGCGAGAAGTATGTGGTTGAGATAGATGGTGAAATATCGGATATCGAAAAGAGAGAAGACATCAAGAAGGAGGGCATGAAGCTTCTTAAGTATATGGGGAACGTATACTAAGAAGCATAGCTTCTTTGGGCAATTCGGTAAAACCACGAAAAGACAAAAAGAACAGAAAAAACGACGATCCGAGTAGCGAAGTGATACGACGACGACGGCGCTAGAACCCGCGCAGTGGATACGACGACAGAGTTTGTATGACGAAGGATCGGCAGACGACCGGGGAAGACGACAACGAAAGGACGTTTGTGCGTAAGCACGTAGAGATACTACGTGTACGGGAAGTTCGGAACAATACGGAGATTAGGAAGAAGTACCACAACCGTCGAGAAGCCTGCTGCAGCGAAAATCAGAAGAGAGAACGAGAAGGCTACGGGACGATATCATCGTCACACCGGACTACACGACTACAACCGCAGCCCATTCATCCCTCGCGACGGGCCTCCTTTTCGTAGGGAGGCGGGGGCTGAAGCGAAGAAGGATAGAGATCGGTTAGTTAAGTGTGTCGGAAGAAAAGGACGTAGGAGGAAGACGTACGGGGGGAGTATCGTCGCGGACGACGATGGGAGAATCGTCGCGGACGACGATGGGGTTTTGAGCCGTTCCGGGCTCGTAGCGAGGTGGCGGGGCTGCAATACACATATCTGGAATCAGTATACTTGAACGGAAAGTAGACAAGTCTCGTACTCACTCAAACCACTGGGACGGGCTATCGCGATAGACCAGGAAGGGAGATTAGGACCGGTGAAGAGAACATTCTTGATCCAACTTACGTCGCTGAGACCCAGGACCCCGAGGAAGGTTCCTCGGAGAAGTGTTGGCTACGAAGAACAAGAACGAGAAGGTCAGCGAAGAAGAAGGATCAAGACTAGATGGAGACACGGACCTTTTTTAGCGGGGGAGGGGGTGTTCTTCTTAGGAGCCTTGGACATTTTGACGTTTTAGGTATGAAGAAGAGAAGAGAGAGATATGAGGGAGGAAGGGGGGATAGACGGAAACGACAAAACGACTTAGACTATATACCTTTCGAAGAAGCTCGAAATCGGTGTACGCGACGTCACGGGACCCTTGAACTTGCTTCCGCTCGACGACAGCGACTATGGCGGAGTTGGAGTACTACTACAGTTGTGCCTACGATAAGGCATATCAAGGAGAGAAATTCGGCAGCGAATATCATCGATGATCTAAGTTCGAGCTTCTTAGGTGGATACGTGCTTTGCTTACCCAATCGGGAAATTCGAGGTGACGCACCCCGTTTCCCGATGACGTTATCTTCCGACGAAGAATCTAGCGAGCGACAACTTCCCATGGGTATACTAAAGGCAGGAGAACAGCGACGATCTACCCGACCGAAGTGTAGGGATTCCGAGGAACAAAGACGACGATTTGGAACAAAAAGAAACCTCCCGCGCGTAGGAATTTGCATCCGCGGTCGTACATGGACAATAGCGCGACTACATTTCTGCCATCTGAAACACGTTCCTAAGCAAGGTGTTCACGTCGGTACCTGGTGGACACTGCTGTCGGGATGGGTATAAAGACTCTCGGGATACGGTCGAAAACTGAAGAGCATACGACGGAAGACCCATCCAGCATCAGGCAAGATGGACGAAGGTTTTATCAACGACGAGGTCGACTATAGCGTCGAAGACGACAGCTATACCGACGACCAACTCCCTACCAACTACGAGAGAGTTTCTGCTCAGGTACAGCAGGAAACCCCTTCTAGCTGGGGCGACGACATTCCAGATACCGTCAAGGCTATGCCTGCTCCTACTATCGTCACGGGTACACCTAGAGTCAGCGGGGCTGCTCAGAAGGAAACCCGGGCGGAACAAAGTACTACGAAGCCCAACGAGGCGGCGCGTGTTGCACGAACTCGGACCACTGAGGAAATCCTCAAGTGTGGACGTTGTGGTACCAACGCGCATGGACAGGGCCGTGGATGCCCTTGGTTGGAAGAAGTATTGAGGAGCGGCGCCCTCACACGGGTCGGAACGGACGACAACTACGACCTGATCCGATTGGACCTTGCCGAACCTTTATCTTTGAACCGGTACATCTCCAATCATAAGGGGGCACCGATCAAGAGTACTAAGGAAGCATTCGAGTTGAGCTGCCGGAGCTACTCGATGAACTCGGTTAAGGCCATTCCGAAGTGGTACCGATTCGAAGGGCAGATTCCATCCTTGCTGGGAAGGATGAGGACTACGATTGACTCAAGGGCCGGGGTTCCCTTGAGGGTGAGCGAGAATACGAGGATCGAGAGGGCTGCGCCGTTTTACGGAGGCGTCGGGCCTAGCTCGGTTCCCCGTTTGATGACCGGTAGGACTCCCGCTCGACCGCTCGCGGAGAGGATCACACCTGCTGGTAGTGGACGCTGGGGAGACGATCGTCTTGATAGGCACAAACACCGACCTGTAACCGTTACTCAGGAGGTTATGCGAGGACCTACGCCGGTGTTCATTACCTCCAAGACCGAAGACAGCTTCATCCTTACCGATTCAACTGGGAAGGATTACTTGTTGAACCGTGGATCGATTGCGGCGTGGACCCGTCAGGGACCGCTTTAGCGACTGAGGACATCGCAGGGAAGAAGAGAACGACTTGTGGTGACAGGAATCTATCGGCCCCGACGGTCGCCTACTTCCTACATCCGCGGTTCGCTCTCGACTACCTCGACCTCGCCGCTGTTGGTCACGGTGGATTACTAGGCGGCAGCCGACGGTGGATTAGAAGGTTTCATCGGACGACGGGAGACGGGATACACGTGTATAGGTCGAGGCATACGGGCAGAGGAGAAGCGGAAGACGCACGGCCCGGAGTATAGACCGTTCCGGTACTTTACTCGGTCGCGCTGGCGTAAGCGTACGCTAGACACGTATAAAGGTCCCCACCTCGATATTCGATTCCCCTCTTTTCCATCGCCGTTTCACCGTTGTAGTAGTCAAGCAAGCAGTAGAGAGACCAGTAGTAGACGTTTATTCATAGCTTTTATCCCACATTTCACTTTCGGTAAACACCTACCGTTCGACCTCGCTGATTCGCCGCTTCGCGTTTCACGTTTACTTCCCATCACCCGCTTAAGACAACGGATCTATAGCTGGCTTCCGGACAAGGTTAAGTAGATCGGCGTCAGAGTACGGCCTTTGCTAGCTTGCCACCCCGAGAGGTTTCGAGTTATACGACTTCGACGTATCGCGTTTGATCGGAGATATCACCTTTTACCGTCGAACGTCACGTGACCTGAATCACGTGACGCTTACACGACTTTACCTGCCACCCACCCCCTATAGTCTACCGGGAACAGCACTTGCCTACCTGGACATCCATTACCACTCCTAGGCTTAGCAACCCTACCTACCTACCTACCTTACCGCCAACTCAGACGAGTTGTTGTTTGACGTCGTCATCGACGTTTGATCCCGAAGACCGGGATAGACCCCACAACGTCGATCCCGATTGTACAAAAGCCCAATACTCTTACAGGATTTTCAACGTCGGTGCTTTGTAACACTATTGCTTCCCCTTCATCCGAGTCATGTTCTGAATGAACATCGTTCCGACCATCCTCACTTAACGGCCCTCCAGACATGGCAGGAGGACTGGGACTCTTGGCATTGTGATCCCAAGCAAACTCTTCAAACGACGGAACAGCAGCAGCACCAGGTTTATGGGTAGATTGGGTGTCGAGTTCGTAGTCACGGTGCTGATCCAGAACTTGGGCGATGACGCCTAAAAACTGGGTGGTACCCATGCTCAAGAGCTGACGTTCGCATAGATTGTAGAAATCAGGGATTGTCATTGCCGATGGTAAGGCATCCGGGGTTGTTCCAGTCAAATCTAACACGATTCGATCAGTCATTGCCTGAGTGTATGTGTATAGCAAGAACGCTTACCCATGACTTCGGTATTCCCAATGTTGGCCGGTTTCTCCGGGGGAGGGGATGTCTTAGCCTTAGCCTTAGCCTTAGCCTTTGGTTGTGGCCTTGTTGCTACTGGAGGCGAGGGATCAGGGGTATAGCCTTGAGGTACGTCGCGATTGTCCTCATCGAAGCGATTTTGAAACCCAGCGCAAATTCTAAGGTGTGCGCCATGTCGATCGGGGGGAAAGCGGCCTGGACACCAATTGCACTGCTTAGGTACGTTTGGATCGTCTAACTCGTTCTGTTCCTCCACATCAGAGTCCAACTCCTGCTTTGCCTTCCCTTTCCCTTTCGCCTTACTCGTAGGGGGAGCTTGAATCTCCACCTCCAGATCCCATGTGGCAGGATCACGGTCGAGGGCGTCGGCTAGCTGTTCACGGAACGCTTTCTTATCCTCCAGTGCATCCGCCCATGTGGCCGGTACAATATAAGCCATAGCTTCGTCCTCAAAAATGTCGGCCAATTGGGTAATATCCAAATCCCATGGATTATACGTCAAGTCCGGTTGGAACTTCTTCGAACTGGCGGTAAGTTTGGCCCATCGCCAAAGATGAGGAAGGGGCTTGCTAGCAGCCTTGAAGACTCCCTCTACGTAAGAGGTAATCTGTACCGAATCCATGTTATCCAAGAGATGGAGTTTCTGGATGCACCGTAAGCCTTCCAAGCATTCGGTAAGTGCCGCAGTGCGACCCCTCTTGTTTGTCTCCAATACGAGCTGCTCCCGTACAAACGAACCACAAGGAATGAAAGCAACCTGTAGTATGTTCTTGTGAGCAAAGGATCCCAGAGTTACAATGATATGCTTACTGACCTTGTTCTTTCGCCCAAGCTTCTTCGGCTTACCAGGCTTCACAGATGCGTGTATAACCTGTTGACCAACGCTTCCCCTTATCTGAAACCCGCCTCGGCCCATCTTCTTGAAGCTGCCAATTCCGGATATCCCTCGACCAGGCAAACTCTGCTGTGAGAACGTAGCAGGAGCCGAGCCAACCATCTGCTGAACCCTGCGAGCCTGGGTCAAATAAGGCGCAGGCGAAGCAACAGCTCTGGTTGCACCGGGTGTCGAGATCTCTGGAATGACTTCTTGAACATCGTCTTCAACAGAAACCGACAGAGATTGACGGACAGGGGGGGCTGAGGGAAGAGGAGCAGGACTAGGCTGTGTTGCACCAACTGGCTGGGCTGGAGCAGCGATGGGAGTAGGGGGAGTCGCTGTGAGGGCCTGGAGAACAGCCTGAAGGTTGGCGATGATATCGGCAGTGTTGTTCATGACGGCTAGTAGCTAGTAGCTAGTACAAGTAAGGATAAGGTAGGCTAAGTGGACGTTAGGCTTGTTAGGCTAATCGAGGGGGATGAAATGAGAATATGAAAGATAATCTTGATGGTGAACTCAGATTATGATCCCTTTTTGGGAGCTTTTGCTCAAAGGAGAGGGTATAGATCGATGTCGCGCGCACCTAGATTCGCGAAATCAATAACAAATCGGTCGATTTTTGATATTGCGGAGATTCAGTCGCTTGGAACAAACGGCCCGGTATAAACGGCATGGCCTAGCTAGCTAGCTGAAGGCTCGAGATCTAATCATCGAGTAGCCTCGAGCATTCTAATCACCTGTTACCTGGACACACGGTATTTGCCGTCTTTGAGCACTTGCCCTTCATCCTCACTGACTGGCTATCGACATTGAAGGCCACTGTCAGTTTCGTATCGAACACAGCGGTGACTGTTTCGAGTATTCACTGGCCTCTCAGTGCTCGGCTCAAAATAAAAACATGATCGATCCTGGCCGACACTGTTTGAATCTGAGTCTGGCTTCGATACCCATCGATCCCAAAGACGCTCCTCGAGATCTCGCTGCTGTGAAACAGAAGAAGACTTGGCCCAAATCTAGCCCGTTATTACGACAGAGGTGGCCAAATCATCGACCGACTGAAGATCTACGATGGGCAAGACCTCACGGAACTTCCGAGGGGTCCGGGCAGGAATCGATCGATGCGAGCGAAGATGAAAGCACTTCCACCATATGGGATGTTCCAGAGGATAGATATCTCTTAGAGTCTACTCGACAGCGTGCGACTCGCAAGTTAGGAGAAGCTAGCCAACAACGGTTCGATGCTCGGCCGATCGTTATCAACTGTCGCGACGACAGCGCCTTGGACCGACTCGTCGCTGCAATCAAAGGAGAGGATGGGAGAGAGCCCCTCTTTGCTGAATATTGCAGAGCTGTGGATGCCGCTGAAGATGCAGAATCAAAATCAAAATCGGAGGCGGAATGTTTCGACATCTTTTGCCGAAAGGCCAACATCGGCGGTACTACACTCGTCGGCGAAGGATACAAGAATCTGTTCAAATACAACGCCTCGCAACCTCTTGCCAGGAACCCCGAGGTGGTTCTCGATACTGCTCACGGCGCAGACGATTGGGATGATACGGGATATGATGTCACGCCTAATCTTCTCCTTCTCGACAAAGGCGATCCCAGGGGAGACGTCGGATTCGGCTCTGAAGAGGAGAGTCAACATCAGAAACGTCACCAAGAGCCGACTTGGCGCGAAGTCATAGGTGCAGGAGCGGTCAGAATGGAACAGACCTCCGATATGTCGACCGTTGGTAAAGACGCAACTCCGGCGCTTCAGTTGTTGAAGTCCCTCGTAAGACGCGGAATTTGGGCTCTATGTCAAGGCGTCTCAATTTGATATCTGATCATGATACTATTTTCCGTACTGTCACCCTTATTTCAGACCACGCTAGCCCGCAACCATCCGATCACCGGTAGGTCTTGTGGATTCACCCTCTGCGGGCGCTTCCTCCGCATGTTCGTCTCGGACAGTCTTTCTTTCGCCACTACGCTGTTATGCGATCTCGCCGACCCGGACCATGCCGTCGACATCGCCAAGATTATCGCGTTCTTCACGGGACCCAAGGAGAATATTATCGACACGTTCGAACCGCCAAGGAAATCGTTCAAGATCCGGCCGCCTGGCTCGGAGGTGATCGAAGAATGGCATTGGAGCAACTCTCCAGAATCGCCCGAGAACACCCCACTCCCGAACCCGCTTTGGAAAATGCTCGAAGTCCGCAACGAGTTGTGGGGTCGGCGCACAGCTGTGTTCGCCGGGTACGCTCGCAAGGGAAACGAAGGACCAGAGACGGCCATCCCAATCGTCATGAAATGCGCATGGCTGCCGGCTTATCTCAAGGATTACGAAAGCAGGATCCTGGAACACATTCGAAAGGCGCTTCAGGAGCCCATCGATCACGAAAAGTACCCGTTCTTGGAGGAAGCCCTGAAGTTTGTCGATCCACGAGTCATCGACTGCATCCCGCGATCGCTTGGTGTGCTGCAGGACTGCGACCGCGTTTCTCGACTTGTTTCGCCCATGAACGGGATCGAGGTAGAGGATGGAACTGAAAAGGACGAGGATGATCAGGTGCGCCTAGAACTCTCCGTCTTGTGTACGACTGGCCCGCACGGCGAGCGGGTGCCGACCACAAAAGGATCGAAACTATCTCTAAAAAACCATTGCGAGATACAATGCGGCGTCTTCGAAACGATCTTGATCATCTCGTGCTGTGATGTCCATTATCGTGATCTCAACATCGGCAACGTTCTCTTTGTGGTCGATCCGATTCCAAGCAATGACAAGAAGGGCAAAAGTCGACAGGCTGCGGGAAAGATCACGGGGTATCTGATCGATTACGGGAACGCTCGAATCCTCAACAAAAGGCGCAAGCGGTCCCCCCCTGAGCTCTCGGATCCGGAGGCCCCAAAGGCGCGTCTATGCCTTGACGATGCCAGGTCCATCAACGCGTACTTTGTATGCACAACCATGTTGAAGGTATTAAAGCTCGCAACCAAATTTCGTAAACAATGCACAATCGCACGGTCCAAGGAGGTCGCGATGCGATCCGAAGACCCGAAAGAGTCACAGCTGGCTACAGAGAACTGGAAGTTGGCCATCGACCAGCAGAAGTCCATCGCCGAACAAATCGCGAACTTGCCTCATCGGTATATCGATGGTATGTTGACAGGATATCATCATCACTTCCTCGACGTGGTCCTGTCGTCTAAACGAATCCTATCCCGTCCTTCCTCGCAGACATCGAATCTGCGTTCTACGTGCACATCTATCAAGTGGGTCCGAGTGCGTTGCGTTTCTGCTGGAAGCTTACCTTGTTTGCGACAGGTAGCCAAGGTCGTCGGCGCACGCGAGGGGCATCAAGCCGAAATCTTCCGCTTACATGAACGCGACATCAAGAAAGCCGCCTGGAGTGAATCATGCGAAATGGTGAGTGAGCTTTCCTGCTCATCGCAGCCATTGACCGCAACTTCACTCAAGTGACATCATCTTTGCCGGTTTCCAGCTGTTGCGGGGGTTAAACAACCTTGTTATGCCATGGCTCTACCTCGAGTGCGACCACGCTAAGGATGTCCGCAACACGCGCGCCAAGATTGACACTCAAGCGCTTGACGGAAAGCTGGTGCAAGAAGAGTACGATTGCTTCGTGAGGCGTATTGACGCTGTCCGTAAAGCAATTCCGAACCTTCCCGACGAAGTCTTGCTGCGTGGTGCAAGCTGGAGAGACAAGCCGGCTCAACGCGAGCCAGGGAGTCCCAGTCCGGCACCCAACCCCAAACGCGCTCGGCTCAATTCGTCGGTCCGCAAGTAGGTCTCGGCCTGAGAGACTCTCCTTGCAATCTCTCTTTCGTCTCGGTTCACCGGATCACCAAACGATCTCCGGACTGCTCCTCCCCGATAGTCTCCTTTTACGCATCTACACCGTCTCCCATCACTTGGGCTCTGGACGACATACGGACTTTTTCTGCGATGGTCCCCTTTTACGCACCTTTACGATACGACCTTTGACCAGCGAGCTCATAGAGACTCGACGTTCCCAGAGAGATCCGCTTTTGGGCATTCCGTATTACTTTACGCTGTATTCTATATGATACGTTTCACATGTCATCCATACCCTCCAGCCGTAGTGCTGATGATCATTTAGAGAGGTTTTGCTTCCGAATGAGGCCCCGGGCAGGTGCCCCCGGCCTTCCGGGGCACCCGTTGCTGTCGTCATATCGATCTTTCAATCTCTCCGACCTCATTATATTCCTGAAGAGCAAAGACATACAGTCACACTCACATCTCAAGATGAGGTGGTTGAACAGCCTGATAACCCTAAGCTTGCTCACCTCGCTGGCTCTGGCATTCCCGGCGAAACAGGAACATTTCGAAGCCGAAACCTCTTTGCGCAAGTCGTATAAACACAGGCCTCAGGAGAAGGGTGGGATCGCATGGGATAAGAACAGTTTGATCATCGATGGAGAGAGGATCGTCTTGTGGCAAGCATCTCTTGAACTCTTCTGTTGTTCTTTGCCTGATTATGCTGATTGCGGTCGTATTCCATCTGATTGGGTTGCATAGGAGCGGAGAATTTCATCGTGAGCCCATCATCCCTCTTTAGCTCTTCTTCGGTCAACGCCGATCAACGACCTCTTCCCTTCTTGCTTTTTTGACAGCATGGAGACTCCCCGTTCCGTCCCTCTGGCTGGACGTCTTACAGAAGATCAAAGCGCTAGGCTTTAACGCTGTCAGTCTTCCCACCTTTCAAATCACTTAAACTCCTGTTCTGGTCTTTGTATTTCCTGTTCTTGCCATCGAAAGCTGATCTGGCTTCGATCTCCACCTCCATCCCCAATCATATCAAACAGGTCTCGTTCTACTCCCACTGGGGTCTTAACAACCCTTCAAATGGCACATTAGATTTCACGGGCTTTAGGGATTATCAACCGTTCTTTGATGCGTGCATGCAAGCCGGGTTATGGGTTGTGGCTAGGCCCGGACCTTATATCAATGCCGAAGTACGTTCCAACTCCCGGACTCTTTTCTGGTTCCCCTCAATCGATCATTTTGTCCCTCTGATCCAGTGCGTGCATATATGTATATAGCTGACGCTTTACTTCGATTTGTCCCGTTCCCCGTCCTGCGCCTCGTCGCGATACGGCGATTATAGACCACAGGAGGGGGAATCCCAGGTTGGGTCCTCGCTACCGACGCCCGAACCCGAACTTCCGATCCGAAATTCGAAGCCGCTTGGAAGCCTTATTGGACGGCCATGGGAGAGCTTTGCGCGAAGAATCAGTGGAGCGAAGGAGGGCCGGTCATCATGGTACAGATCGAGAACGGTGAGTTTCACTTGCGAGGTCAAAGCCCGGGTTTTAAGCTGGATCGGGCATAGTTTGAGAGTCCACGTCAAGATTTGATGCTTTAAAGAGAAAAGAAACTGACGGTTTTATGGGTTGAAACAGAGTACTTCTTGAACGGTAAAGGCGACATGGACCTGGATTACATCAAGGCGCTCGAGAAGGGCATGATCGACGCCGGGGTCAAAGTACCCCTGAGTTTCAACGATGTAAGCCTCCTTTTGAAACCCCTCTCCCGTAGAGTCACTCATCAAGTTGACCATACGGTCGCGTTCACTTGCAGGTCGGGATGAAGAACCGACTCGTCAAAGGACCCGGCCACGTCGACTTGTACGGGTTCGATTCTTATCCTCAGAGCTTGGACTGGGATGCCTGTGGGGCTCAAGAATGGAGACCGGTCGATGAGAGGTATCACGATTACTTCGAGTCGACTTTGGGCAAGGTTGGAGTGCCCTTTTATATCGTGAGTACAGAAGCGCTTTGGTTGCAATCCGCTCAGAGACACGTTATGACTCGAAGTTAAAACGTGCCACGGCGCTGGGTGATGCGAAAATACAGCCCGAGTTCCAAGGAGGAACGATCAATCAGTGGACCATGCCGATCGCCGAGGACTGCCAGCGCTTGTTCGGAGCCGAATTTGAGAGGGTGTTTTATCTGCACAACTTGGCTTCGGGAGTAAAAATGCACAACGTATACATGGTCTACGGAGGCGAGTCGAGGATGAGAAAGCCTCTGATGCATACCAGAGACGGCTATACTGATTCGCTCGATTTCGAAAACAGGCACGAACTGGGGCGGGTTGGCTTTCCCGCCGAGTACGACCACGTACGACTACTTTGCGGCTATCAGAGAGGACAGGACGTTGCGTCAACCCAAGTATGGCGAGCTCAAGGTCATCTCCCACTTCCTAAGATCGGCGAGAGATTACCCAGACGCGCAGGTAGTAGGCAAATGGAAAGTGGATGGGGTCGGTTTAGAGGCGGAAGGCGCGGTGGTAGTGACCGAGTTGGAGAACAAGGATACGAGGGGAAAGTTCTATATCGTCCGCCATGCCAAGTAAGTAGCGTCTCGATTCAAGCCCTGTCGCGCACAGAAGCATTGACGGACCGACATCGGTAGCTCGAGTTCGCTCGAGACCACCGAATTCAAGCTTCGAATTCGTTCTGGGTCCCATAAGCAGACGATATTGCCTCGAAGCGGCCACCTGACTCTACGAGGACGCGACAGTCGGATCATTGCGACGGGGTTCAACTTTGGGAAAAGCAGGATCGCCTATTGCACCGCTAGGATTATGCTCGCCACTACCATCGGTGAAGAAGACATTCTGCTCGTCTACGGGGACAAAGGTGAAAGTCACGAGATTGGTTTCGTTGAAGACGGTACTTCGAAGTTGGCCGTAGCGCAGTCTGATCAGGAGATCAAGCTCGAAAACGGAGTGGCGTCGTTCCGAACTGGAAGCGCGGCTGCTGTTCAATCGACGCTTCTGAAACGCGGCAAGCGGGACATGCGGGTGCTCGTTGCGGACACGGCTACCGCGTATGCTGTTTGGCAGCCTGTGTTACGAAACGAAGATAGTCAAGATCCTCAACAGGCTTTCTACCGGCACAAGGACGGCGACAACGTCATTGTCGTCGGGCCGTGAGCACAGTCCTTTACGTCAGAAATTACGAGATACGTGACTGACCCCTGCGTTTTGCAGATATCTGGTTCGAGACGCCGTCCGCAAGGGCAATGTGCTAGATGTCATCGGTGACTTGAGTGCATCCGTTTCGCTCTTTGTCATCGCTCCTCCAGACATCGAGTCCGTGCTATGGAATGGCGAAGATGTGGGTGCCGAAAAGAACGATTGGAACGCTTGGGTGACGGACCTCGTTGGACCCGAGTTTTCTAAGGACATCACCACAGATCTGGCACCTTGGCGATACGCGGACAGCCTTCCCGAGATTGGCTCGTTTGACGATTCAGATTGGGTCGATGCCAACCACACCTCTACAGGTCAGTCTAGATATTGGTTGCTATAGCCGGGTAGCTGACTTGACGCCGTCGTCAGGCAACCTGCACAAGCCGTACAAGAACTACAAGAGTAGTTCCATCTTGTACGCTCAAGACTATGGGTATCATCAAGGCAATCTGCTGTTTCGCGGGCATTTCAACGCTACCGGTCGCGAAGAACGACTGGATCTATCTCTCTCGCCCGGACGCTACGGAGCAGGCTCTGTCTGGCTGAACGGCGAGCACCTCGGATCTGGTTCGGTGCCCATCGACAAGATCCGGTCGGAAGACGTCAACGTATCGTTTGCCTTGACGCCCTCGCTGCTGCGAATTGGGCAAGACAATGTGATCGTTGTGTTGACCGATCACATGGGGTACGAGGAAGCAGGACAGTTTACCGACAATACAGAGGACGTAAAGAGTCCCCGGGGCATTCGCGGCTACGAGCTCGTCGGTGGAAGCGAGATCTCCTGGAAAGTCCAGGGTAACGCTGGTGGCAACTGGGCCCCGCAGGACGACACACGATCGATGCTGAACGAAGGAGGTCTATTTGCCGAGGTAAGTCCTGGCCAACTGACCGGACAGGCACATATGCTGACGTTTTACACATATAGCGACGAAGATGGCATCTGCCCGAGTACGATACGTCTTCCTGGCCTGAACGCGCTCCTACCGACGGCCTAGAGAAACCTGGCGTAGCGTTTTACCGATCGAGCTTCGATCTCCACGTCCCCGAAGGACTCGATCTCTCACTCAACGTGGTCTACCCCGATGGAATGGGTCCCTTCCGCTTTCAGTGCTGGATCAATGGCTGGATGGTTGCGAAACGGGTTGGCGACCTTGGACCGCAGCTCGAAGTGAGTCGCACGCGAAGCTGGGCTGGGTCTTTGTAATCGAGTCTGACCGGAACCTGCATACAGTTCCCCGTCCCGCCCGGAATACTCGTCAATGGCACCAACGTGATCGCCGTATCATACTGGTCGCTCAGAAGCACTCAACGCTCCAAGGTAAACAACGGATTTGATGGCATCAAGGTGGTGGTGTCTCGTCCGATCAAGACTGGCTACGATATGCAACCCGTTTGGCAGCAGTATGTCTGAGCAGCACACCTGACTAACGTGAAGAAGAAAGCAAAGAAGAAAATCCATGTCCGCATGTAATGTAAACACTCGAGAGCAATCCAAAGGAATGAACATTGTACACCGTCGCGCAATCATCATCGACTCGATTCGCCCCTGTCATTGCGCCCTTAACCTATGCAATGCACCGTTCCGTCAGCTGGAGGCGGATCGACTGACACTCGGCAAGTCAGACTGGCCTTTAAGTCATATGTCGGCAGACCTAGGGCTTGTATGACGCAGCCTCACGGTCGTCAGCGTTGAGTCTACCCCACTCGAGGCACAGCCTGTGACGCAGCGATTCGACATCAGCACCAGCTTGCTCGTCTTTGCTTGCTAGTTCCGCTGCCAGACCTACCTGTAAACGTAAACCTCCATATCGAGCTTGCGTCCGTGAGTATACTTCCAGCTTCTCCCCGCCTTGGCGATCTTTCGAAGCTCTGCATCCCCGTCCAAAGGCCTGGCGGCGAGAGCGGCCTTGCGACCGCCAAACGAGGCTCGAGTCTGGTTGGCCGCTTGGATCATTGCTTGCGTAGGGCCAGAGAAGTAGGACCAGATGTTGTAGATCTCGCTGTATCCCTGGGTGACGGGGATGTAGTGCAGCCTGTCGATATTGTACGGAAACGTTTCAGCGAAAGCTACTAGAGGTTGAACGATCCGACCGAGACTTACCAAGGCTCGATCCAGTCTACTCGACCAACAAAACAGCCAACGTCCATCAGCCTCTAACAAGCCCCGACTGCAAGACTAGACCTCGACCGCACTCACCGGAAAAGAACTCGGTATACACCGAAGTCTTCATCACCGCGCTCTCGCTCGCCAACAACGAAAAGTACCTCGCCGAATACCCCATCCCATCCAGATCGATCAAGTACTTGTGCCTCCAGTTCTCACCCAGGGGCACGGCGTCGGCGAACCGATGGTCCTTGCGCATACCGTCGCATCCACCGGGGTATTGGGTACATCCGACGGCTTTGGTGAAAGCGGCATCGACGATGTCGGCGTTGAGTTGACCGATGGGCACTTTGGCTTCGATGAAATGGTCCGAGCCGGGCGGATCGGCAAAGACGACGGACCGGTTGGCGTCGGTCGAGTCCGAGGTCAGGCGGAGGAATCTGTAGTGGAGGTGAGTGCGCAGAGATGGTCAAAGACGGGTCAGCACGTCAAAGCGAAACGACTGGCAGATGAGCGGGGGTTTGGCTCACCGGTGTCGCTGATATTGAGCCAAGAATCCAGGAGGACTCGACCCCCCACCCGTAGTCGCCCCTCTCCAAAAGATGTCGTCCACCTTTTTATGCCAGGGGACTTCCATATCGTCGACTTCCTTGATGATCATATGCGCCGGGTCCCATCCGTACGTGTACCGCTTGGTGGACGAGTAGTAGTAGTGCGAGGGGATGAGGATGTCACCGTAACCCGTCCCCTTGGCCGGGGAGAACATAGGGTAAAGAGCGTGGATCGTCCTCCAATCGGAGAAGAAGTGGCCCTGACTGTAATGCGCCCAAGGGTGGTCGCAGTAAGAATACTTGTCGTCGATGTCCTCGGCGAAGGTGAAATCGGGGGAGAGGGAGGTGGAGATCCCAGCCTGTTCGAGGTGGTCGGTAGGTTGTTGGCCGTCCTTGAGCTGAGCGCGGAGTGAGCCGAAGAGACGCCGGGCTTGAGAGTGCGGGTCGCAAGTCCTTCGATAGGCTTCCCAGACGTTTCCGTCGCCCCGCCAGTCTGGAGCGAACTTGCCCCCCAGTACGTGTTCGATACCCTCTGCAACGAAGACGATATCGGATTCGAAACTCAGCATCGGTCGAACATTATTTGAGATACGCTGCACCCTTCCCAGTTCGAAACTTACTGCTCGCATCGGCGGTCAGATTGTGGTACAAGTTTTGCTCCCAGGGTACCAAGATCCGTCCTTCGGCCTTTTCGTTGATAGGGAAATCCATATCCGGCAACTTGTCCTGGAACTTTTCCAACATGACACGGAAACCTTTCGCACGTGCCCCGACTTCACTATCGTCGAACCCCTTGTTGACGTCGATCGTCCGGGTCGTGCCGTTCTGCACGCGGACCAGGTCGACCGAGGGCAGGTAACCGACTTGGATGGCTCGTTCTCTGATCTCTGAACCGGCGAATTGGCGGAACGGAGAGAGGTCTCGCATGAGCTGATCGTATTCGTCGATCATGACGGCCTTGTTGTCTTTGGCGAACTGGAACCATTCGTCGAACCCCTTGGGCGGGTCCATGTCGTACCTCTTCCTGTACTCGGTAACGGCCTCGTCGAGCGTCTTGCTCTGCCTATTGACCTTGTCTTCGAACTGTTCCTTGGCCCGATCCATGAGCTTGGGAATGGGATGTTGAATAGGAGGCCGCTGGACGACCTTGTCCCGGTTCCTCAAGAGCGCCTGACGGAAGGATAACGGGTTGGCCGTCCATTTAGGCGTGCGGAACGACTTGTTCGTCGAAGGCAAGACTTGGAAGAGGAGGAAGATGGAGGCCAAGCCGAGGACCGAGTAGAGGATCTTGCGTTGGTTGGGAATCGAGGTGGGTGATGACCCGGAGGATCCGGGTTTCGATGTGGCTCGATGGGACATCGTGCAGAGGGGGTCCTGCGGGAGGTGCCGGTTCGAGGGTTTTCGAATGAGCCGAGTTGTACAAGGTCCGTACTCTACGTTACTCACCCTTACAGACGGTATCTGTAGCTAGTTCTACACGGATGTGGGTCGTGTAGTAGTTATAGTTGTAGGTAGCTTGCAGGTTGTAGATGAAGACCAAGTTGTCGAGGTCGAGGTCGATTTTCTGGAGCGCGCCAGCGACAACAAGTACGCTCGACGACGGGGTCGCGGACTACGCAAAGAACCCAAAGTCAGACCTCGCAATCAATGTGACATCCATACTATACAACATCTGACCAACAGTACATCTATACATACAGTAAACATCACTGCAACCCTCTCATATAGTCCAGACATTTGTATCAGGCTGGACTCCTTGTCACCACGGTCATCATCAAGAAGTCCAAGGGTGAGCACACAGTCCGAGCAGGGTCAACGGGTTCCGCGAGGCGGGGAGACCTTGAAATGCTAACTTCCCCAATACTTGTCGGATTATACTCATTCTAGTGCCGTTCTCCTCGCCTATAATACACGACTCCAACGGTATCAAGATCATAGCTGTAGCATCAATATTGCAGGAGATAGCATAGGTGAGTGAGCGGGGGTGATGTTAGGTTGCCAGCAACCTGTGTGTTCTCCGGGACTTGCGTAGGGTAGTAGGTAGATAAATGAGTGTGATAACAGATGAATTACATATTACAATAGTGATCGTAGTAGTTAGGTATTACCTATAGTATCATATAAGTACCTGCTCCGCCGGAGCAGCTGGCGGAACACCCGTTCGGATGTACGTGATAGTCGTACCGCGGATGGCTATAACAGGATCCCCCCGTTAGGACGAGATTCCAGATCGTCTCGTGTCGTGTTTCACCGTACGTATGGTTCACCTCGTTCCGATAGGTAACCACCTGGCGTCGACTAGTGTTCTTTTGTTCGCTACGTTTCGAGCGTCGCTCGCCAGCACCTTTGTGTGCCCGTACCGTCAATCCGTTTCATCTTAAAACGATTGCGTGGGCATCCTTCTTTCGCTTGTTCCGAGTAGTGTTTCAGCGTAGCTCGCCAGCCCTAATGCTTCCGTACGGTCGATCCGCCCTGTTCCTTCGAGTAATCGCCTGGCTAGCCCTTGTTCATGTTCCCTAACTCGCCATTGTGTACCGCTTCGAGGTAACTCTCCATGACGTAGCGCTGTTCCAAGTATTGTTGCAATTGTTCTCTAACCGAGTGTATGTTTCTCACGCGTCGAGGGTCTCCGGGGCGACGCGTATTCTTTTGTTCCGAAAGAGTAAACAAAGACGTCATCAAGGGGTCCTTTGAATATCTTCTTCGTCGATAACCAAGTTTGTCGATGTTGCTAAGTAACACCCAACCTCCTATTGTCGGGAGGCCTGTCGACCATGTTCTCTATTGTTCTCCTGTTCGTGGTGACTACTCGAATGAGGGGGTATATAGCAGCTGAGTAGAGAGTGGTGCTTCGACTCCCCCCTTGCGTGTTTGCTAACTCCAATTCGAACTCGTTTCTTCACTCGTCCGTAACTTTTACCTTCTCCGTACACTCTTACTCTCTCTATCGCTCAACATGTCCGCCCAAGGTTCTCCCTCGAAGAAGGCCGAGCCCTTTGAGCAGCAACAGCTCAAGGGGTGGCGATACCTCAAGAAGATGCCCGTCGCGACTAGTGAGCTGTGTTGTTTTTCGTTATGTCGGAGTCGATCCTATGTCTCGATATCTCCGTACGTTTGTGATAGAGTCGACCCTTCTTCAGGCCGAAAAGGTCAAGCCCAAGATCGTCGACGTGGACCAGGAGGAGCTGGACAACGCCTTTAGGCGTAACCAAGTTACTGCGGTCAACGCGTTGGTCGTGAGTCATTCCGCTTCGTAGCTCCGCCGGAGTTCCTTTTTGACACGTCCGTATCTCTCTCCTCCAGGCTCAGTACCAGGGGGGTTGGAAGTTCGCCTGCCAGCCCTGCTTCGAATTGGCGACTACCGGGGACCACCGCGCCCGAGTCGACGGCGAATGGGTCGACTGCATCCGTGTCAGCCAAACTTGGTTGTGCAGGCACGTCCTCGCCACTCCGGGAGAGACCTCCCGCGCCACCTCCTGCTACCTTTGCAGGACTATCGCAGCTCGGTCCTGCACCCCCATGAACCCCAACGTCGTCACGGCTTTCCGACACGACCTCGGAGTTCGACACCGGGTCCGCGCCGGACTGCGGTACATCCAGGACCCTGCGGTCTCGCGAAGGAGTGTGGGCATGGTTGCCCAAGAGTTGGAGCGATTGTCGGATAGGATGGCGAGTACTTTCCTTCTTCTTCTCTTTTTCCTCTTCCGATAACCTTCTCCGTACTCTTCTCCGAGGGAGCTAATATTTCGTTCGTGTCCTTGTCTTCTTCATATTGCAGCTTTTCCCTCACGTCCCCGCTCCCGCCGTCTACCATGTGGAGCACCAGCTCACCGCCCGGCTGGTCGCCCAGCACGCCCCGAACGCCGTTCCCGCCGGATCGGTCGCTACCGACGTCAACGTCGACGTCCAAATCGCCGGCTCCGACGTCGTTACTCCCGGATCGCCCGCGCCGACCGTCATCGAGGGGGAGGACATGGAGGACCTCGATCTCGAGGACGACCGTTCGGACGACGAAGACGCCGAGATGACTTCGTCCTCGGGTTCTTCTTCTTCGGGATCGGGTTCGGGTTCGGATGAGGAGTAATGGCTAGTGGCTTTTTCTTTTTGTAACGTCGATCCTCATAGCCGAGTACGTAGTACTCGGGATATCAAATTTTTATGCCTTGCGGAATTCCTCTTTTCTTGTTCCGCCGGAGTTGTCTTTACCTATTGTCGTTTCTCTCTCTCGCTGACAATATCTTGGAGTATTTGCAAAACGTTATTGCTTGTAGTCGTGTTGTACGTGTGGGTGCAAGGTTTTGCTCGGTAGTAGCAGTGAATGGTGAATAAAAAATAAAACATCAAGGGACCTGCCCTTGGTAAATACATGATCGTCGCGCACAAAAACCCTTACGTAGACCAAACTCGATACCCTGCTCCCTCGTTGGCGGCACTGTCCTTGTCGAACTGCTCGTCTGTCGGAGCAGTGTGGGCGGAGTAGGCAGCCGCAACACGAAGATCTCGTTGCTTCTTCATCCGGTCCACGTACCACTGCGGTTTGGGTACCAACGCAGGGTTGGTGCACTCCCGAATAACGTGTCCCTTCTGGAAACAGTTATAACAAGTGACGTCCCTGTACTTGGCTGCATCTACCTCCATGGGAACGGCTCCCGAAGAAGGTGCCACGGGGGCTTGTACGGGGGCGGCGACTGGCACTACCGCAGGGGCAGTGTATCGAGGGGTGTAATTGTTGTTTCGCGACGTGGTGTTGCGATGTTGTGTTTGGGTGTGCCCAACCTTCTCCTCATACTTTGCGCATTCCGTTTGGAACTCGTAGAGGGAGCACGTCTCCTGATTGGGGATAGGGACGATGGCATCCCTCCACGCTTGGTTCAAGTGCGCTCGGAAGAGGAACCTCTTGCAGAAGTCGGTCAATTCCGGGATGAGGTTGGCCAACGCGTTGAATTTGGTAATGTAGTCGGAGATCGACAGGTTCCCTTGTCGAAAGTCCGCGAACTCTCTCTCCGTTGCGGCTCTCCTTACCGCAACTCCGAAACGAGCTAGCAACCTGGCTTCGAACTGCGCCCATGTGGTCCAGGCAGTTCCGAAAAGCCAGGGGCGAGCCCATTCCCTCGCAGCGTCCCGCAAGTAACTCCCCGCAAACACGATCTTCAACTTGTCATCGTGATATGCGAGGGGTTCCGCCATGAAGCGTAGGTTACAAGCATCCAAGAATGCTTGTACCTCCTCCTTCTTCGACCCGTCGAAAGGCTCGGGATCGCTCACTCGGATAGCCTTGGTGTAAGGCTGTACGGGGACAGAGGGGCGAGAAAACGCCGGAGGAGAAGGCGGGGGGACTGCGTTGACGTTAACCAATCCATCCACCTTTGCCATCAACCTTTCCAAGGTTGAGTTCATCCTCCCGACGTCATTCGAGAGGGAGATGGTGCTGACGGCTGGTCGGTCGGCACTCAAGAAGGAGGAGAACACCTCGTCTCCTTCGCCGGTATTACGGACCCATAGGAATCCGCCGGCACTGTCTCGATCTTGAGCACCACCCGTGCCCCGCACCGGTTCCTTGTAGCCGGCTACCGTGATAGGGTTACCAGCTACGTCGTACACTACCCTGTCCGGAACCTCTGCCCGTTCGGTGGCTTCGGTTTCCATAGTTGCAAGTCGGGGAAAAGGAGATGATCTGTTATTCTGTTAGGTTGCCAGCAACCTGTGTGTTCTCCGGGACTTGCGTAGGGTAGTAGGTAGATAAATGAGTGTGATAACAGATGAATTACATATTACAATAGTGATCGTAGTAGTTAGGTATTACCTATAGTATCATATAAGTACCTGCTCCGCCGGAGCAGCTGGCGGAACACCCGTTCGGATGTACGTGATAGTCGTACCGCGGATGGCTATAACAGGTGACCATGTTGGCGGCGAGGGACCCTGAAATGCTAACTTCCCCAATACTTGTCCGATTGCAGTCGTTCTGGTATCATTCTCTTCGCCTAGACTACACGACTCCAACGGTACCAAGATCATAGCTGTAGCATCGATATTGCAGGAGATAGCATAGGTGGGTAAGCACACGGGTGATCGCGGTGTCGGCGTGGTCAAGATATGGGACTGACAAGAACCTTTGTGTGTAACTCAGATGCCTGAAATAAGAGAGATCCTTGACATGTATAGGAGGTTGGAGACCCCTTCTACTCCATCATCCTATCAATTAGACATCTACCCAGAGCACTGCGGCAAGGTTGTGCCGAAGACTGCACCCGACATGCATACGGTTCCCGGTTACCTCAAGTTCTGAGACATGCATCCCTCCCCTGCCACCTTTGAGATCTCCAGTCAGGACATCATGCCTTGCGGGAAGAACATCTACATCCAACTAGGTCATGGTTGGAAGATGATGCTGTACATGGCACTGCACGGTCACTTCGTGAGCATGGGGCCGGCACAACTACGAGTGAGTTCCTGTCTCTAAGCCGTATCGAGGATAAGCTCTGAACCGTGTGGCATTGTGATACAGGACTTCCTGGAGCTTGCCAAACAACCTCCAAAGGCCAAACAACCCAAGAACCCCGCTCCTCTCCTTGTATTCAGATCTCTCGACATCAATGCCGCCCCGCTCTCCCTCGTCTTGATCGATCAGAATAAGTTAGCACAAGCTTTCTTTATACATGATCGGCACTCTCCTGGCCCCACCAATAAGGGCCCATGTCCTGCAACTCAGTGGAGCCGCTTTGAGAGGAACTACAAGGAGAAGATGTCGGTGAAGAACACCAAATGTTCTGTTTATGAATACATCACCGATCAGTAAGTTCCCCAGGTTGTCATTCTTTGTTCATAAGTCTGATCGTATACCTATCTACACAGTCAAGAATACTTCAATGGTCTTGGAGCCTGTCTTACCAATGAAGTCCTGCACTTAGCCCGAATCCACCCCTTGTCACCAGCACAAGAAATATTCAACTCTGGCACTCGTCGGCAGCGGTTGCTCATGGCAATCAAGGAACTCATGGACATTATCACCTCCCCTAAGCACAATCGTAACGTCCCAAGATCAGCAAACACATCGACCTTCCTTCCAGGCTTTGGCATCACCAAATTCATCATGACCGAAACCAAAGTCTATGTTACGGCGGAGGTCGCTAATCGAAATAGATCCTAAGTCGTAAGGCGTAGGGTGCTTATAGGTAGATCGCAGGTAGTCGGGAGAATGTCGCAAGTTCGCTTAGATGAAGCGGTTTCGGATAAGGGATACGAATCCAGAGATGTATGGATAAGGAAGTGATCACTCGGTGTGAGGTACCGGATTCGGTCTAAGGTGAAACGATGAAGCGTAGATACTTAGCGACGTCCTTGAGTTGTAACCTCTCCGCAACACGTCTTGAAGATGTTGTAACAAGTCAGATAGGCGTGTATTGAATGTGATATCGGAACTTGACCTATTACTATTACAGAGCGTCCTCTATCGAATTCGGTCAAGTTCCTCTAGCTATTTATACGGAGACGAGTACGGAGACGAGGCTGGCGAACACTGAAAAGACCCAAGAGAAAAGAATGGCGAGAGATGGCGAAACTGGAAGAACGAGATGGCGAACAGACGAATCCTGTCGAGAGCAACCGGATTCGGTAGAGGAGGCGAGTTTGAGTTCTCATTTGTCCCTAGGTACGTTGAGTAAGGTTGGCGAGGTCCTGAGTAGAGTTGTCGTGTACCTCGAGGTCCTTGTACCTGTGTGTGATGTGTACCGGGAACGTATTGTTGTTTCGGTGAATGGTAAGGCGAATGGTAGGGACGACCGAATCTGCTCCGAGGGAATCGGATTCGCCTCGTCGAGCCGGACTTAGGTGTATGCTGATGTCCGTAGATCTAGCCTGTGTGTCGGTAGTCGACTCACGTGATGATCCCGTAACAGTCTACAAGAAAACAGGAGGCAACGGTGCTCGGGTGTCTTCAGAGCATTTCGAGGCAATGCTTAAGGCAAAGCAGATCGACACTACTGGATGGGACCCTCGCAAAGGTAATGGTAAGAACATCTACCTCCCGGTCCATGTCTTCCAAGTCAAAGCCAAGGAGAACTCTACGGCAACCTTCCATGTCTATGTAAGTACAATTCACCTCCGAAACCATATCGCTTCATTGATACTGATTTTGGTTACTTCAGACTTGCATAGAGCCACTCCCTACCAATGCTGCCGGTGGGATCATCACCTACATTGAACCTGAACCAGCCAAGAAGCTTCGGATGAATCCTAAGGGCAACAAAGCAGAAATTGGAGTCGGCAGCTTCTTTGACACTAAACCCTCAGAGAAGTTGGAGCGGAAGACTTTCCAAAGGAGGTATCCTGTTAAGACTGGTAAACCTGGCAGACCAGCAAAGACTAAACCTGCCTCTCGACAGAAGGCCTTGCTTGGATTGTAATAACTGCATTTAATTATCTGATTTCTCTTTCCTTGCATATGACCATAATCATGTTGTATTACTCTCGAATTGATTCATGAATATACATCACACAGAGAGTCTTTGTGATCAATGAACAGACTTCTTGCATGGTTGTAGTATGCTTGGATACTCATCAGCAGTCAAGTAAAATCCATCAGAGTGACCTAAATTTGCTGGACAGTCCGGGATTACCTTGGTGATTTGACGTGACGTGATCACAATGGCCATGAATTGTGCAACAACCAACAGACAGATCATCTTGGTATGATGTATATACATGTATCAGACTATATACATAGTGATGTGCTATGTGAACAGTCAAGTAAAATCCATGGTCTTGTCATGCAAGCCAAACCACGTCACAGAACAAGGTAATATATCATCATCATATGTTATTGTACACATGACCTGTATCGTTCCCTGCCAGACCAAACACTCTCACAGTGTGTCAGAGCATACTTCAGACTATATACATAATGGAACTATGAACTAGCAGTCAAGTAAAATTCCTGTTGAGGTCAGGAAAGAGCGGGGACGATGGGGATATACGAACATATATGGCAAAATGATTACGTATTAGTATCATTGGTCGACCTTTGCCAACCATCAGCCACCTAGAGGGTCGATTGTATGTATGGCATACAACTAGCCATGGTCTGTACTGTACGTCAATGGTCAGACAGAACTATCTGTTAATGTTTATGAACAGACTCTAGACTATATAGATCGACATATACTACGCTAGCAGTCAAGTAAAATTCTTGCTGAGGCGATGTCCACTGCTCTGGATGAACACATCCGCAACCCCAAGGGTCACAACCAGTACAATAACGAGTGTGAGCATGAGATATCGTCTGCTAAACTGTACTGCCATAGCATGGAAGCTGAGTCAGTTTGTTTGCTCAGTCGACCATGACATTCTCTATGCGGCTTTACAAAAGCTAGTGAATGAAGAAAACATTGTTCAACGACCAGTTCTGATACAGAGACTGGCACATGAACAAGGCATAAACATTGGCCGGACCAGTCTCAACAGATATATGAAACTGTGGGGACTAGGAGGGTCACGTAAAGCTGGATTCACAAAAGCTCAAGTAACTAGTGTTGTCGTAACACACATCAACCAACATGACCCTCAACATCGAGAATCACCTGCAAGAATCACCTTAGCTCTAGGACAGAAGGGAATACATGTGAAGCGGTATGTGTCACTAGATACTAGGCATATTAACAACCAACATCGATTCGATTAATTCATCTCGTACGATTTACAATTGTAGGGACATTGTCACACAGATTATGCGTGATCATTTCCCTGATGGATTTCCGGCAAGGGCTCCTTCTTATAAAGCCAAGAAGGGCCACCCTGCACTTCTCACTTCCTATGGTCCCAATGACCAGCTTTCTATTGACGGACACGACAAGCTTGTTGATATTGGTTTTGCCATTTATGGAATGAGGGACAAATTCTCACGGAAATGGATGTCCTTACGAGCGGTTCCAAGCAACAGAAGTAACACAGTTACTCGATGGCTGTTCCTTGAGCTTGTACATAGCATGAAAGGTAAAGGTAATCTGTGATTGCTATCTTGTCATGATGCTGATGCGGACACATCGTTTACAGGTATTCCTTTGTCACCAGCGACCATGGCACTGAAGTCCTGGACATATTCAGTGACCAGTTGACTCTGCGAGAGCTGGTGCAGCCACAACTAAGCATACTCATGGAAGATCTGGGTGTACTTGCTGCTCCTGAACCCCATCGATTCCTGCCCTCTACAAAGAACATCACTGTCGAAAGAGGATGGCGACCTCTAGTGGACAAGTTCCACAGCAAGTTCATTGTCAGCACGCAGAATGCAATCCTGACAGGAGATTATACACCAGGAAACAATCAACACCGGTGAGCCTCTACCATCTGGGTTAACTCAATCAAGATGCTGATCGATTCATGGTGACCTGGGTTGAATAGTATCATCTATCTATATCTATTTGCACCCCTTGTGCAGAAAGAACTAGAGGACTACGTTCATCTGACAAACTGTTCGATCATCCGCAAGCAACCCCATACCAACCTACCATCTGGCAAGTCACCTAATACTATCTACCATTGCGAAGGAACCAATTGCCTTCTGCCCCTTGATGAAGTGGGCATGAACCAAGTGAGGACATGGATGGACGAGATTGAGATGAGCCATCCACGATTGCTGTCTTTTATTGAGGAGGATGAAGAGCAATGGGCATCTCAGCTCTTCGAGCATTGTGCCTTCTCGGACATCACACTCGGATTCACTGTCAATCTATCCAATGCATGGATGGTATTCAGGAGCATGACAGAACATATGGACGAAGTACCCTACTTGTAATACATGAACTTGCTACCAATTCATCTTCGAGGTGCATAGACAGCACGGCCTGTGGACAGGATAGTCCGAGGCATAATCTCCTCTGCTACTGTAGCTCGTGGTTGTTCAGTTGCAGCTCGAGTGGTCCGCTTTGGCTTCTTCTTTGCAGGCTGCTTCTTGGTACCCTTCGCTCCAGTAGTAGAAGCCGATGTCCCCTGCTCAGGTTCCTCTCCCTCCATGATTTCAGTACATGCATGGGAAGCAGATGCTGCATCAGTCAGAGGATCTAGTCCGATTGCCAAGCAGATGCGATTGCATTTGTGCTGCTTCTTGAACTGTTCAAGCCCTTCTTCACCTTGATCGCCGAGACACATGGTTCCAGTATCCCTACAGGAGCGGGGTGCAAGCATCATTGTGACGATCAATTCAAATAGAAACAGGCTATAAGTGACTTACGAGTGTACCATTGGATCAAACAGCATGACCGTCTGTGTAGTATTGACCATCCAACCTTCGAGATCAGCTAACAGAACAGTCTCTTGGCTCGACTGAAAAGCCATGTGAGCAAAGGCTGCCACAGTGATGTCTGCTCGGCCTCGACCTGCTGTGAACTCCATCGATCCTGAGAACCGGGCTTGATTCCAAGTTTGGTGTTGTTCCAGTATCCACACCCTCCGTTCATCCTCATCGGCAGGGAATGCTTCCACAACCAGTTGGCATTTGGCAAAGTCAACACCTAGGCATAGCATTATGAAATAAGCCTTCATGTACTCGGTGTGTCCTTGCTGATCACTCACCAAGAGATAGTGTTTGGGCCTCCGGTCTATCAGCTATCTCCCGCATGTACTCATCAGCCCATGCCTTGCCCGACATATGCATTTCCACCTCGAGCTGAGAGTAATGGACCTTGACTCCTGTGTTGCCTTTTCAATCCCCGATCGAGACGATGTTGTTATTGGCATAGAATGATCGGGTCTCAGGCAACACGGCCTCCTTGATCTCTTTGGCTACCATCAGTTGAGTGGGTAGTGGTCCATCATATGCTGATGATCCATCCGACTCAGCCTCTTCTGATGGCACATACATTGCCTGCCATCGGGCATCCCACAGTTAATGAGGTAAGCTTCGAGGTGATGTGACTATTCTGTTCCGGTCCCTACTCACCTTGAAGCAGGCCTTGACGGTGCCTTGGGCAAAGGAGGTGGTATCAAGCCAGAGGACACCATGGTTTGCTGGCTCTTCCCACTCGATGGCACCATAACCTTCATCCCAAGAAGGGTTCCGTTGGTACACAAGGATACTATCCTTGCCGGTGGTGAAGGGGGGGCTTGAAGTTCCTTGTGGTGGGGGTAGCTTGGAGATATACCGCTTCCTAGGAGCAGTGGTTGTAGCTCCTCCTGCTGCCTTGCCTACTCCACCGTATCCAGATATGCTAGATGACCTGATAGCCTTGCCGACAGGCCCAACATCAAGGTCATCCATCTCTAGGGGTTCAACCAGGTCGGCACGGATCTCAAGAATGAGACTGAGGGTTGAGGCATTTGGCATCGTGTCTTTTCCATGCAGCAGTTGAGATGTTCTAGCCCATTTGTGGAAAGCCCCAATGTCCTTATCCATCTCATCTTCATTGATCAATCTTTGCTTGTTGGCAAAGTACAGCGTGGCAACCTGCTTCAGGTCCGGGTCGTGCCTGTGAACCATCCTCAATGTCAGATAGATGGGGCAGCTAGTATTACTGGCTCACATACAAGTTGATCAACCCTGCCGGTCTGCCTTCTTGTGGCATATCCCAGTATCTGGCTTGAACCATCGAGACCATCTTTGCCAAGAGGTCACGCATCAGAGTCTCGCGAGGCACATTGAGGTGGTGTAGATGACCCTTCAAGACCTTTCGAGAGAGATAGCCGCTTCGTTCATGGTATTGAAAATCAATCATCATATTGGGCCCATGAGATAGATTGGATCCTTGTAACATAGTACGAGCCTTATTAGCCCTTGCTTGTTGGACTGCTAACATTGCAGACGAGGAAGGTGCCTCTTCCTGTCGAAGCCGGATGGCATTGGCTTCAGCTCGGTAACCATCTCGAGTAGCTGCAATGTGTTGAGCTGGTTGTGGCACATAAGCCTGTGCTACTGTTGACAAGATCTCAAGGTAGCTCACCGACCGCTTCCTCTTGAACCCGGCCATACAGACAATCGGCACATTTGTTGTGTCCGTTGACACAGACCTGACCATCTCTCATGCACAACTTGATGCCCTGTACCGACATTCCTCAGTGGAGCATTACCAACATGTACTGTATGCCCTATGCTCACCTTAGCCACCTGAGTTGCTTCAGCACTGTTGCCAAAGAAGGATAGGTAGCTGCAGCGACCACATTCAGCTACGGGCTCGATGTAGGTACCGGTCTTGCAAGTTCTGCAAGGACCGAATGAAGGGATCTGCTGGCTTTGAGACATGATTAAGAGATGTAATGGACGATAGAGCTATCTGAGAGGTGCTGATAATTGGATAGAAATGTAATTTCAATGATTCACAGATAGGTTTGTGACATGTGTATAAGTTGGTTGTATTCACTCAGTACGCACGAACTTTGTGTTGTGAAAGTGAAAGTCAGTTAGTCCGCGACCCACTCGTCTATGGCGCGCCGTTTGCGCCAACCATGATGGGATTTGTTAGCCCAATTTGGGTATTTACTTAGAGGCTTTCGGGGGATTATTTACTACTCCCTAACCATCGGCTTTAGCCGATTTTAGCCTTAGTTACCCCTATTTACCCCGGCCAAGCTTAAGGAAGGGTCGATTGGCCTACACGTCTCTGCACAGCCGTTTGCAAGCCCAATCTAAGCTATTCAACCTTAGTATCTACCTCATCTTAGTCACAATGAACTCAGAAGACCCTTCCGCCGCCATTCAAGCCATAGTCAATCAAAACTTTGATGCAGTGCAGCTCTATCTCGCTCGAGCACCAGAACATCGGAACCCCCTCCTCCTTCCCCCTCTTGTCAACGCTCTTGATGACTTGATACACTTTCTCCGCACTGTTGTCCGAGGGCATATTCCCCATCAAGCGTACCGCAATCATGTTCAAGCCACCGTAGCTTTTCAGGATCGTCTTTCAGCAGTCCAACGTCAATTCGCCCAGCCGCACTTCCCCACTCCACCACGTCAGGCTCAACGATCGTCAACAGAGAGCATTTCAGCAGAAACACTGTCACTCTACACCAACCTCGGGCTGCCTGACAGGTTGATTGCACTTCAACTCGGCACATCACGCAGAACAATCACTCGGCGAAGACAACAGTTGGGCTTGACAAAGCGTATTCTTAAGCACTCCACACCGGAAGCTACGTTGCAAGCAGTGAGCACATGGTCTATCACAATCTTTGCTAAGGTCTCGTAGCCCAACATACCCCTGATAAGCCTTGTCTACATCTGACTGATCGTTGTAGATGGTAACAAGCATCATAGGAACGATTGACCCCGACAATACAGGGCAACGCCTTGTAATGGGGTTTTTGCGGTCACAGAACGTCCTCGTGACTCGACAACAGGTTCGAACTATTATGCAAGCACGAGACCCTGAGAGAAACGGGTTACGGAGGGCTCAAGTGCTTCGCCGTAGGGATTATGACGTCCCGTTCATCAATTCTCTGTGGCATATGGACGGCCAACACAAATTGATCAATTGGAAGTTTGTTATACATGGAGCAGTAGACGGAAAGAGTCGCTTGATCGTCTTCATGCATGCATCAGACAACAATCGTTCGGAGACAGTTACTTCCAGCTTTCTGGCTGCCACACAGCGCTGGGGATGGCCATCAAGGGTTCGAGCGGACCATGGAGGAGAGAATCTAGGGGTACGCGACTTGATGTTGGACGTCAGGGGTAAGTCTACTTTCTTTTGCCCAAATCGAGCTGTGCTTAGGCTGGAACGACACATGATCACAACATAGGGCCAAATCGTGGATCTTTCATGCAAGGGCCATCGACCAGGAACGTCAGGGTAGAGCGGCAATGGCGACAAGTGGGAGAGTCAATCACCCAGATGTTCAGCCGAGTCTTCTTGGAAATGGAGTCTTTACACGACCTATACCGAGAGGAGCCCGTCGACATCTATTGCCTTCACTATGTCTTCCTTCCCTACCTCAATCACGTCATATCATACTATGTTGACGGTTGGAATCACCACGGGATGTCAAATCGAGGTTTGGGTGGGTGTAAGGCCCGGGAGCGACCCCCGACGGGGATCCCCCTGGACAGGCTGACGGGACGCAGGAATGAGGCAAGGTATGGGTAGACATCTAAATATAATAACGGATGTAGAGCTATTACAAGGGTACTAGTTCTACATCAACATACAATACCGAAAAGTACCCCCGGCGGGAGTCGCATACGGGAGTCGCGTACGGCGCGTCCGACGCGTCACGTGACCGCTATAACAGTGGGCTGAGTCCTATCCAAATGTGGTACCGAGGTGCGTTGTTACCCTTCCAAAGCCCTACTCAGCCTACGCAGGCCAATTGACGTCTTACATGGGCTTTTCTGGCGTGTCAGGACTTATGGATGCCACAAACAACGGTTTCGACCTCGATCTCTTTCCTCAACACGCTGAACAAGCTGAACAGCTTTACAATGAACGTGTTCCTGTTATCGACATGCCAGCTATCGCCCCGTCTTTCGATCAACTACGTCAGCCTACCGCTTTCGATCAGCACGTCATCGTTCCCAGGTACATGGACGAATTGCCTGAACTCCTCCAGTCTCAAGAGTTTAATCACCTGCTACACAATCGGTACCCCAACAAGCCCTGGTCGACCTTGGGCGAAGCTGTCAATCAGTACTTAGCTGTACGGGAGTTCGTTCATGACGCTATCAATGCGTTTTGATAACCTTCATTGCATCATGACGTATCAATGGTATTTCGACTCGCTTACAAATACTGTGGGCTAGAAAGGACTAGAAACACTCGCTTAGAGCGTGAGAAAGCAAAGCTAACCGAACAAAGACTTGTTGTTGTGCGTTTCAGGTTCGAACAACGATGACGCGCCATCAGAGGTAAACAAAAACAAAGTAGACGCTGCTAACAGCACCGTATATACCTACAACCATCAGTAAATCCCCCCCCGCCTTCATCTTACTCGACTAAACGTCTTTTCCACTTTCACTTATCATCACATTCAGGTCGTTCAACGCCGTCCTTTCCCTGCCATCTAAACTCTACATGGCACCCCCCAAGAAGACTTTATTGCAAAAGAAGGAAGACGCGCTTCGTTCTCAGCTCGAAAGTAAGTACTAGTCTTTCACGAGGTTTTCGTCCTTTGATAAGATCTCTTAGACCTTTCTCTACGTTCGTTGAAGCAGGAATGGGTCTCCCTACCGACAACATCGGCGCCGCCTTCACGCCGTCCCAGCAGAAGAAGAGGGGGTCGACCGCGGTCGAAGAGACGTTGGGCGAGGGGTCCAACAAGAGGCCTCGAGTTGAAGGGGCTCATGTCGAAGAGCTGGATGAGGAGCAGTTGTCCGAGCAGGGAGAGGAGGTGCAAGGCGAGGGCACGAAGGGAGGAGAGGAGCAAGGAGGAGAGGAGCAAGGCGGAGAGGAGCAAGGAGGAGAGGAGCAAGGCGGGGCGAAGCAGGGAGGGGAGGAGCAAAGGGTGGTCAAGGTGAGCTTAATTGAGTCGATCGAGATTGATTTAGCTTGTAGTAAGCTTACCGTCGTCTATTTGTTGCACGTTACCATCTCTTTCCGTCTGATAGAAACCCCACCTTAAACCTGTCGAGTTGATGGCCAAGCTGCGACTGAAGCGGGACCTCAAGGTCCAGCACGAGCAGCAACAGCAGCAACAACAACAACAACAACAACAACAAGGCCTCGACGACGATCATTCGGAGGCCCATGTCGACGTCGAGGACGACGTGTTCGACCAAGTGGACGAACAGGGTCGAGTTGGAGGTCAAGGGTTTGCGGGTGGCGTTGGGGGCCAAGCTGTGAGTTAATCGACATCCCGACACACCTTATCGTCTTGTTCTATTCCCCATCAACATATGAATACAACTCGTTGTCTTTTTACTTTCGCTTACTCGATATCATGTTTCTACGTTTCGCTATGCTCAGGGTACAGCCGGGTTTGGCAACTACCCCCGTAACGAGGCTGAAAACCAACAACGCGGCGCTTGGGACCAGTACAACCCCTTCCACCCTCAATACCAAGCGTACGCCGGTCAACAAGGGTTCGCTGGTCAGCAAGGGTACGGCGGCCAAGGGTATCACGGGGTGGGTTTAGTTTGTTTGAACGATGGTTCCTCCTCTTCAAGACTAATATTGTTTCGCTGTTGATCATAGTACCAGGAGCCCGCCGCTCCTTATATCGGTCGACCTGGTGCTGGCGCTCCAGCTGGATGGGCCCCTCCCGTACAACCGTACGGGGGCCAATACTACCAGCCGATGGCCATGCCGGTATGTACACCTCTCTTCGACTTGACTTGACTTTGAAGTTGTCATCGTTCATACTTCATACAATGTATACTAAATTGACTTATCTCTTTCGTTCAATCAGGGTTATGTCCCGTTCAACCAAGCTCCGGCTCCCCCTCCCGCCCCCACTCCCACCCCCGCTCCCTCTCCCACTCCGGCGTCGTCTCCCGGTCCCCAGTCTGCAAAGGACAAGCTGGCTATCCCGGCGAAACCGGCTGTGCCGATGATCGAGGGTCTCAGCGACGCGAAGAGCAAGCTAGTCGATGTAAGTTAGGCTTGTTTGACTCTTCTTAGCCTAACAATCCCTTTCTTAGGCCAACGAAAGCTTGACTAGGATGGAAGAAGCTGATTCTGGTATTTTTTCCGATGTAGGCTTGTCACAAGTTGATGGCGGAACCGACCTACCGGGTCATCCCCGTCAAGTATCGCTGCAAGGGGTGCAGCAAGACTCGTGCCGGTCCCTTCGACCACCTCCCCGCGTACAAGAAGTACAACGAGGCGTTCGCGGTCTGTGGTGTTGCCGATGGCAAAGACCGCTGCCTTCGTTGCCTCTGGAGGGGTACCCCGGCCAAAGACTGCTGCTGGGAGGACGCCGAGGCCAAAGTGCCCGCTGGCAAGATCGCCCCCAAGACCGCCGCCGCCACCAAGCCCTCTCCCGTCACCCCGACCGGCCCTGCTACTCGCTCCCGAGCAGCCGCGGCGACCTCGTCCGTCGCCTCCCCCTCCTCGACTCGCGGTGGTCTCGCCACCCCCTCTCCGTCTCGCATTGGGGTTAGGGCCCCTAGGTTCAGAGGCGTTCCGATCGAGACCGTTGGTGAGGTCAGGGACGCTCTTCTTGAGGCCACCCAAGATTGGGCTCAGTCGAAGGCAGAGGTCAAGAAGGATACCGACGCCGACGACCTCAAGGCTAGGTTCCCCGGCGTGTACGACATGCTCACTCGGGGTGATACCTTGATGGAGTTTATCGAACAGCAGGCCACGAAGCTCGACGAGGCCATCGGTGACATCGTCGACGAGACCAAGCCCCCTGCCCCGGTCAAGAAGGAGTGGTAGGGTTTTTTTTTTTCATTTGAACTTACGTCGTGATTTGTTGTACCGGCTCCTCTTTTTTTTTAATAATTTTGATATCATTATGCCTTATGCTTGTTCAACGAGATCGTTCATAGTCTGCTTAACTTGACATACATGTTAAATAGATTGCACTGACTATTGTCGGCGTGAGTTGTACTTTCAGGATTGAACTTGCACGATGTTAGCCTTATTAAGCCTTGTTAAGGGCTTTGAACCGTCTCTTACCCTAATCTCGTCTTCGTTAACTTAACTTAAGCTTGCTGAGCTCAATCCAATTAATCTGAAATGATATATGGCGGCGTCTCAATAACATGAGGCACATTTACAGCAAAGGGAACTGTGTGGGTGGTCGGCGCGTACGTTTGTTATCAGGCTGGCTATTTTGACTGCGTAAGTTCGATCGCCCTCCCCCCGCAACGTCTGTGTCAACTGCTCCTGCCTTCCTCTTCGTTCCCCTTGCTTTATCCTTCCCCTTCCCCTTCCCCTTCCCTGCAGCTTCTTCCTGCTCAGCTGGGGTACTTTCGGAAGCGGGTATCATCCCTTCATTGACCGATTCAGACCTGCCCAACTCAACACCAGCTAGCATGCGCCAATGCCATGTCAGCTTCGTGTTCGAGTGTGAATGAGCGGTTGAATCGACGTACCAGCTGGGTCGACCCCATCAAGGCCTAGATCATTACTGCCTGACCCTCCGACACCCTTGTCGATGGTGTCATCGATACCTTGGCCTTGGTTGTCGTCCCTACCCAGGGTGTTATGCCAGTCTTCATTGGTGAAGCCCTGCAACATTGCCGCCAACTGACCATACTCGGAATCGTTCCCTTGAAAAGCGTCCTCCGAATACCGCACAGAAGCTGGGGATTGGCTTGTAGGATAGGTTCCTTGTTCTCCTAACTCCATCGACAAGAGGTCATCAGCGGACGTATCGTTGTAAGGGAGAATAGTTGGCCCTGTTAAGGGGTTTGTAGCTGAATTAGCCCTCGCACCGAGCAGATTAGCCCTATACAAAGGCTGACTGGTTGTTGAAGACTCTAGACGTCGCAGCTGTACCTCCAGCCAATTGTCATCAAAGGCCGGATGGGAAGAGAGTCGACGAAGCAGCGTAACAGCTGCGTCAGAAGTCAATTCCCTACTCTTGAGTGGTATTGCGACAGCATCCGGATTGTCAGAGAGACAGATGACGGAGTTGGGGGAAGAAGAGCGAGCATCGTCGCTCCAAGGCTCTGCATTGACCGGTTCGGGCTTGACAATGGATACTGGCTCGGGCTTGACCTTGATGATCTTGCGTGGCCTTTGTTTTGGTGCCGGACGTTTAGCATCGAGACGACCGTTGCGACTCAAGTGTTTGAAGTCGGGACAGACGTCTTGGTGCTGCTGTAAGGCTATTGGGGGGTAGCGTCCTTCGCACCCTTTGCACCCCACTAGGCCATCAATCCCCAAGTTGCCCTCCATCTCTTCTTCCCAACGATCACAATCGAGACCCTCCAACCGAGAGATAGTCAATCGCCAAGCGGGATTGTCGTTCTCAGGGAGTTGCCAACCCTCCTCCAACACGTAGATCGAAGTGCAGTTGTAGAAGTAGCTCTTGAGATCCTTGATCGTGGCAGTATAACACCCCATGAAGTTGTCGTGATGGAATGTAGTCGTACCAGGACCAATCTTGGTCCAAATAAAGGGCTTCACTAGGGCAGTTGGGCCTAGTACGCTACGGAAAGCGGTGATAACGGCTTGAGCAATGTCTGGAGGATTCCACGAGGCTTGAAAGTCGATATGCTTGGAATGCTTCGAGTTCTCCACCGCTTCGTGGAAGAGGGTCTGTGCTCCGCTGGCATTGGGCCACAGCCGCATGTTGCAACGCATAATAGACCCGCAACGGATGTATGTGACCTTAATAGAGACGAAGCAACCCCAGTTAGAGTCTATATAGGGCAACTTGGGGTAGTTTCGGGATGAACTAACCTTGTTGGCGCCCTTCCCGATAGCGACATCACTGGTTTTCTCCTTCATCTTGCTCGAACCTTTCCTGCCAGGATTAAGCTGGTATCCTGACTGGGCAGGCTTGGGAGGCAAGATCTGAGCAGCATGAGGGTAGACGTCGTGCTTTTGCAGAGGGTAGGCAGGCAACGCTTGGAAAGGTCCTGAACCCGGTTGCGGGTAATAGACCTGACCAGGCAAGCCAGAATGATATTGATGTTGTGCGACGGGTGCCGGGGCATAGTTGCCAACGGATTGAGGCGGGACAACGGCAGTGTGAGGGTATCCTGCCATCGACGAAGCTTGACTAGCCGAGGATGGGGTACTTTGGTAAATGTGGCTGCCCGCGGTCGACGATGAAGCCATAGAAGGAGTTTGAGGCTCGTTCAGCCTCATTCTGTGGGTTTGTTGAGGAGCGGAGAACCCCTGGTGGGAGTGCGATGGTACAGCTGGGTGATTGGTGGGCTGATAATTGGCCATGTGCTCCATGAATTGGGCCAACTTGGCTGCATCCCCCTTGAATTTGTTGCGAATGATCGCACTCAGGTCGACGTTGGTGTTGTTGTGGTTCGGCATTTCGATTTATACTTAGAAGAAGGGGGGGCGAGGAGAAACTGGCAAAGGTGAAGATGCTAGGGCGATTGTGAGTATGAGATAAGGCTACGTAGAGTGTGCTTTGTATATCCAAGTACATCGTAAAACAATGAAGGCTCAGGTAGGTTGACCTCGGCCAACGTCAAGCTAAGCAGGGCTAAGCAGGGCTAACTAGGGCTAACTAGGGCTAAGCTCGGTCTGAAATTTGCTTCCGACAGAGCCTGATTAAAGCCCGAAGGGAAATAATCGGTTCAAATACACCATCGCGGGGTAAATACCTCCTAAATACCACAAACAAATAACAGTGGCGCAACCGGCGCACCATACTCGTCGACTGTAAACAAGCTGCAGCTCGAGGACCCAAAAGTCAGTCACCAAAACGTTTACAAGGGCAACTTCTCCAACCCAATCGACTGCACAAAGCTACATTACAACCGCACCATTATACTGGTCTGCCGAACAGCTCAGGGATGGACCCCTCGAGCACGTTGACCCCGCCGAAACGGTCCACCGGAGCTCGAGACTCTCCGTCAAGCCTAGGACGTGCTACAGGATCAAGTCCGGCTTACCTTTCGGTGAGCTCGCGGTCGTCGTGCTTGTCACTTTTTGCCAGAAAGCTGACATCGACGTTACGTTTCGGGTATGGTAGAGCATAAGGAAACATTCCTTGTACGGGACGGACGACAGGGTAGTCATCGAGTGAGTGACACAATCACGCACAACCTCTTCTGATTTACTATCAACCCGTTCATCTTCTAAACCCTTTTTTGGACCCTCCATTCCTCTTTACAGCCCTGGGTCTCGGATATGGAAGATCGGATTCTCAGGAGAACCTCGACCTAGGAAAGTCTTCTTCGTGAAAGATTCTTTCAACTCGAAATCGAAAACGAAAACCGAAGCTGCGTTGACGACTGCGAACGAAGATGATAGTGAGGATGAAGAGGAAGACGAGGAGGAAGGGATCTGGGATGTAGATCTGAGCGGGATGAGCGTGGGCCTGGACAGGTTTAGGAGGCGGAACGGCTGGGGCGAACAAGGAGATGAGGATGATGGACCCGAGGTCGAGCGTACAGGCGAGGCTGAGGGTGTCGGTGAGGGAGAAGGCGATGGTCGCGGTCATGCTGCCGCAGAAACCGGTGATCAAAAAGAAGAACGAGCAGACGAGCAAGTGTCCATGGTGAAGGGCAGGGTTAAGGGCGAGACGAAGGAGAGGAGAGAAGAGGTCTTGAACGTCATCCGGGCGAGGTTGATCAAGGTCCTCAGAGACGTGTATTACAAGTGAGTCCCCGGACCTCTGCGCATTACTCCTCCTCAAGCCTCTTTGCTTCGTCTTCTTTGCGACCTTTTTCTCTTTGGCCTCCTCTTTGTCTTCTTATTGCGTCGCTTACAAAGAATTACCTTGCCTGATATCTCGTTTCGTGGCGATGTTGTTCAGATACCTTTTGACGGAATCGCGCTCTCGAAGGGTCATCGTCGTCGAGAACCCGTTCCTGCCGGATCCGATAAAGAGGATCATAGGCGAGGTCTTGTTGGACAACCTGCAGGTCAGTCTCAGAGAAGAAATATTCTCGTTACCTTGACCATCACATCCCTTCTATCTTCCTCCTCTTTCCTTTTGGCGTCTTCCATTTTTTCCCCGCTGTTCGAATTCAAGACCGAGGCCCCTTTGCGAGTGTCGAGCTGACGAGACATCGATACCGACTTTACGTCGTTATCCTGATCCGCAGGTCCGGTCGGTCAGCTTCACACCAGCGCCCATCCTCGCTTTGATGGCTGTGGGCAGGACGACAGGGTTGGTACTCGATGTTGGTTATCGCGAGTCTACCGTAGTTCCCGTGAGTCCTGGATGGTTCCTCTTCCGAACAACGTCGATTCCGTCCGTAGTACAAAGCGGAGGAAGCTGATCTCATCTACTTGCCGGCGGTACTTCATCGTCTCGTCTCGTGGAAATGTAGGTGTTCCAAGGGAGAATTTTGCACGAGTACATCACTTCGACAGGGATCGCTGGCAAGGCGTTCTTGGACCGTCTGAGGTTGTTGGTCGAGCGTTACGGACGAGGATCCAACGCGGGTACGAGGTCCGGAAGCGACGAGGTCGAGGGCGAGGTCGAAGGCAAGGTTAGCAGGCACGCGAGAGGCGGGAACGAACAGAAGATCTCGATAGAACTGTTAGAGGAGATCAGGTCAAGAGGATGTTTCATCCATCCAGAGCCTGTCACGCCACTGAGATCGCCAACCGAAATCAAAACGACCTCGAGCTTCAAACTGCACCCGACGTCAAGTTCGGAGGATGATTTGGCAGAAACGCTCCGTCAAGCCTATTCACATACATCCGACCCGAACACCCGGGCGACGGTCTTTGTTGACGAGAACAGTGGGAACGTCACCGGTCGATTTAATTCCTCGACTCAATGGGTCGTCCCCGGTTGGGTCCGAGAACGGACGGGAGAAGTCTTCTTCGAGCTCGGAGAGGGGGATAAGGGGTGTAGCTTGCAAGAGGTCCTCGCCGGGTGTCTCGTCAAGGTCAGTCCATCGTCCTTGGTGCTTGTCATGGCGATGGCCATCGTCTTCGTCGTCATCGGTGATCAGGGTCGTGGTCGTATTAAATCGTCTTCGAGGTAGACGAAGCTGACAACCCCCCTTCTCCCATTTTCAATCTGTTGCGGGACATGTAAAACAGCTACCGATCGACCTGAGACGGACGATGATCGGGAACATCCTCCTTACGGGCGGCGGAGGCGCTGGATTACCGGGTTTCACGAGGAGGTTACGGACGAGCCTCTGCAGGCTTATCGAGATTGAGGGTTCTTCGGTCGGTGTCGAACACGAAGTCGGGCTTGGATCCGAGATCGCTGGGGCTCGACCTCCATCCGTGTCGGGACCTTCGGTCGAAGCCAACCAACAGGAAGGTCAAGTAGAAGCAAAAGTCAGAAGTGAGGAGGCTAAAGTCAAAGGCGACCGCAAGATGAAACTGGATGGATACCGGAGCATAGGTAGACGACCTTATGCCTGCCTGGCCGGGTTGAAGGGGGAAGTGGGGATCTTGAACGATACCAGCCTCGGCTCAAAGTCGATCTCAGGATTGGGATCGGGAGCGGAGTCCGGAGGATCGGGGTCTGGGGCGGCGCCGGCTTGGAATATGGGGTTGTTGAGTTGGATAGGAGGGAGTCTTGCCGGGTGAGTCGACGGGGGAAAAGGCGATAAAACCCTTCTTTATAGTGCAGGGGGAAAAGCTGATTTTACATCCCGTTATCGTTACCTTTGTCGTCATGATGCTCGCATGGTGATGCTCGTCTCGTCGGGTATGATTTTGATGTCGGACAGGGCTTTGCAGATCGGAGGACGGGAATTCGAGATCGAGGCGGACGAAGAGGGTTAGATGAGACGCGCTGAGAGGTACGATACGAAGGATTGGGGATGATGACTGGAAAGTGGAACTACGACCTGTTTACGACAACGAGAATGATCACGACGACGACGATGAAGACGACGACGATATTACGAAAGGTTGTTATGAAGGATTGTACCACGAACCCTATGAATTTTACTATCAACGACTTAACCTAGACTCTAAAAGGCAAGCGCCATCGTCAAGACGGGAGTCGTCGAGATCGAGTTCCGGGAGATGGCGTCAATGGTATCCCAAAGAGGAGATCTTGCACCAGCCAAGTATCGATTGATCAGGGACACGGTCTCCTTGGATAGTGCAATCTTCGAGACAGCAATTTACACGAATGTGACCTTGCACTAAAGGCAAGATGATGCGATGAGACCTCTTTTCAGCGATCAGCGACCTCCGATTGGCCGCGCACCGTGGCTTCGATCGCTCTCTGCGCTAAAGGGGTGTTTGGGGATTTTAGTAGTATTATCTTATCTCTACTCTCGACGAGCGACGAGATGAGTTCGCGAAACTCGACTTGCACCTCGCAACTCGAGACCTTTGACGAGCTCCAACTAGGTCGAACATGACGTTGTGGATCTGTGCCAGGAGGATATGGTCCGAGCGGGCAGTCGACGAGATGGCGTGATCGATTTCGGGCCATGGGTCAAGTCCAGGTGAAATGGTCAAATTAAATCCTCTCTCGGTGGCTTTTTTCTCATTTCTAAGTCCGCGGGATTTCTTGACTTTGGACCATATCCGTTCCGTCCCAACAACGGCTTATCATCATCATCATCATCATCATCATCATCATCCTCGGTCGACCTAGTAGTACTTGCATCGACATCCTATACGACATACACCTCGAGCTTTCTTCTCTCCATCACACCCCACACTAGGACCTCGCCTTGCATGCGTACAGCTCGACGGATCTCGACGTCCATCAACCTCAACCTCAAACTAGTACAACAAACGCAAACACAAACACGGAGTAGATTCGCTCTCCCTCCTGCCTTTACTTACCGACAGACGCATACGACGGTACACGAAAAGATCTTGCCTAGCCCCTCGCAACAAGCTTTTAACGAGACGCACCCTCAGACCACCACCACCACCACCACTTCAACCTCCCAACGACCGAAATCAACTTCGTCGATCATGCCCGTCAACGCCATCGATTTCCCCGAACTCCAAGCTTGTCTGACATCCAACGCCGAATGGGCAGCGAGGGTATCCAAGGATGAACCGCATTTCTTTGAAAAGAGCGCCAAGGGGCAGAAACCGTTCTTGTTGTGGATCGGATGTGAGTTATAACCCGTCTTCTCTTTCCTCTCTGCCTTCAGGGTGGAGGATGAGCGGGGATGAGGTGCCGTAGATCCTGGTTCTGAAATGACTGGTGGGCTGACCTGGATGGCTTTTTCTATTCTTCGTCCTTTTTACTTCTGAAACTCGATTCGACTCTACTCTATTTCACCTGAACCTATACCTGTATCTACTCTTACACCCTTTGCGTTCCGCTACCCCTTCTCCCTGTCTCCACCTCCTTCTTCTCCACCTTACCTCCAACTCCCCACCACACCCTCACCTCACCTCCCCCAAAACCCCACGACCAAACCCCATCCCGGACCCTTTAGGCGCCGACTCCAGAGTCCCCGAATCCGTCGTCCTAGGCCGTAAACCCGGTGAGATCTTCGTCCACAGGAACATCGCCAATCAGTACCAAGCGGGGGACGATAGTGCCCAGGCGGTCTTGGAGTATGCGGTGGGCTTTTTGGGGGTTAGGCACGGTGAGTTTTGAGGGTTTCGAGTTTTTTGAGATGAGGGTGCGAAAGAGGGCGAGAGGACCGGGTTGATAAGGGATGGGAGGATCGAGGGCGGGGATGATGAGGAGTCCGGAACATCTCTGGTTGTGAATACGACATGATCTGAGCTGATCGGGAAGCTGATAAAACATCCCTGGCTTTCTTATCCTCCTTGTTCTCTTCTTTCTTGTTGAATGGGCGACTCGATACGACACGACACGACGTGATACGACGCAGTGGCCATCGTCGGACATACGGCCTGTGGAGGATGCGCGGCGGCGTACATGAGCAAGCCCGAGGATGCCGGGAACAAGGAGGTCAGTCCCTAATGCCCATGCCCCAGTCCCTTCAGCTTAGCGTTCCTTCAACTTCAACGCTCATCGATGAATCTTGGTCACATTCCGTCTCATCTCGCTGATACGAACTTGGAACCTGCTCCGACCACCCTCCGCAGACTACGACCTCCCTAGCTCGGTTCCTCCAACCCCTGATCGACCTGAGGCATTCGTTACCCGAGGGAGCTTCGATGGACGATCTGATCGTGGAGAACGTCAAGCGTGGGGTCGTCGACGTGGCCAAGAGCGAGGTCAGTCTTCGAAATCTTCTCCCCTCCAATGGGTTTTCTCGCTGGAGGCACGCCTCCCAACCGAGGTCATGAATGTCATCCGAGGCTGATCCCGAAAACAAACACCTTGCCTACTGTACGATTCCCATTCTTACGACTCGGACTCGACGCAACAGGTCATCCAGAAACAATGGGCCAAAGCGGCCGAAGAAGGGTCCGAGCCCGTCTACGTACACGGATGGTTGAAGGACTTGTCGACCGGGTTGATCAAGGATCTGTTGTGTTCCCAAGGGCCAGACAAGGCTTAGTTGAGGGGGTGCTTGTCAGCGTCGTTGTATATGCAGAGCGAGGGTTGAGGTGGTGAAGAAGAGGGAGTTGTGGTTGGTTAGCGGGTTGAAGCGACAAGAAAGGGATAGAGGCGATGTTTGTGTCTGTGTTGAGCTTTAGATGTAATGGTTTTCTCGTCTGGTCGCGTACAATCTCTCTTCAGACTCGACTTGGGACGGGCACGTCCGCAATCAGGATACAACGATCGACTATAGATAATTCTCGTTCAGACGTATTTCGTCTTAGGTGGACGGCCTACTGCTTGTTGGCGCAGTTGGAGCACTTGCAGGACTTGCAAGAGCAACTTCCGGGGGTGGAACACGAGGTACAGTTCTCGCCGCAGCTACCCGGGTCGAAAGGACATGTAATGTGTTGATGGAGATCAGCAAGCTGGAGCGCGACATGGGAGAGAGACAGAGAGTGCATGTTTGCCGGACTCACCTGCAACCACCGCTAGTGGCCTGGTTCTTAGGGGGACATCCGGCACACTTGCACGAATCGCAAGCACAGGCCTGGGAGTTGGGTCCGCAGTTGTTGCAGGTGGAGTCACAGCTATCGAGGTCGACGCCGGCGTAGTGTCAGCTGTGTACGTCGAGGTACGCGAGCGGATACGGTCAGGTGTTGTGGACTCACTTGCAAGCCATTTTGTATGTTCTGTCGGTGTTTCGGATGTTGAGGTTGTTTCAGAGTTGAGGTGATCTGGATTGAGGATTGAGCGGGTGGTAGGGTTATGGCGTGGTGGCCTGCACTTCACGGTCATCATGGTTATATACCCCAGGGGCCAGCTGTCACTAGCTCAGGTGCACCCCTGCACCCATCTCGTGACCATGAGCAGCTCAATTCGCACCCGGAGCAAGCAATTCGGAATTGAACCTGCTCTAACCCACACCGGAGCTCTGCTGACGTGTCATCATCACGTGGACTATCGGACCGAGGCGGGCAGTGGTCCCGAGCGAGTGAAATATGAATTGTATGGTGGTCAAAGACTACAAGACTCGCCAGACGAGCAAGAACGACCCTGACTTTAGGCGTTCTCGTGACCCTTGTTACCGCAACACATCGCAAAGAACCCAGACTTCTTCTTGGGCGCAGCAGCAGCGGGTTGATGAGCTGCGGACGTGCCGGGAGCCTTCTCGGCAGGAGCGACGGGAGCGGGGTTAGCAGCGACCGCAGGCTCGACGACGGCGGGTTGTTGCTTCTCCACGACGGGTTCAACGGGCTTGGGCTCGACCGGTGCCTCGTTCGTCTTAGTAGGCATCTCTCGGTGCGCCTCGGTAGCGGCCGGAGCCGGGGTCGATGCGAGTCCCATGGACGCGGCCAAGTCGCTCGACTCTTTCGAGGCCCAGCCGCTCTCTTTCGGAGCGGCCACCTCGCCACACTCTTTACACCGACGGCTCTCGGTGTTGTTCATCCAGTCGTTGATGAGCGGCTTGAGTTGAGTGCCGAGGTCGGTGCATCGGAAAGAATCCTTGCGGATATACGTCAGGTCCTTGTGGACCGGGTTGGGGCAGTACCATTGGAGGGAATCTAAAAACATATGATAAGTCATCTTGTCAGCTTGAAGCGAACGTTACGTCATGACCGACACGACGCCAAACGACCACCCACCGATCGCGCCCTCCGGTCGAACCTGCTCCAGCACGATCCCGATGGTATCCGCGAACCTGCACGGGTTATGCGGCGTGTTCGCGGGCAAGAGGAACATCTCCCCCTCGCCGATGATAATGTCCCGACGTTTCCCGTTCTCGACGATCTTGAGCACCATCGGGCCCTTGTGTTGGTAGAACCATTCTTCGGTCTCGTTCATGTGGAAGTCGGCTCGAGAGTTGGGACCGCCGACGATCATCACGGTGAAGTTTTCGCCGCTGTAGATGCAGTGGTTGCCTATGAACTCGGAAGGGGGTTGGACCACGGATGAAGTCGATAGTAAGAAATATGCAAAACATAGCATCGATATCAGTGGATTTGCCGGGAGAAAAAACTAAAAAAACTCAGGGCCTCGCACGACTGACCGACAGGAGGCTTGAGCAAATGCGTGTTCTCCTTCAACCACCTAGGGAAGTTGATAGGTTCCGGGATGGTCTTTCCACCCTGCCCACCGTTCACAGCAGACTTGTCGGCGTGGTTGGCATCCAACGAATACCCAGCGTCTTCCCCGGACCGCGAGTGGGTGGCCAAAGCCGCAGCTCCAGCTCCTGTGGCAACGGCGGCGGTGGTCCCCGCTACGATCGGAGCGCCGAGGGACAAGCTGGACAGGTCGTTAGACGCTGCGGATACTCCTGACTGGGGCTGAGTTTGAGCTTGAGCTTGAGTGGCGGCGAGTTTGGGGGAAGCGGCGGCTCGGGCGGCAGCGGCGGCGCTATCAATGATGCGGAAAGAGTGGAACGGGTCAGTCTGTCGATCTTCAATGCGCTGAATGTCGGATCGCAAAGACGGGAAAGAGAGGATCCAGAAATGTTTCTTCGTCTAAATTCTTTGCATGATGGGGTAGGATGTACAGCATAGCATTAAAGGGTAGTCTCTCTAGTCCATCCTCATTCCCTGCCTTCCCCGCTCTGCTCACTCGCCCCACGACTACCCTAATGATATGCATGCAATCCTCCCCCGCCCTGACCCCTGGACCGATCCCCTCGAAACTTGGGACGAGCGTCGACAAGACGACCCAACTCACGCCAATTCCTTTCCACGGACAAAAGTGCCAACGTGCTTGCCGAACTCTTGGCCCTAACACGATCGATTATGAGATACCACATCGGGAATCAGCCTCCCTCCTTCCTTTCCCTCCGCTCCGGGAGAGGACATGTGTAGAGGTATCGTCGAGACTCACCTGGTAAGTACAGATGCTCAACTCGGTCTCGCTAGGCTGCCTAGACCCATCACCGCCGGCGATCGTAGCGGCTCCCCAGGGGGCACCTCCCTCGACCCGGTCGAGAACGGACAGACCGGCATTAGCGTATCCGCTGCGATGGGTGTAATGTGGATGTGAAATGGATTGACATGTTGTAGAGAGAGGTTCGGGCGATGTCAGTGAAGGCGATCGTTGGCGTCCGCAAGGTCGAGGCGAGGATAAGGTGAGGTGAGATGGGACGGGGGACTCACAGAGGAACGAACGAGATCCCGTGGTGTACAAAGAAGGGGATGGTAGTGTAAGCGGTAGTCTCCTGTCCTCCGTGTTGTCCTCCGGTCGAACTGCAGCGCGAAAAGATCGTCGATGGCAAAAAAGAAGGAAAAGAGAGCGAAAAGACCAAGGCAGAATGAAAGGCGATATCAGCACAACGCGATGTACTTATAACTTAAACCTTAGAGGGAGTACAGCGGACCACGCTGCGTGCACAAATGGAGGTAGGGGGGTGGAAATGTAGGGATACGTACGTGAACACCCCAGCAAACTTGCCGATCAAAGCTCCGCTAGCCCACAATCCTCCGGTCTGGTCGAAAAACGCAGAGACCTGAGCGGGGGCACGGCCGTACCGGGTGGGGAAACCGAAGAGGAATCCGTCGCTACAAAAGAGGACGCGAGACGGCGGGACGGAGACGAGAAGCGTAATCGGCGTCAGCTTAGAATCATAATGACAATAGAGCATGGGGAGATTGAGGTGGGATGTTGAGTCGTATATGGAAAACGACGACGTGGATATCGTTCTTTTGTTCTTGTTACGAAATCATTGCAATTGGGGTGATGACCCGACGAATACACAACGACGATAACGAAGAGGCAGGATGTAAAAGAAAACAAGGCAAGACTTACAGCTCCTTGAGGTCGTTCGGGGTGATGATAGGGTACTTGGGCTTCAAGCTACCTCCGGCGTACATCTTTCCGAGGACTTCTTCAGAGAGGGTCTCTTGGCTATCAAGATCGAGATCGAGATCGAGATCGAGATCGAGATCGGAAACAGGATCAGTACATGACCGTGTTATGAAGATTTAGATCTGGATTTAGATGGATCGATTCTGGTAAACAAGGGAATGTAGGGCTTACATCTGGAACATCTTGACCTCGGCTCCGGTCTTCTCGAGCCCGGCCTATCATGCACCGAAACGCCACGATCTCAGCTATTCGGTACCACACTCTTTGCGGTTCAGTTGGACGGCTCACCTGGACGGCCTCGGCGAGCTGACCGACGTGACCGTAGCTACGATGAGAGAAGAAGAGATCGGAAGAGAGATCGCGGTCGTCAGTGCGATCCGGGCTGCGTTTCGAAACTTAGAAGAAGCGGAGGAGGAAGACTCACGTCGAATAGTAGATGACACCGATCTTGGCAGGCATGGTTGACGATTTGGGTAGAAGACAAGAGATGATTCGCTGGTCGAAGTTGTAGCTGTTAGCTGTCGATTCAAAGTTGTGGTTGGTCGATGTCATCTTGTTTATATATCCCTTTCCGGTAATTTGCTTCCGCTGCCCTTTTTGCGCTAAATTTGCATCCGAAATCAGCTGCTTATTCAACAATCTCACGTCCTCGTCCGAGAGTCATCATCCTCTTTCCCCCCGTCGAACATCCGTCAAGAGACAGGATTGGGATGCTTTGGAGACATGTCGAAGTGGCTTAGTGAATGGGCTGAGCCATACCGGGACTCGTACGTGTGTTTCGTTGTCAAGACCGCAAGCATCATGGGATCATGAAAATCTCGAATGTCGTGAGCGTCATCAGTCATCTACCATTACATCGCGTCCTCAAAACCCGGGAACTCGTCCCACTCGACCCGTTTTCATTCATCCCTCCGACAAGCGTTAAACGCAGTAGAACTCGAAAATCCGGATCTCAATCTCACTGTCCAGATCATCCACTCCTCTACCATTACCCGCGCCTCTCGATCTCTTGCAACAACGCTCCCATCCTCGCGCCCAGCCTCGGCTGTCTCGCACTCCCACCGCCGCCACCACCAGTACCATTTCGTCGTCCGCCTCCCGCTCGTCCTCCGGGCTGTTGCGCCTGTGCATGTTGTTGCTGTTGTTGTTTCTGTAAAGTCCGTTTCGTCCGACCAGGATGCACCGCCCCAAAAGCCGACGACGCAGAAGAAGAAGTCTTGGCCGGACCGAGGTAGGCGGTACGTTTCAAATCACGCAGCGTAAGCGTACTTCTTGGGGTATTGTTATCGGTGGTGGTGGTGGTGGAGTTCGGGTGCGTTGATGATGGTGTACTGCCAGGTGGTTTGTGCGAATGGAGCGGTTTTCCCCGGAAAGGCGTATTGTTCACAACAACAGCTTTCGGGGGGACTTCTTGCTCCATCCTGTCTTTCGTACCCGTCCGGCCTCCTGCTCTTGCATCCCTCTCTCCACGATCCGCATTCCCAGCATCATCCCCCATCCGACCGAGGAAAGTGAAATTCGGATTCCCCTTGTCCTTCTTCCCCTTTGGCCTCGTCACGGTCCCCATAGACCCAGACCCGTGGTGAGACATGGAGGCGACCCCGTCCGTGCCCCAGGGTCGAGGTCGGCCGGCTCCGTAAACCGGCGTCGAGGTTGAAGACGAAGAGGAGGCAGTCGCACCGTGACCTTGCGGATGATTGTGACCTCGGCTGGAAGTAGATATGGATGTAGATGTGCCTCTCGTCGATCCACCTCGACCACGCAGGTTTGGATTGGAGTTCGAATGTGTATACGGTAGAAAGACCTCTTCGTCGTCCTCGTCTTGATCGTCGTCACCAGGAGGAGGTCCAGCCCGGGATCGTTCCCTGGAACGCTTCACATTGTTCCCTTCGTCCTCGTCTTCGCTCATACTCATAGCTCCGTCCTGGTCGACCCGGTCCGCCCGACCTTTTCCTTTCCCTTTGTTTCGGCGAAGGGAAACTCGGGAATCGATCATATCCCCTTCCACATCGTCGTTGAAGAACCCATCATCCTCCTCATCATCGTTCTCGTTCGGAGCAAGGTTGCTACCTGCACCTGTACCCCGAGTCTTTGACGGACGAGGCGCTCGTTCTTCCCCGGATTCCAACTCGGACTCGTCGCTCTCGCTCTCCGGAACAACCGTTCTCTTGCTCAGTGGTTTTGTTGCGGTTAGTCCTGCCGCGGTAGCTGCGGTGGAAGAATCGCCGTTGGATTTCGTCTTCCGGGAGAGTTGTACCAACTCCCGAACCCCATCGCTTTTGATCACGCTCGACCTCGATGCACCCCTTCCCCCAGGTCGACCTCCAACGTTTCCTCCTCCTCGGCCCGACCCTCGACCCCTGCTGTTGAAGGAAGAGCCTCTCGCAGAACCGTTCCCACCGTATCCCTGCCCCAGACCAGAGACTTGTCCTCGTCCTAGACGTTCGCTCTGTAATCCTTCCTTCTTGAGCGCTTTGGCGAACGATCTTTTTATCCGAGCTCGTTCGATGAGAGATTCTTTGAGCTTCTTGGCTACGGGTTGCGCATTATATCGTACAGAAAAGAGAGTAGTCGAGAAGGAGATATCAGCCCAGAGCAAGATTCAAAGAGATGTGACTTCGAGGGCTCTCTCTCTCTTACCTTTACCGAGATAGGCCGAATGGGGTGCGTGGGCGGGGACGACCTTGAACCCGGTGTTGCTCGGTCGGGAGGGGTTTCGACCGCGGGACGACATGATCGGACGTCGATGCAGTGAGGTCAAAGGAAGCACTACTGTATGCTAGATGAGCTCGATTGTAAGGATGGTAGGGAGGTCTGACGATGTAAATCTTTGAAATCTTACGTCGTAACCCCCTTAACCATGTGAACTTGCGTCGAATTTTCTCACGCGACCCTTGAGCTCTTCCCTCAGCCAAAAGACCAAAGGTGTGGGGGGGAAGACGATGATGAGGATGACAATCGACATCGCCACTCTCCCCATAACTGCTACTCTCAATCATCCTCAACCCACTCGTATAACACTAGACCTCATTGAAGGCCCCCAGATCTCGATTGAATGTCAGCTGAATGTGAGTGAAAAAGTCCACGAAAGTCGAGCGGATCAAGGGTTCCGGGAGGCGAAGCGTTCTTGGTAGAGTTGAGGGCTGATCTCGTTTCGTTCTCTTGTTATCCCACCTGCCATCGCTTGCCGTTCTCGTTGCAACTTGAAATCATCCATCCTACTCTCTTCGCCTTGATCATGTTCGCTACAAACCCCGGCGGACCGCGGGATTCATCCAACTACAACCACAACAACTATAACTTAAACGACACCCTCTGCTCATCTATCGACTCTCCTCGCTCCCACCTCTTTCCCTCCAACTCGCTCCGAACTCGACCACAACTCGAACCCGACGCCCACTATCGCTAACCGACAGCCTCGAACAAAGTGGACGCTCAAACCGCTCCCAAGAAGAAGCTCGCCCCCGCCGGGGGCATGCTCAACCTCCAGAGCCGAGGTCAGTCGCCTGGTAGCTCGTCTTTGTCCTAGTCGGGAGCAAGAGACGGCATGGTCATGGTCATGGTCGAGGTTTCGAGGTTGCTGATGCCGAGATGTGATGTTTTTCTATCTTTTCGTTTGCTTCGTTCTTCGCTCGGCTGGGTTGTTCGGTCTTCGGATGATCTGGGAACTCAACTCTCTTTCGCCTTCTATTCGGCTCGATTGGATGTCATTGACGCTGGACTCCAACTCACCTTTCATGATCATCTACTACCGCCACATCGAACAACGCACTACCTACTCTACCCCACCACTTCTCGTATTATCACATCTTCGACTCGACTGATCGTCGAACACCTTTTGAACTCGATCATCGAAACCTCCCTCTTCTTCTCCATCTCCATTCTCCATCTCAACCTCCATCCCCATTCTGCCATTTCACAAAACAATCACACCACAACAGACCCCTTTGCGGACGCCGACTTTGGCTCGCCCGCTTCCTCGGCTACGGCGGGTGCCAAGGCCAACGCGAGCAGGACCAGTACGCCCAAGATCGATGATGATCTCGGTGGTGTGGCGGGTGGGAAGATCCATATCCGTGAGTCGCCGAGCTCTCGCTCTTGCTCGCTCTCATCTGTTTTTCGCAACCCGTTACAAGTGATACTCGGGGAAGTTGAAGTTGAAGTTGAAGCTGACGATCCGTTTACTTGGGTCGTGGTGTGGTTTGATGGAATGTGATACGATGTGATGTGACCTTGCCCGGAAATCGAACGCAGGTATCCAGCAGAGGAACGGGAGGAAGACGTTGACCACCGTCCAGGGGTTGGACAAGGCTTATGACCCTAAAAAGATCTTGAAGGCGTTCAAGAAGGTGAGCGAGTATTTTCGGGGTCGACGGACGATACGTTCGAGTCGTTTGGCCGCTTGCTGACTCTCGACAACGTTCTCGAACCGCGCTCGACGCACACACTGTACTACTTTCCGTGCCGGCCCTCGCACGCAGGAATTCGCATGCAACGGCAACGTCGTCTCCTCCGAAGAAGCCGAGCTCGGAGCCGACGCTCCTGAACCCGCCGTCCCTGCGGGCAAGACCAAGCCCAATTTCGGACAGGTCATCCAATTGCAAGGCGATCAGAGGAACGCGGTCAGGGATTTCCTTGTTAGCACGGGGATCGTCTCGGAGAGGGAGGCCAAGGAGAAGATTCAGATGTGAGTCTTGTCGTTACAAGGGTGTTTGACGAGTCCGGTTGTTGATGGGAATTCTTTTGGCTTGTTTATCGCAGTCACGGACACTAGGCTCCAAGGGACACGCCGCCGAGGAAAAGTTGTTTCTCATGTCTTCTTTCGTCTGTCTCGTATCACACGTTGTCGTTCTCGTGCTGTCCATATCACCATGTCGATGCATTAGATGATGCCACTGATGCAGAACGGATGCCTGCTTGTGACGGTCTTCCCCGAAGTCTCAGCTCTGCGGGCACTCTGGCTCATTCGTCACTCTCGACCCCATGTTGACACGAAACACCTGCAACGACCATCTTGACGATATACCTTTGATCTCCTCTTCCAGTAATACAAAAGACACCAGACTACACTCATCATGTCCGACTCGTAGGTATAGCTGTGCAAGCAGTCGGACGGCTATCAACGCTGATCCTCATCACGCTTACCAGCAAACAAGACAACACTTTCGAACCTACCCACCCGTTCAACTTGGAGGACCCCAAGTCGTGGGCCGAGGGGGTCGGTGAGTCCCGGGTCTTGCCACTCGAAAAAAATTCCAGTCAGTGGAGACACCGTTGACTGACGAAAGCGTGCGGGAAATGCTGGCAGGGGCGTTGGATTGGGACAAGACGCACATCTGTTTTACCAAGAGGAGCTTGTTGGAATTCCTCAAGTAGGTCCTTTCGTGGCCGTAGTCCTTTCCGCTTTTCGTTTTCGCTCGACGAGGTACGAGAAGAAGTCTTCACTGACTTTGATTAATCTGTTATTCCCTTCTCCCTTCTTTCTCGCAGGCAAAACGGCGTGTCCGTCGGAGTCAACTATAAGGAACTCGAAAAGTTGCCCAGTAAGCACCCGGTTCACGTTCGGGTCGAGGTGGCTGGATTAGAGCTGTTTACTGATCATGATTTGGCTGTCGTCTTGATCATCGAACTCTAGAGTACGCTTCTTTCGGAGAGTTCTCCAGCAAGGCGACCGAGACTGCCGTCAAGGACTTGGTCGAAGGTATGTCCCTTTCCCTCTCGATTCCTACCCGACTATTTCTTGTCACGAGACTTTGCTCGTTCTACGACTGAACTCGTCTTTCCATACCCCTGCTTACCATATTATACCCTGCTCCATCCCACAGCCGAAGTCGCCGACCCTCACTCGGAAGACCAACCTCAACAGAACACCTTCCGTCCTTCCCGCAAAGTCAGGGAACCCCCCGGTGGGAAATCTACCATCAACTTTGCTTGGGGCGAACACGAGGAAGAGGACGCGTTGAGCATGGCCCCGCCTAAACTTGATGGGGGGAAGGAGGAGATCTTGAAGCATACCGAGAGGGATTCGTTCGGGTTCGTCGTCGGAAAGTGAGGTGCCCGAGACTTTGAACCTTCGGGGTTGATTGCGGGGTGTTGTAGTAGAGCGTTGTTTGGGGACCGGATGTTGACATGCATGCATTGTGCTGTGGTTTTGGTAGCGACGGCTTAGATCGAAATCGGCGTTCTCCGCTATGCGACAAGGTCGAGGCCGAGGTCGAGAGACGTTAGTGTCATTTCGAGCGAGTGGCATGCAGACCTCTCGTCCCCGTCTGATTATGGTCCCTACAGCGCATCCTCCAGAACCCGGCACGACATGGACCTCGAGCGCGGTCAGCTTTGCCTGTGTGCTCGTCCTCGTCTACATCCTGACAGTGTTTCGGAAAGAGACCTCGTGGTTGACATGGCTCCCGGATCCGTCAGTACCAGCCGTCATCATGACCGAGGTTCTTCCCACAAACAACCGCCAGCTGATTTATCCTCTATCTATGGGATTCCTAGACAATGGGCTCTCTTATACCCGGCACACCTGATCGTATCGGTCATCATCACCTATATCGTATACTTGGCGCTCATGGTCCTGCAAAGTCCTTCTCGGGACTCGATCGACTATATAGGCGGTCAGTCCCAGAGTCGCGCCTCATGCGTGGTCATCGTGATTGTGGTAGCTGATACGGGCTCGACAGATGCAAGGGGGACAGTGGTAACAGAAACAGCAGACCCTAGTACTGGTGTTCGATTACCGACCACGACGGCAGCGATGGACGTACCGCTGGGTATCATGAATAGCAGACTATACCCGGCTCGGTCGCGACGTTCACGTGCGAAGGTTGGGGCCTGAATTGTTGACCGGGTCTTAGTTGTAACGAGAATCATCGTTGTATATGCCCCTCGAGAAGTGGGATGTTCTGACTATTCAATTGGGTAGCAAGTATCCAGGCAACTGATGTGCACGGCCCCGTTGGTAAGGGACGGGCACGATCTACGTACAACACCCCCCAACCAACTCGCATTACGACCCGTCCCCCTCGGGCTGCTCCAGCTTGGCTCGTTTCCTAGCCTCGAAACGCTCCCTCGCCGCACGTCGTTTAGCATCCCCCTCGCCGTCGTCCCCTCCAGCTCGACGCTTCTTGGCCGTCTCCTCAACTTCCTGCTGTTTGGCTAGTCGTTCCCGCTCGATACGTTCTTGCTCGTCCTTCATCTGGTCGGCTAGACGGCGGCGTTCCCTGGCCATCCTGGCTTCGTACGAAGCGTCCGTACCCACAGCTCGTGACTTGAGAGGGACGTGCACTTCGGGTCGTTTGACATCACCCGGACCGTCCTTGGGTAGGACGGGTTTCTTGGTGATATTTAGACCGGCCTTGAGCAAGACCCGTTTATCCACGATGGCGCCCTCGTCGTTAATCTCGATCCGTTCCTCCTCGGTCGAGGCGGTCGCTGGAAGACGTTCGACGACGGGTACCGAGGCACTGGCGGCTGTCATCATCGCTCGTTCCATCTCCATCCGTTGGCGTTCTCGTCGGATGAAGGGGTCCTCTTCGGCCGTGTCATCGAATGTGGCAGGAGGCTTTGAGTCGCTGGTGTTATCGCTTGCATCGGGAGGACGGATGGCCAGAGAAGGACCCTGATTGGGCTTGGTCGCCGACTTGGACGAAGCGGCTACTGCAGCAGCATGCTTCTCCTCGTCCGCATCGAGCATGTTGCGGTAAAACGCCGTCATCCCGGGTCCCTTCTGCGAGGCCCGTTCCTTGGCTACCAACGACCCGAACAGCATAAGAAGCGTGTCGTCAGTCCCATTGCATTTAGCTCATTCTAGATCCCCTACGAGACCCTACGCACCTTCCCGAGCCTTCTCTTCCTCCTCGGCCAGCTTGACCTCTTCCATCTGCCGCTTGTACGCCGTCGTCACAAACTTTTCCTTGTCGGCGTATTCCTCCCCCTCTTCGTCCCTTTCGTGTTGTAGCATCTTCTCCTCAGCTCTCAGACGGTCGAGTTTACGGGTCGCGGCGGATTGTAAGAAGGATTCTATGTACTTGGGCTATAAGGGAGACGTAAGAGGGTCGAGTCCATGCCATCTTTAGCGATTCATAGAAAGTCGGGAAACCTGAAAACAACGGAGGTGCTCACTTTACGTTCCGCAGCCTCTTCATCCTTGATCTGCTTTGCCTGTTGCCTAGCGTTCTGCATCCCGTCCCATACCTCGTCATATTCAAAGACGGTCTGATCGACCTTGACGGCCTCCTCCTGGATCTTTTTCGCCTGACGACCCAGGCTGGCGTTTTGCTTGATCAGGGCGTTGTTTCGGGGCGCCACTTTGGACGGACCGGCTAGGGTTGGTTTCGAAGACGACCCAGCCTGCTTATCTTCGTCGTCGTCGTCGTCATCCCCAAAGGTGAAAGCCTTCGAGACGGGTTTCGGTTTAGGTTTGAGCGAGATGCTGGCTCCAAAGGCGTTGTTCGTCGTCGAGGGACCGGCTTTGGCAGCGGGTTTCCCCAAGGAGAAGGATAGCTTGGGTGGGTCGGGCATGGCAGTCAGAGGAATGTGTTTGCGTCACAGCTCGTTGTATTATGGGTTGAACGGGATTCAGAATTGCTCAAGAGTTATGGATTGGTGACTCGCGCATGACTCGAGGTTATGAATATGCTCGAGCTCGGTAAGTTGGTCGTGAGCGCGAACACCTGCAGCGATGATCCCGCTTCGCCCTTCAGACGAGTCGATCGACCTTGACCGCCTACACGACCACAGCAAGCTCACAGACGCAATGAGATGATGAGGTGGTACCTTATCTAGCAATGCGATGAAGATGATGTGGGCGCTGTGCATTACACTCTATCGTACAAATCACCCTAGCTTGATGAGTCTTTCTCTCTCTTTCTCTCTTGACCATCTTCGACCTTCTCTATATCCCCATTGTACCGCCTCTCATGGTACGACCTCCAACCCCATACTCCTCGCACTCCCTACCACACTCCTCGCCACCCGCTCTAGACCCAAGACCTTCAAATCCTCGTCCTCCATCTTGATCTTAGCAATCTCATAGACCTGCTTGACGGAGACCTTGCCTACGAACCCTCCCCCGGGTACGCTCGTGGCGCCCCCCTTGGCTGCTACGGAAGCCGGAGCTTGTCCGCCTGCTGTGGATCCTGAAGTTGCCGCTCGGAGCGTCCGAGAGGTATGAGAAGGAGGTGCGGTGGAGCCCTTGTCGATCGAGGCTGCGGTGCGGAGGAGGTGGGCGACGGGTGGGGTTCGGAAGGAGAAGGAAAAGGTTCGATCCGGATTGATAGTTATGCTCGTCGGTACAGGGACAGTAGGTTTTAGGTGAGCCGTCCGGGCGTTGCTGAAAGAGGGTGAAAAGACTTGATTCAGCTCGGAGGTCGAAGGGTCACGAGGTCTTCGCAATAGTAAGAGGATGGGGAATTCGGGTGGCCGACTGACAATTCTTTACAAAAATCCATGGCTTTGACACCTCGGGCTCCTAATGCCGGACCGACGGGCGGTGATGGGGTGGCCTTGCCTGCTGGTACCAGGATTTTCTGTCAATGAGGAACGAGTGGATGAGCGGGTCAGCGAGCTCGTTCGGATGACGACGTGCGGACTCGGCGAGTCGGCTTACCACCACTTGTGTTACTGCTGCTTTCGACATATTGCTGGAGTAACAGACCTGGGGACTTTGCAGTAGATTGCTGTTGTTGGTTGAATTGGTTGTCAATCTCTACTTTATTATCGGTTGTCAATCTCTACTTTATTATCGATTGAACCAAGTTCGATATCCCGTTGAGGAGGTCCTCGATGCCCGGACACGGACATTGACTTGATGATCGATGTCCGCGACCCCGGTCCGATTGGCGGTTTCACTACTGAAACGCATCACTGTCACTGCTTCTCGAGGCTTCCCCCCTCTCCTCTTTCGCATATCTCAGTCCATATATCAAGTTATCCATCGTCTTGGCGGTCCAGGGCACTATGTAAGGGTGACAATATCAGCCTGAGGGGTATTGAAGGGAAGCGACGAGACTGACCTTTGACCTCGTCACCCGCACATCCCCACTGGATCGAAGCGGCATTCGAAATGCAGATGTCAAGGGATACGGGGTCTTTTTATCAACCCAAATTAGCCTCGAAAAGGTTGTGGTAGGACGAGAACCATACGGAATGGAAGGGAAAGTGATAGATCGTTCGAACATTGATGGTTCTTGTACGTATCGGAGCTAGAAGAGGCGACTGGCGAGAAGAAGATACAGTAGCTGTTTAGTAGACAGCTGTCAGTCGCGAAACTCTTGTCGATGTCAAAGGTCCATAAATCGAAGTGGTACTAGTCATGTTGTATCAACCGAGAAGCTTTGGCCAAACCAGCTCGCACCTAGCAGGATCTCGCAGGCATCGATTTACAATTTTACATATCTGGCGAAATTCATATGCTTTTCGGTTGCACCGTCACTACTCGAAAGACTTGCCAGATGGGCGCTCATGCGAACGTTATGTTCGGGCGTACGAAGTCACCAGATTCTTTCAAGTGAGACCTGTTCGGAAATTTGATACAGCTACTCTTCCTACCCGTGACTGGACCTATCGTCAGCGCTGGTATTCGTTGCACTTCAGATTATCGTAGGAATCGCGCCCAGTTGCCGTTCTTTTCTCAGATTCGCTCAGCGGCGGGAATGAATCTAATCGCTTAGACGAAGGATATTCGACTGTACGACAGGGAATGCATGACTGACCGGGCCCAACATGCAGCCAGTCTGGCGCGTGCAAGTAGGGCGCCGGCCGCTTCATTGCGGGACGCCTTTCTTTCTATCTTTTTCGGTGACAAGCACGTTACGTCACGTCGGATATCAGATCAAGTCGACGTGGCCTAGATCTGTTCTGGTTACCTGAAAATCGTGGCCATCGTTAAGATCGTCCTCCTCAAGTATCACCGTCTCCATGTAGATACAAAAGAGGTCGCCTGAGGCTTTCAGGACGGTCAAGCTGAGGACAAGAACTTCGCATACATCTCTGCGAAGCTGCGAAGCTCTCGAGTCCTTGGCCTGCTTGACGCCCTTTCCAGTCACAGATCGAAATCATCGTTCCCCACTCGCCTTCCAACTTTTGCCACGCTCTTCATCGTGATTAGGTTTCTATATTCAACCGGAGATTACGCTGGGAGGAAGGTCACGCACATCATTGCCAGAATTGAGGTGTCTGCACACACGCGTGCGATGCAACAATACCCCTCACAACCGGTCCCTGAACACGTCGTAAAACGCTGTGACCCTTCAGATGTCGAGACTGCTGAAGTAGAACAGCCTTAAGGCCTCGGGCTCCTGGTTCATATACAATAAGGCTGGATTTTGATGGATCAGACCGAGTGGGATGTTTACGTTTTACCTGTCGGCAGACCGTCGCGACACGACAGATGTGCCATCATCTCGTGGATTCTTGTCGTGCATCGAGGGCACAACGGATCTAAATGGTATCATCTTGTCGATGGTCAAGTCTACTTAGGCCAGATCTAGAATCTACTACAAGTCGCCTCATAGTGATCTCAAAGTAACTTCGACGGTCCCTATCCTCAAGTATCAGCGTCCCCTTTGCATCGATCGCGATCATGCAACCACCGGTTTCAGAATTCTTGAAAAACTGGCCGCTAAACCCGGCGGAAAGCCACCGTACACACAGTCGACCCTGTCTTGCCTCCGAACGAAAACGATGGGTGTTTAACCGTCGAGCTGGAGCGTCCGACCAGGGTTGCGATTAGTTTAGTCGCGGAAAACATCGCCTGGATGATGATCATGAAGAGGACTTACTGGTATTCGAAAGCTGTAGGTGTGAGAATAATCCGTCAGGAAGAGCGTCAGTTTACAACTGAATCGTATCCGATAGAACGGAAAGAGCGGGACGAACCTAGTCCTTCTCGAGTGAACCTCGTCTTGATCTCGTCTTCGGTGAAATTGCAAGCTGCTCACCATAAGACCTTGACTCAGCAGCTATCTTACGAACAACAGAAATATCGCCAGACTCACAGGTGATCAAAAAGAACCCGCCCGGCTTGACCAGCCCAGCGACTCGTTCAGGGTAGACCGCACTAGGTAATTTCCCCCTACTCGACTCCGGACCGGATCCGACGGGTTCTTGGGAAAGGGCGATGGCGTCGTAGGTCCCCTTGTCGAGGACGAGGTCCCAGCCGTCAAGAGGGACGGAAGAGGATTGGGAGTGAAGGGTCTGGAGGGTTGAGGTGAGGAGGTCCGAGGCGAACCAGGTGACTCCGGGAGGGTTGTTTGCGATCTGGTTCTTGGCGTGGGATAGAGTTTCCGCGTCCCCTTGTTCGTCGGTTTCATCGTCGTCGACGTCGACGTCACTTTCTTCCTCGCTATCGCTATCAACCCCAAGCTCTTCCCCAACTTCCTTCCGCTTCTCATCGCTCCGTATCCGTCTCTCCCAGCGTCTCCGACGTAGACCTTCGACTTTACTCGATAATTCGATACTCAGGTCCGAATAGTCTATCCCGGTGAAATGTCGAGGAGAGTGTCGAGGTACAGAACGTCGGTATTTAGGTTTGGTCGGGTAGAGGATGGAGAGGAGGAGCGTGCCGTTGCCTAAGAAGACATGAAACACGGAGGAACAGAATCAAAGGTTAGCTGGATTGGACAGTGGTTTGAAGGGATAATATCGGATTGAAAGCTGGACTTGCCGCATCCGCACTCCATGACGGTCGGTCCGGACCCGTCTTCGAACGGTGGGAGGTACTGGTACGTCCAGTCTACCATCTTGTCCACCGCGCCTTCTCCGAACCAGATCTCGCCCTCATCGCCTGTTTCCTGGGAGCAACAAAACATCAAAGGTATACAGAGAATGTCATTTCAGTTCTTAGCACGTCATACTGCTTGCTTCTCAAAGCGAAGCTCGATAGACCCACCTCGTACTCCTTGGTCTCCCGCTCGTACACCATGTCCCAGTGTTCCTTGGTGCCGAGTTTGGATGCGGGTAGTTCTTCCGTCATTCTGATGGGGGAAAATATTCCGCTAAAGACCGACTGGTAGTTGTATTTGGCGTTATGGTAACGCTTTGCGCGAGGGTTCGCTTGAAGATATACTTGTTCGAAGATATAGACAAGCACGCTGCTTAGGGGACCTTGACCTCCTTTATCTGATCACGTGACTCTCAAAGGCCAAGGTTGTTCCGAGGGAGGAAGCGATTTCTTTCGAACTGAACAACTTCAACTTCAACTTCAACTTCTATCACCAAGGTCAAGAGTCGATACAACCGCTTCACTAGCACACCCACCTCAATTAATCTCTGACTTTCAAATCAATCTTACAAGATGCCCGTCGAAGGATACGCAGGAGATGGCCAGTAAGTTCAGCTTATCTAGCCCATCTCGTCGTGGTTCGCTTGAGACTGACCCCCCAATTCGACTCTTCTCTCGCGCTTTAGCTTCAGGCAGACTTACAACGACATCCACATTCTCTGTCAAGAGACTGCCAAGCGGATCAAGACCGAGTTTAGTGAGCCACCCCAGTCTACCCTCCCTGCCGTAAAAGTTCCGATTGAAGAGCTCACCGCCTGAAATTCCTATGCGGCAGACCCGGACTTGATGATCGCCATCGGAGGAGGAGGTTTCATCCCAGCCCGTATCATCAGGACTTTTCTCAAAGTCTCCGACTCTCCGGAAAGTAAGCCGAGGAACATCCCTATTCAAGCGATAGGGCTTTCTTTGTACGAAGCTCTGCCGGATACTTCGGAAGAGGTCGTAGGGAAGGAGGTCATCCGGACGCAATGGCTCGATTTCAGCACGCTCGGGGATAAGAATACCAAGTATGGGGGGTTGTTGGGGAAGAGGATCTTGGTCGTGGATGAGGTGGATGATAGGTGAGTCGTTGCGAGTCGACCGATGCTCTGTCCGTCGATCAATACGACCACAAGTTGACTCTACTCTTCCTCCCTGCTCCTTCCTCGTCCCGTCTCGTCTCGTCCTCCACAACCTAATTCATTACAATCCGTCAGCCGAGCGACCCTCTCGTACGCCCTCCAGGAACTCCAGATCGACGTGGAGAAACAGTTGAAAGAGCTCAAGGTCAGCGAAGAGGAGAGGAGCCGGATCAGGGAGGCTACCAAGTTTGGGATCTTTGTCGTGCACAACAAGTACGTTAGGGGTAACCCATCGCCGTTGAAGAGGGACTAGGTCCGGAGTTCGATAGCAGTCTCGCTGCGGACGAGTAGTTTTTGGGATTGGGAGAGCTGACTGATCATCTTCTCCGGTTCTCTACGTCATGCAGGCTCAAACCCAAGGCCGGGGAGATTAGCAAGGACGTGGCTTATTTCAGCGGGACGGACATCGAGGATCTCTGGGTCGATTATCCTTGGTGAGCCTTCAAAGGCCGCCGCTTTTTTCCTCATGGGGAGACCCGGACTGTCAGAGCTGACGGTACCAAGCCGACTTCGGTAAACTTGACGTCTCGTCTCGTTTTTTGTTCTGTTTGTAGGGAGATGCCCGATATCTTGAAGCACGACGAGTTGAAGAGGCAGGACGACGAGATGGCCGTCAAGGGCAAGTAGGCGGTTGTCGGGGGGGAAGGGGCGCGAAGTTGTAACAGGTGTCAGGGCTCAGTAGGGCGTATTCATATAGAGGTTCCGATTGCGATGATCCGAGGGGATCGTGGGGGTCTGATCGAGCACCGAGCGATCGTGTCGCTGTCGTGTCTTTGGTCGACAGTCGACTATTGAATACGGAACAACGTTGAGAGAATGAGATACAGGCCAGACCGTGTCTCTTCACGAAAAGGAATAGAGGTCGTCAAGATTTTCTAGAATGTGGTGCTCCCCGCCCCAGATGGCTCGCACCACCTCGACGAGTTGTCGCGGTTTCGTTGGGGGAGGAATTCCTTGGGTAACCCGACACGCTCGGTGTACTTCTCCAGGTCGGTCACCGTTGCCTCTGTAGTTGGACGCTTCCGTCAGTACATGTAACTGCAGCTGATTGTCGTCGAGATTGACGATTTACTATCCAAAACAGTCATGCTTGACACGTCGGTGATCGCGTTGTCGTCCAAGTCTCGCAGCGGTTGGCAAGACCGATGATTCGGTTCTCTTGCTGCCTCTTGCTGACGGAGAGGAAGCCCTGCAAGGGCCTCAGGAGGTTGTCAAGCCGAGAGGTGATTGTCGCAGTAGCTGTGTCGAGCCCGGCTTTAGACTCCTTAGCAGCTTTGGCGAATGCGGTTTTGTTATCCTTAGCAGCTTTGTCAAATCGGGTATTGATATCCTTGCTGATCGAATCGAGGCGAGTGGTGATGGCTTCAAGAAGCTGGGTCTTCAGGTCTTTCAGGTCGTCCCTGAGCTGCCTGTTCTCGTCTCGATTCAGCTGGTTCTCCTCTCGCAACAGCCTCATCTTGTTGTGGTTGTCCCTGTGTTGCTTCTGCTGCTCTTCGGCGGACGTCCGAAGAGCAGCAAGTTTAGTGTTGATCTGCTCGACCGCAATAAGGAGTCCTTGCACGTCGTTGCCTTAGTTCACCCTACTGAATCTTGGCGAGGCGTTACGAAGGGCTGTACCGACGCATGAGGATAGAGAGGAGACAGGTCTACGAATATATAAGGTATAATGTCTCGATATGTATCAGTAGCTCAGTAGAGCAGTAGCAGTATTAGTAGTCGTAGTAGTAGTAGTAGTGGGACCATCTCGCCTCTCAACCTCTGGGCCCGGCGTCTCAGGGAGATGCGATCACCAGCCAGACACCTTCAATCCGATATACCCATGATGCCTGTAGCACGTCGACACCTTCGATCTCAATCAGAATAACTTCTTCCTTAACTGTCTAGATTATGCATGGGCGCCATCATACTCTGAACAAGGACGGGGACTAAAGGACCGCAAGAGGCAAAACTATCACCTCCGGGCAATGCAAGCGAGAGAAAGGACCCCTGAAGGACGAATGGAGGTGTGAGGAACTACCGGGACATCATCTGATGAGCAGCAAATACTACTATGCCGCCTCGACTCTCAAGACGAGGTAGAAGCTACGCTACTTGAGAGGGACATGGAAGAGTACATTCGGCCGCGGATAGGTTGTCACGGACGTATCGACCTGCTGGCGCTGGAGGATATGTACCCCGGCACCAACCTCGTCTTGGAATCGTCAGCGCTGGAATGCCGACTCACCTAGAGGGACTCGTCAAGAGAAGTCTCGATATTCGTATGGGCTCTGTTCGGCTGTGAGAGAAGCCCTTTGCCAGCGTCTCAATCACCCGAAAGGCAGCGGGCTACCCGTCCTCGGCATAGACCCCGACGATCGACTTCATCCCCTCCTCGCCGTCGTCTACCTTCAAACTTCTCACGTCGCTCAGGATATCAATACCTTCCCGTCATCCATCTGCCAACTCTATATATCCCTCTCGCAACCCGACAACTTTGCCTGCGACGGACATCTGGGTAGCCTGCCCTCTTCAAGAGCGATCATTAGCGGGCCGGCTGCAACACCGTGAGTCTTGTCCAGCATCGTCTACTCGGATCCGTCGCTCGCTGTACCAGCTGCAGCGCCCTGCATCATTTCGTTCGCTTTCCTGCTTTTTGGGACACCCAGCATAATCCGCCAGGACACGGTACCGAGTCCGACGGTGCTCCACCGCAGAGGGTGTTGTCGATCGTCGTCACACTTGCCCAATCACATACGGATATCCTACTGGCTCCGCCTAGCAGGATCGTACCTTCAGGACTAATGCCAAGCCCTACTTCGATCCGCAGAGGTGAGTTGATATCCGCCGCGCTCCGTCATGTACCTTGACGCTTCGACTGGGACAGTCAGGCTTACGCTATCATCCTGTGTCTAGCTCGTTGACCCTACCCCGCACTTTTCGGTTTCCTCTGTAGTCGACAGTATCTTCCCTCTCCTATCAGGTCAAAGGCTACGGAACGACGCCAGGGTGACGTCAGGCCGGGCGACCGGGTCTGCGTTAGGTCGAGCGAGTTTCGTCCGAGCTGGTCTGTCCATGCGGTCTCGGAATCTGATCCAGAATTGTGGCAACGACGAAACTACGGCAATTGACTTGGAATGACTCATTATGGATGATCAACACCCCATCAAGATCTCGTGTAGGAGGAAGTACCGATCTGGGACGTTCAGTCGAGATACGGGTCGAGGCCGGAGGTGCAGAGCGGGATGGAACTGATCGAGGACGCAACAATGCTCTGACTTACAGCGGGCCGACCCGGAAGTCATCGTAATGCCATACGTCGTCCCAGTCACAGCAATACGCAAGTCCTCGAAGGAACAATGCCACAAACCTGAATGATCACACGATCCTCTTCTTTCGACGGAATGAATCGCTGGCGAGAACAAAGGCACACTTAAAGCGACGGACCGTTGGACCAGGACGCGACGAAGCTCGGGTGACAGTACGGTAGTGAAAAAGCAGCAGACGAGTTCGAGGTCAATCACACAGGAGGTCAGCGCAAGAAACGAGCATCTTCGCAGCAAGAGGACAATCAGCGCGCACAGCGACCGAGATTAGGCTATTCGAACTGCCCCGCAAGTTCGTTCGTTAGAGGGAACACGGGGATGGAACCTGAACGAGAACCGACGCGTTCCCGGATGACACAGAGAGCGGGGTGAGGTTCGCTTTTCGGAACGTAGCGTCGGTGGCCGTGTGGATGTCTCAGACGGCGTGCTGGCCTCGAGCAAGCATTTGCCGGGCGGAGGGTCGTTCAACGGGCTGGTTGCCAATCGATCGGACCACAGAAACGCCTTGGTTTGGACAGGAAGCCCGGCTTTTGTTGCGGGAAGGCTATGCCATTGCAAGACTCTCCTACGCAGATTGCTTATCGAGATAAAGGACGCGGCGGATTGTACAGAGTCATGTCAGAACCGAAAAATATCAAATTCTCATTCGCGGTCCATGACCGCAAGAACGTCGTTGGTTCGAGTAAGACAATCTCCAAGAAGGACTCGACGGGATACAGCATTGCGGTTGACCTTTTCGAGGCAGATCGGTTTGTCGCGGGGTGGGTGAGCAAGACCGGCCTATCTGGACTTTATTACCTCTGGAGACCCCACTGACTCTGCTCTCGACTCTGTTATCGACCAGGAAGATCGCATGTGATGACACCGCCTCCCGCCTGAATCACGAATAAGAGCGCAAGCCTCCTCTTTGCGGCTCGACTCCCGCGCTTCAATTCAGCCAACCTCCACCTGAGCGGACCTCCACTGAACCTTGTTCAAAGACGTTCGCTCGACTTGTTGAGCTTGTGACCTATCAATCGAGAGGGCGATCCGGACAAGCGATCGACAAGCGATGTCTCCATCATAAATGATGGCGTCGAGATCAAGAACGGTATCTCCGCAAGGACAACGAATGTCGGCGTGCGGCCTCAGGACGACAGGACAAGCCAGAATTTGACGACTTTGACGACTGTCCGATAAGCCACGCCAGAATGACGCCCGGGAGATACAGGGCTACATTGTGTGTCGGCTGTTCGGCAATGTCAGCTCTCTCCTGCCCTGCCTGAGGAAGGGACGAAGACAGATAAGGCGGAAAGCGTCTATATAAACACCGCCGATCACGACCCGTCAATCTCAACAATCTTCAACCTGCCCTGTCTGCTTCAAAGATTGAACAACTCCTATCACCCATCGATCATCCAAAAAGACAGACATGGCACTCGGTCGCTGTTCTACTCCCTTGATATCGCTGCTGTTCGGCCTCATTGCCGTTGCGAGGGGCGCGTCTTTGAAGCCCTTGGCCGGTAACGAGGATTTCGCTCTAACCAGGCAAAAGTCGACCCTCGGCAGACGTTCGGAAGGCATCCATTCGGATCGTTCCGCCTACTCCTTTACGATCACTTCGTCGGACGGCCAGGTCAAGGATTATCTTTCACCTACGGGGAATAGGTTTGAAAGCCATGTCATGCACGACGATTGGGGCGTCTGGGCCGGTACGGGACCGCAAACGATGTTGGTCACCGTCATCGATGTGCAAGGTGAGGTGGATTGCACCGGTCTCAAGCAAAAAGTGGGCGCGTTCGAGCAAGCGGACGACGTATGGGATCAGGTGTGTTCAAACAGGAGGCGATTTCACGCCTCTCGCACCAAGCTCACGCATCGTACCCTTGCGTTCGAATGTAGGGATTCATGCAAGCCGTCCTGTTCCAAACCAACTCGTCCTTCCACGTCGCGTCCGACATGCCCGGCTGCTTGAAGGAATGGCAGACCGAGTGGATCATCAAGAGAGGGAACGCGACCTCGGATGTGGGAGATTTTGCGTTGGCGCACGTCACAGCTGGATCGGTGGGTACAGTTCTGATGGGCGACGTAGACATGTAGGCTGACAGTCAGGATACGTTCTATACAATCGCCTCGTCCCTTCCTCCGTAACCAGTCGATACCTCAAGGACCATATTTGGCGACCATTCACGGCAACATGACGTTGACCCCGATCTATCGCTCTTACCAAGACTCTGCTCAGGCTTTCACCTCGGCCCTCGTACCCACGCTCGAGGCCAAATTCGTCGAGATGGCGGCCAATGTGCCGGGGATGAACACGTTATCCATCCCGGTCCCATCGAGGTTGTACAGCTTGAACAGGACCGACGGGCAAGACTTGCCTTTGCTTGGCAAACGGATCGCCGTCAAGGACATCTACGATATCGCCGGAACTCGTACGGGATGTGGAAATCGAGCGTATTGGAGCACGTACGGAGAGCGTGACGAGTCGGCCGTCTCGATTCAAAAGTTGATCGACCTGGTGAGCATCTTCTCTCGAACCTTTGTCCTTGTCGCTATTGGCAGCCGTCCTGACGCTGCCCTTTCGACACACAGGGAGCGGTGATTGTCGGCAAAGTCAAGACGTCGACCTTTGCCAATGGAGAGAGCGCTACTGCGGGTATGTATACACGTATTGGTGGAGGTGTTGCGGTCGACTGACTCTATGCTTGTCGGTCCGTGCGTCATTCAGACTGGGTCGATCAGATGGCCCCTTTCAATCCTCGTGCAGACGGGTGAGTGGGACGAACGGCGGGCGCGCTGCTCCAGCAGAGGAGGACGCTGACCGCTTCGCGAGACCGGTTTGCTGAAACGGATTCTAGCTATCAACAACCGTCCTCCTCCTCGAGCGGTCCTGGTGCAGCGATCGCTGCTTACCCCTGGCTGGATGCGACAATCGGCAGTGATACGGGATGTTCCATCTTGTGTCCTTCCGCCGCCAATGGAGTGTACGGAATGAGACCGACGTGGGGAGCCATGCCATTGGACGGTGTCATGCCGCTGGAACCAGTGTTGGATACGGCTGGGTTCTTGTGCAGGGACCCGGACATGGCGACCGTCTTCTCGAGGGCGTGGTATGGTGATGCGCTGGTTCGGGACTACAAGTCCTGGCCCAAGGTCAGTCGATAAGGGTCGAGAGATGAGACGAGGCGTCTCCAGTGCTCATGCTCTTTCACGGCCAGACCTTGCACTTTCCCGCTGCCGATTGGACCTTTACAGCCGACTCGCTTCCCGCCCCCTTGTACAACCGCATTCGTCAGGCCATCATCGACGTCGTCAAACCGACAAACGTCACTGACCTCAGCGATGAGAGTTTTTGGAATGCGACCGGAGAATACGCAGATCATAACAACACCGCGATTGCAGACTACCTGGGCGTTGGCTACGGCATCATGATCGACTACAACCAATGGACCACGTTTGGACAGCCCTGGTTCGCCGATTACGCCCAGCAGAACTTAGGCCGGCAGCCTTTTGTCAGCCCTTCCCCCGAAAGGCGATGGGCTTACGGACGGGTCAACGTCACTCGGGCGATGTACGACGAAGCGGTCGCGAGGAAGCAAGAATACAAGACCTGGTTCGATCGAGAAGTCTTGAGAGGAGACGCGACGACCTGCTCGGACGCCATCTATGTCAGCGTATGGACGGGCAATCAGGCGACTCCGGCGTATCGGGTCAGTTCACGATCATGACTCGGGAAGACACTATGCACGCCCTGCCACTGACCCCTCATCGTCGCCCCAAACAGAACGTCTACGGGGGACCTCCTTCTCCCGGCCTTTTCGGGTACGACATCTTCAACTATGCCGGTGTGCCTCAACTCAGTATACCGATCGGTCAAGTTCCCTACAACTCGACCATCAGCGGCCAGGTCGAGTATCTGCCCGTGAGCATCGGGCTGAACGCTGCCGGCGGGTGCGACTATGTCTTGTGGGATCTGGCGGCCGAATTGAAGGTGAGTGGGGGGTGCACTTACACGTCAGTCCAGGTGTTGATGGCGAGACGCCCGGATTAGAATGCTGGAGCGCTTCAGGAAGTTGCGACGGGTCGATTCGCTTTTCCCGCCTGAGTATGTCGGTGTCGGCGCAGTAGTTTAGTGTCGCTCAATGCCCAATAATTCGTATATACATGTCGTCGGATTGATATATTTTCAGCTTGTGCTCGCTCGTTCTTTGTCAATGCTTTCCATGAGCCGCGATGCTAGACCTTGGAGATCACCGGGGTGTCCAGTCCTGCCAGCGCCGGTTGAGCGAGGTTGCACCGGGAAGCAAGACCGGGAAGCGATACCGGGAAGCCATACCGGGGAAGCAAGACCGGCGTCACGTGAATTGCTTCCTCGCTTTGATTCGTGTATCACCTGTCGAGTTTAAAGGGACTGTTGAGGTCGTGATATCAAGAATCGACAACATGCTCATCAAATCAAGCCAGACAGACCAACAAGATGCAAATTCCATACGTTGATACTACTCTAGGCAGGGAGCAATACCGCCTGAACCCTACAGCCAGCTACAGACCGGGAGGATGGCCACCGGCAATGCAGTGGTTGCAAGTACTCTTCATGCAAAATCCTCCACCGCTCTGCCGACAATGTTGGGAATGGCACCCGATTAGTGAGAATCAGCCGAGACATGAGCAAGATTGGACGTCGGTTGCGGAAAGACAAGCTCGTCAAGCGTGGATCGAGAGCGTGAGTACTGGGCGGCTACTTGTCTCGATCTACGGCTCACATTGTTGTCTCCAGTCTGTCCTTGATAGAGTCACCGACCTTCACAAGCTTGCAAGCAGCATCAGGGCCGACAAGAAAAAGTTGGACGAGCTCTATCAGGTCGTTCCCGGTCCTGACCCACAGATGAATCACGGCCGGGCTGCATACTTTATACCATCGCTCTACCGGAACTCTTCAATACCCTGTCCTTGGCTCGACTTGGCCACCATCAAAGCCCGATTAGGCAGTCTTTCTGGTACGGCACTCCGAGATTTCCTCGAAAATGTTGTGAAGAACTGGGAACAGGGACAGGCTGCAGGGTTGGGATCGCGATTGGCCACGTGAGTTGCTTTGTTGGTAGATTGGCATCGAACATCGCTTACGCTCGACCGGCAATGTGGCACAGCACTGTTCAGGAACGTGATCGGTGGGTATATCAAACTTCTTGCCGCAGGAACATTGCTAACTCTCTTCTTGTTTGACGGGTCAGATACAAGGACGAACTCCATATACTCCGGATCAGCAATCAATCATCCGTCTCCGTCACCTATCATACGTCGGCTCTCAAAAAGCTTGAGACTCAGCTTGGTCAGGCAGTCCGGTTGCGAGATGCAGCTGTCGATCAGCTGGCCAACCTCAAGATGCGATACGACCAGGCCACCAACAACCTCAGTAGGGCGGTCTCAGTCGATCGACCCCATCCCGCTGCGGTCCCGGTTGACCTCCGTCGAGCTGGTCAAGCTGCGGTCCCGGTTGACCAGTCTTGTCGAGCTGCGGTCCCGGTCGACGTTGCCAAGACCCTCAAAGACCGCGACAACGAGCTGGCCGCAGTCAAGAAACAACTCGAGCAGGCCAAGAGGGAACTGCAGTCCATCAAAAACGAACTGGCTACCTCGAAACGGAATCTGCAGGAAGCCTTGCAGGCAAACGCAGCGATCAACGAGCCTTTCGAGCAGGCCAAGACCAGGGTCTCCGAGTTGGACCTCGAGGTCCAGATGCTGACCAACGCCCGGGTTCAGCTGGAACAAGATCTTCAGGCATCTCAATCTGAAGTCAACCAGCTCACCCTCAACGTTGATACACGTCAAAGCGAGCTCGTCCGGTCGGCCGCCAACTATCACAAGCTCGTTGAACAATGCGGAACCGTGACTATAAACCTAGCCGAATCCGAGCAGGAATGCACAGACCTGCGAGCAATCGTTGCCGTCCTGGACGAGGCTGGGGTCACTACATCTAGCGCAGCGATGACCAAGCGTGACCTGCAACATCTCAAGGACACCGAGCACCAGCTTAAAGGTATCAATGATGAGCTCAAGCATACCAAGGAGGAGCTCAAGGATACCAAAGATGAGCTCAAGGCTACCAAGGATGAGCTCAATCAACTTCAGGTCGAGCACCAGAAGCTGTCGGAGAAAGATAACGCCATGGTTATCGACGCCCCTCACGCCGAGCCAGAAGCCCCGGTCATTGATCTCGCTTCGACCGCTCCCGAGTATCAGGACGAGCATCTCACTCCAGACTCGACGTACTACGCCCTTGTTGAGATTGCCAAGGACATGGCACAGGGTCCTGGTCAGTTCAAGCGTGGCATCAAGCGGCTCACAAAGCTGGCAGATACTGCCCCCGACCTCATCATTGATGCCAAAACGCAAAAGAACATCGGTTTAGGAGGGATCGAACATTACGTTTACGAAACCGCCGCGCACCATTCGTATCACAAGGATGGCGAACTTGGACCGCTGATCTTCCAAATGGGGCATGCCCTGCGAATCAGAGACCATCGGCTCCGTCCTGCTGCCAAGTCCAGCGACTCTGACGAAGATAGCGACGACGATGATGACGAAGACGACAGTGACGGGAATGAGAGCGAGAACGACAATGATAACGATAATTAGATATGATAGACTGAATGCACTGTACCTAGAAGTCTACACCATGTCCTTTGTACCTCTGATTCAAGAGTTTATACCCTCACCCGATCTGCCAATACCGGTGATGACTCATGACGAACGCGCTCAGGTGACGCGACGCGTCATCCTCGACCTCAAGGTCATCTCGACCACCGTTGACATTCGACGTTGGCTTCGACTACATACCCACAACTATACAGGCCTCATACTCCACCACTACTGATGCACACCAACCGCTTGGATACTTGGCGTAAGCCTCGTTGACTTGTGGTAGGCATGCATACGTTCTCGACCTTGGCTCATCGACAACCCAGAAGCCCGCCAATCGCCTTGTTGGCTCCCATTTTGGATCGGCCGGTACTCTTCCAGACCATCATGCGGTCTCTTAGGGGTTAGGGGTTAGGGGTTAGGGGTTAGGGGTTAGGGGTTAGGGGTTAGGGGTTAGGGGTTAGGGGTTAGGGGTTAGGGGTTAGGG